ATAAAAGACGTTTCAGATCTTGAAACAGTTAAAGAACGCGTTTTCTGTATGTCGTTCATAGTATCGGCCAACTTATCCTTGAAAGGCTGGACGCCAGTGCATTGCATTTGAGGAGCTACTTCGTCTAGCAAATCTTGATCTTGCAAACGTTAAAAGCAATAAAAGCTCAAGGCAGATCGACTCACTTTACGAGCCGCGAGTCGCAAACCACTACAAACGACTCTTCGGGAGCTACGAGCACGAGGTCGACAAGTTATATGCAATCGCAGATTCGAGAGTCGCCTCCGAAGTCCGTAAACGCTGCAGCAGCATGGAGATTGTTAACTTAGTAACCTCCTCCGTGGAACTCGAGCGCAAGGCGGGTGACAACGGAGATCATCGTGATGCTGATGAGCCGCTTCTCTTCGTCTGAGCGGCCGTGCAGCCCTGTTTTGTCGCTCTGGAAAGTGATGTTATCGTTGGGAAAGGTGATCGAGGAGGTGTAGATCTTTGGAGGTCGCAGCGATGTAATTGAGCAGAGAGTACATGTTGGACATGATGGAGTCATCAGCTGGGAAGGCTTGAGCGTATTGGCAGAACCGGGTAAGAAAAGGCATACCTTAATACAAAGCGCAAGGCATTTTGCAGCCGCTGTCAGAGGTGGGGGTGCGCGCTTCTCGGTATTGAATGCAAACTCGAATATTGAAAGAGGCGAAGTGACGAAGTGGCGGAGATGGATTGCAAAAGACGGAGCGACCTCCGGGAAGCTGTAAAAGATGAGCTAGGGAAGCGCTGCATGTTTCATAACCTGACTAACCTTCGTACAAGTACTGTAGTAGCTTGAGCGCTGATTCCTGAACGAGATGTCCAGGATGGGTGGACTGTCACTCAATATAGTTGTGTCAGGCGGCGAGTGGTGGAGGTACATCATGATGAAGTAGGAACATCACACAACGAAGGATTGAATCTTGTCGTTGAACTGATGGTGCTGTAGCGGCTAGCCATACTTCAGAGACACTTAGACACTTCAGAGACACTTACTTCAGAGACACTTTAGAGACACTTCAAAGACACCATATACTTCAAAGTTCAGAGACGCCATACTGTTGCTTACGAAATCGAACCACGTGACTGTTCAGTTGTCCTCGATCTGTCTCGTTACTTCTCGTCCGAACCGTCTTAGTGCTTCACGCCGAAATTCGGCGTGGATCCAAACCAAAGCTCAGTCCCGCAGCACGTGTTCACTCTTATTACCCCAACTCTCCAGCAACTTCACGACATGCAAGAAAACAGTTGCTCGAAGGAATTAAGGCATACGTATGTAATGAGATCATCTTAGTACTTGACTTGCATTGACCAGATCAGTGGTGTATGCAGAATTGGCGCCGTATTATAAGTGAGTAACTTCTGCGGGTGCTCTTACGCCTCATTCTGCATTGCTCGAATTAGCCATCCGCCAGTTTATGACTGGTGGTGCACTTTTCCTTGACGCACTATCGACATTCACTGCCACTGAACTCACAACCTACAACGACTTCGTCGCTCTCACCATAATCATCGATACCCTCACCCTCAAACGAGTAGATCTCAAGAAACGGGTATGCCCGTTTTCCTAACTGGTATCTCTCACCGCTGATCATATTTCCTGTAGCTCATTACCGCACCAGAAGTTATATACGTTTTGCCCGAAGTCCCGATCCTTGGAGACCTCTTAAACAACCTTTACGACTTTGGTACGTTTCTTCGCGCCCACAATCCACTTCCAAGGCCCCTCTTTGTCTGATGTGATTGATAATGACTGACATGTCCATGCCCATAATGACCCTCGAGCAGACGTTTCTCCTGCCCTCGCGACTCCTCTCGCCTCATACTATGTATGAGAGATGCGCATTTTGGCATACAGCCAACTTCTCGAGTCCTACTGCAGCCTCACTCTTGAAAACCTTACGGTCACCTTTGTTTACATGTAATTTAGGTCTGCGGTAGCGTGCCCTTGCATCAATCGAATATGACATTCACCCTGCCATCCTTTGTGCCCACATTATGAAGTTCGACAACTAACTTTATCGACGTGTCGCTATCACACTGAGCTTCGCAAACTGAAAGCCTTCTGCAGAGAGTTTCTTTATTTCAGAGACATGTGCGACGGCAACCGATTAACCTCGTCTCTGGAAACGATCTCTACATTCCGCCTCATATTAGAACTACTCTTACAGGAACGGAGCTCCAAGCGTTAGTCGATAACCAGAATAACCATCCTGATTCCCCACCCACACCTGTATAATGTCCTCTCCGTCTCCAACCCCAATGCTCATGGCACGCAGCCTTTTAGTGCCTCGCTTCTTCCCCTCGATCCCCAATCTAAGTACCTCTCACTCTCAGTAACTCCTGCAGCCATGATGATGGAAGGGAAGTCGATGGCAGGTCCACGTGTCACAACGTTGTTGGTAAGGACAGTTGAAACAAGCGTACCCCCAGCAGTGTCCACGGGGATATGGACAAGCTCGCCATCGATGCTGAGTGGGCCGGTAATACCAAGAGGAATAGAAATGTAGCCGACGACGCACGTGCGGAGAGCATGGGAGTAGTTGTAGTTGTGCATGGGGATATCCGAGTATTCGAGGGTCTGGGTGAGATTTGCACGGGCTAGACATCATATGAAAACTTGTGCCTATGAGGAACGATGAACGTGGACTTACAGATCAATGCGCGACGGATGGCTAGAAGTTTACGTTGATAGCGGCAAGGTTGGCGAGCACACTAGTGATAGCAGGTCGACTTTGTGCGAGGCTGAGTTGCTCCCATGTATCAATAGAGAAAGGGAGGCGGCTGGGTGGACGAATTGCTCGTGCTAAGGGAAAGTGCATAAGGACCGAGGCAGAATATATGCAGTCCTAAGCAACTAACTACCTAACACTAAAGACCGAGGCTGAATATATGCAGTCCTAAGCAACTAACTAACCTAACACTAAAGACCGAGGCTGAATGTAACACAGATGCACAGCTGAGTTTTGAGCCGGGAGACGAACGAAGTGGAGCGGGAGCGAGCTGTGAGCCTGTAGAGCAGGATGGTAGAAGATCGAGGTCAGCCGGTGCACTGGAAAAAAGATATGGGGTTTACCTCCTCCTCCCCCTGTAAGCCACCCAGAGTGAAGTTTGGGGCCTAGCTCGAGCAGTTTTGACCCAGGAGATGAACGGAGTGGAGCGGGAGCGAGCTGTATATCTGTAGAGTAGGATGATAAAAGATTAGGTCAGCCGGTGTGATGGAAAAAAGATATGGGTGGATTACCTCCACCTCCTCCCCCCTAAGCCACCCAGAGTGAAGTTTCCGGGCATAGCTCCAGCAGTTTTGACCCGGGAGACGAACGGAGTGGAGCAGGAGCGAGCTATGTGTCTGTAGAGTAGGATGAAAAAGCGCGAGGTCAGGAAGTGTGATGGAAAAAGATATGGGTGGATTACCTCCTCCTCCCCCTCTAAGCCACCTCGAGTGACGTCTTCGGGTATAGCTCCAGCGGTTTTGACCCGGGAGACAAGCGGAGTGGAGCGGGAGCGAGCTATAAGCCTATAGAATAGAATGACAAAAGTTTGAGGTCAGAAAGTGTGAAGAAAAAAAGTTATGGGTGGATAACCTCCTCCTCCCCCCTAAGCCACCTAGAGCGATGTTTTGGGGCATAGCTCCATCAGTTTTGACGGCGGAGGCAAACAGAGTGGAGCGGGAGCGAGCTATGAATCTGTAGAGTAGGATGACGAAAGGTCGAGGTCAGAAAGTGCGAGGAAAAAAAGTTATGGGTGGATAACCTTTTCCTCCCCCCCTAAGCCACCCCGAGTGAAGTCTGGCATAAGTCGAGCAGTTTTGACCCGGGAGACGAACGCAGTGGAGCGGGAGCGAGCTATAGACCTATAAATAGAATGACAAAAGGTCGAGGTCAGAAAGTGCGATGAAAAAAGTTATGGGTGGATAACCTCCTCCTCCCCCCTCTAAGCCACCCTGAGTGAAGTTTGGGGCATAGCTCCATCAGTTTTGACGGCGGAGACAAACAGAGTGGAGCGGGAGCGAGCTGTATATCTCCTCGGCACGCAGTGTAAACACCCTCATACGTCATATGAAGCTCGTCATATCCCTTGGTCAACAACTCCCCAATACTGCCCCTCAGCCGTGCAAACAAGCTATCATAAACATTGCTCAGCGCAGACCCGACCGCACCACCTACAACACCCATCGCAGTCTCTCATGAGCACCACATCCTGCATGAGAATAAAAGCATACCTGCAAATCCATGCACCTGGATCTTAGTCGGGCCAGCTCTGTTGACATTCTTACCTTTGAGATAATCGCGCGACCTAGAAGCAGAAGCAGAGTCAGAGTCGGCGTCCAAGCGTGGGGTTTTGTGTGGATGAGATGCCGACCGATCGTCAATGTCGACTACTGTGGACCGGTAGGCGGTGAATGCCTTGGAGGTCTCTGGGAACGTGAGCAGGCTAATCACATCAGTCATCTTGCATAGGGTTTAGCGGAAGCAGTTTTGTAGGAGCTGAGCTCGAGTATGTTGTTCCCATCTCCTTCTGTAAACAGCGAATGTGGAATCCGAATTACTAATGATGATTCGATACGAGCAGCAAAACATAATACGAACAACAAAATATAATACGAGCAACAAAACATGAGGGATTAAATACAAGAATGTGCAGAACAGGCGGTTCAAGCGAGGGAAAGGGTAATGTAGATATAAGCGAAGTGTTTCCACAGGACGAGGTCACTGGGTTCCCTGTACATTGACTCCAGCGACCAAGGACGTGGTGTCGCACTTGAAAGCGGGTCGAATCTCGTCTCGCTAGGGTCTTGTGGGGGAGGATGGTGTTCCCAATGAAGTGGGCCATTGCGATTAGTGTCGTCAGTTGTAAGTGTGTGAAATGGCATCGAGCGTCTTTCGTGTTCTTGCGTGTCATGAAGTTGTCTCCTGCGGATAGCGTGGGGTGTCATGAGGGGCATCTTCAGATAGCGTGGCGGCGTTTTTCGTATTCTGTCTTCAGTGTCGTAAGCGGTCTCCTTCGGATAGCGTCAGTCGTGGTGTCTTGAGAGTCGTGAAATGGTTGTGGTGCGGCATGTGGCATTCTCTTTGGCTCTCGTGGCCTGTGAGGTTTATCCTGGCTAGGCGGCGGTGCTTCTGTGCGCCGAAGTGAAGCGGGTGGGTGTGAAATGTTATGATGAAATGTGTTTGCTAGAGTAGTGAAAATGCGGTGGCGGCGGTTGGGATTGGGAAGCTGAAGTTTGCGCTATAAACAATGATCAGTGCCATAGTCTAGCGATGAGTAGGTACATACCTTTTGCTGTCTGGCGGACCTGAGTTTGTCTGAGAGGGACTTCTGGTCACTTCGGGGGGAGTGGGTGGCCTTCGGCTTCTGAGCCAATGCGTCAGCAGGGTGTGTGGATCCAGGAAGAGGCAGGTCAGTATCAAAGTTAGTGTTCGTAGTGAGGGTCCATAGTTGACGTCGATAGCTGTTGTTGTGACGGGTAGGATGTTGAAGTCACCATGGTGTTCGTGTTTGTCAGGTGTAGTGCATGCCGGTTCGTGGTTACAGGTCGAGGCGAAAATCGGCAAATCGAGAGACATTGATTGAGATACAGGTGACGAGGATGTATGGAATGGGAAAAATGGGGGTAGGGTGTCGATGTCGTATTCATGCTCGGCTTCGTCAAAGAGGAAATTGTTGTTGTGGACCACGACAGAAGCATCGGAGGCGAAGGTGGGCAAATCGAGAGGCATTGATACAAGTGACGAGGATGGATGGAGTGGTACAAATGGGGGTAGTGTGTCGACGTTGTGTTCATCTTGAGCATGCGTAGGGTGTGCGGTAGCATATTCCTATAGCGAAAAAAATGTTAGCCAACACATGTCTAGGGTATGACACTCTGTACCTCGTGGAAAGTCCTCTCGTCGTCAGACAACTTAATGTCTTTGATCCATGAGGCTTCGTCCGAGAGAATGTCATCATTGTAGATGACGAGGGCTAGAGTGAGATATGAACAGCGGTAAGTGAGGAGCCAACAGGAAAAAAAGATACAGACACCACCAACTCTGGGACATGATATAAAGCTATATAATGTAAGAACCCAATGACCCATGCGTCACAACGTAGGGCCTGGCTAGACCCAGCGTAAGCTCTGCAAGGGAGTGAAGGGATTTGTGCAGCCCCAGCAGCAACCCCTCCCAGGCAGTACAGCCCAGGAATACTATGCCCTGTAAAGGGCAGAAGGGGTGCCCTGCCTGACATAACTCCAGAATACTCCAGAAGCACCCACTATTGCAAGTAGGTGTATGCACAGACAGTTGGGTACAAGGAATACATGGATGGTGGTAGACAGAAGAAAAGAGGCATGGCAAAACAAACGAAAAATCAACCTTGACCAAACAAAGGCAAATACACCACACACACAATCATTGAGCACGTGACATAAAAAGTAAGCTTTTACAAGGGAGTCCAAGGCACCGAAAAAACCATGAATATAGTCTTTTGTGTGCAATTTTCTGTCTATCTGATGATGTTAATCTTGGTGGGATAGGCTGGTTGCTAATCCTTTGAGCGTGATGGTAGATTAATTTGTATGCAGTGCAATAAAATTGTGAAATATGATAATCAAGTTTGAATTGATGTATTCTGTCTGATCACAAATGACATCTACATATTGTATGGCTCAGTGCGATGTGGCTTGGAATATGCTGGTAGGGGGCTAATGGGTTTATGGCTGGTGATGAAGACTTTGTATTTTGGAGTATCAGTATGGAAGGATCAAGCGAGAGACGAGAAGAGGACTATGGAGATGATACATTCCTCTCCATTTTCTTTTATTATCTTACCTTGTGCTCAGACTTCACGATTCCCTTGCTTGACCATTCATCTCTAACTCACCATATGCTCCTGATGCTCATTCTGGCCTAGTCAATCACTCAAAATTGTATATACAGCCCATGTAATTCATATGATAGCAGAATGTACACTGATTCCCCGCTCCAAGTACAACCAATGCCTTAGAAAGTCTTTTTCTAACAACCTGTCTTTGTGTCATCAATTAGCACATCTCAAAGCTATGATGTTTTGTTCACATTTTCCTGTTGAACTGATAGTCAACCTTACATGAGGGACAAGTGAGATAGAGTATTTTGCAGTGTTTGAGAGATCGGTGGATATGATGGAGTGTAAAGGATAGGGAGAGATAGATTAGGGGGGACAGGAAAAATTAAGGAATACCTAACCTTTTGTTGTCCTTTGCTCTTAGTGATGATTTTCCTAACCTTTCCTCTTAGTCATGCTTCTTTTCCTTTCCTCTTAGTCATGATTCCTTCCCTTTGTACCTTCTTTCCTTTCCTCTTAGTCATGATTCCTTCCCTTTGTACCTTCTTTCCTTTCCTCTTAGTCATGATTCCTTCCCTTCGTACCTTCTTTCCTTTCCTTTATGTCACCATTCCTTTCCTTTGTGTCATCTTTCCTTGTTCTTGGCATTAAGTCTAACCATTTTAGACATAGTTCTTCCTCTGTAACCAAGTATGTAATGCTTCTTTCCTTCTGTAACCGATTATATAATTTCCTCTTTCCCTCTCTAACCATATTAGGACTTTCCTCGAAGGAAAAATCTATGCCCCCATAATTTTTCAACTCAAATAGATAAGGCACTGATGTTGAGAATGGTACGACTAATTCTATCGCATGGTGGCATGAGCGCAGTACTTTGTATCCTCGTCTGTTGCGGATGGCAATGGACTGCCTGACAATACATGGTACATCTGACTTGTCACTCGATCACTAACGTTCTGACATGGTTGGTAGCTACATAGGTGGATGTGGAAAGTCTTTTTAGATGTGGTCGGCTCCTGCTCACTCATGTTCATTCGCGTCTGTCTGCAGAGCCAACACGTGCCTTGCTGTCCAGACAGAAGATGCGTTTAAATACACTACCTTGCCTGATGTTCGAGGCGATACCGAGGGTGGGGCTCGAGAATGGGCGGGACAGAATTAAAAGTCAATTAATCCATAGCTACGTTCACTGCAGAAACGAGAGAAGACGGTCCTACCCTATTCCGAGACAGATGTCTTGTTTAATCGTACCCACACCCATGTCAACTACTAAACCCCACCCAAAGTCGATGTGCTGCGAATTTTGAGAGATCCTAGGAAGGCCACAAGTAACCTAAGCAGACCGCTTTCCGATGTCGCCTTATCGGTTTTCCTGACCCATGCCTATACCTCGCAAATGATTGCTATTCTATGACTATTCAGATCTGCAAATCCAACATTTCGCCGTCGGTTTGCAGTAGACTTGCAGCAAGGTAAATTTTCGAAATTTTGTCCAAGTTCACGTCACTCAGTAAGTACTTACTATGCTATGGCAGACCACAACACCATAAAGCTTTTAGTTTAATCACACCAAACTAACCAGAGTTTTCTACTGCTATGTAGGCTATTGACATATCCATGCAAGAGCCTCTCGACTCAGAGCTGCCATCTAGCACTGCATATGGTGCTGACGCCAGTGAAATGTTCATGACGAACGAAGCCGGCAGTGCTTACCAATTGGTTGGAAGACCAGACAACTATAAGTTCTTTTGTCATTCTATTGATTTACACTATTGAATCGATATCTAGCAGCGAGAATCATTTATAGCACGGGCTGTCAAGGCGGGATGGCATGTATGGGTATGATGGAGAGGTCCCAGCATCTGGTGAGCACACGTGCTTCTGTTAGTCTGGAGCTGCATGATCAAGCTGTTCTTGAAAGGATGGGAATGTGGGATCGGGCTGCAATCCAGAAGTGAGTGACTTGTCTTGAGTTACCTTTGCCTTGACTGATATACTCACTCCCATGGATTGCTCTCGGCGCTGAATACCTGAGAGGCCCACATCAACATGCGACCCATTGCGACCGAGGTCAGCGAGAGGCGACTGCTTGGGCTGCGATGCGCCTCGAATTTGGCCCTGCATGGGGTAGGCACCTGTCATATCTTGTCGTGCATGCTCCAGGCTCATTTGTGGACGGTTTGACATGGCAGGGGCACCAGTCAGACGTCTCTGACTACCTTGGGGGTGGATACATCGTGGAGAGAGAGTAAGCCTGCAGGATGTGGAGGATCCCTAGGGCTGCATCGTATACATGCTTCCTGTCTGTACGTACATCAGAATCACAACCGCTTTCACTCAAAACCCGACCTTAATCCAATGCGCGGATCATTAAAATCAGTAGCAAACCCAAAGTCTGCTTAACACGAAGGCGGCAAACCCACGTCTGGAAATCTCGTTGTTTCACAGTCGGTTTTGCCTGTAAAAACTGAATCTTTCTGTATCTGGATCGGTGTACTTTGCTTCAATTTGCATTTTACGCTTTGTATGTATTTACAGGCTGTATTCGTGGTCTATGCAGATCCGTTCATATTCTCGTTTCCGCAGTGACTTTGTGTTTGTTAAAAGGGGTGAAGCCAAAATACCCCAGAAGCGAAAGTTATGCCACCTCTAGCAGAGATGAAACCCCCATGAAGGGGTGAAGCCAAATACCCTCGGAAGCGACGTAATTTGGCCATCTCTGGCAGAGATGAAACCACCATGAAGGGGTGAAGCCAATAGCCCAGCTCATATATCCCCAGAAGCAAAAATTAGTTGGCCACTATTATCAATAGTATAACCCCCATGAAGGGGTGAGACCAACCAGTCCTGGGGTTTGTAAAGTGTAGGAATCGATTGGTGATGATCCTAGAGCATCTGAAGGTCAAAATAATGAGGTATGTCAATGGGGCTCAACAGTCAGTATTTTGGCCATATCTTGGGTTAGTTATTTTGCTGATTTGATGCTATTGGGATGCTTGATCTTGTCTGGGGCGACGCATCGGCCGAGGTCAAAACATCGTTTCAATTTTGCTTGACTTTGCTTGACTTTTGCCATTTTATGGCTCTGGCATTGCTTGATCGCTATCATATAGCTTGACTTGCTGTATGACCTGTGACTTTACAAGTTATCGAGGTGTCTAGGTGTCTAGGTATCAAGGTCTTGGTGTAACGAGCTACCGGTAGCAATCCGTAGGATGGATAAGTGTTGACTGGGTATGGGGCTTGATGTAGCTAATATTCCTGCAGGATAATGAGATACATAGTGGTAACTCATCTCTCACCAACAATTATGATACAGTACAAAGCACTTGTTGGCCCCATCTAGCAGAGGTGATATCCTCATGGTGAGATGAAGCCAAAAATACCCCTTAAAGCGAAATTTATTGTCAAACACTTGTTGGGTTTCTGTCACCACCTTACAATGGACTGTCAAGACACATTCAAGTCTTTACTAGATACTGAAATTTACATTGTTGTAACTACTCCTTAGTTCATGTTCTATGAAAAGCGAAAATCCTGGTCACCTCTAGCAGAGATGTGTCCCCCATGAAGGGGAGAAACCAGGACCTTGCTTCCCACATAGCCCCCAGAGCGAAAATCCTGGTCACCTCTAGCAGAGATGTATCCCCCATGAAGGGGAAAAACCAGGACCTTGCTTCCCAAATAGCCCCTAGAGCGAAAATCCTGGCCACCTCTAGCAGAGATGTATCCCCCATGAAGGGGAGAAACCAGGACCCTGCCACCCAAATAACCCCCAGAGCGAAAATCCTGGCCACCTCTAGCAGAGATGTATCCCCCATGAAGGGGAGAAACCAGGACCCTGCCACCCAAATAGCCCCCAGAGCGAAAATCCTGGCCACCTCTAGCAGAGATGTATCCCCCATGAAGGGGAGAAACCAGGACCTTGCTTCCCAATTATCCCCCAGAGCGAAAGTCCTGGTCACCTCTAGCAGAGATATGTCCCCCATGAAGGGGAGAAACCAGGACTTTGCCACCCAAATAGCCCCCAGAGTGAAAGTCCTGGCCACCTCTAGCAGAGATGTATCCCCCATGAAGGGGAGAAACCAGGACTTTGCCACCAAAATAGCCCCCAGAGCCAACAAGCAAGTGAAAAGGTGAAAAAAGCGAAAATAAAAAGGGTTGACCACCTCTAGCAGAGATGTATCCCCCATGAAGGGGAGAAGCCAACAAGAAAGCAAAAGTCACATAAAAGCAAAAATCCTGGCCACCTCTAGCAGAGATGTATCCCCCATGAAGGGGAGAAACCAGGACCCTGCCACCCAAATAGCCCACAGAGCGAAAATCCTGGCCACCTCTAGCAGAGATGTATCCCCTATGAAGAGGAGAAACCAGGACCTTGCTTCCAAATTAGCCCCCAGAGCGAAAATCCTGGCCACCTCTAGCAGAGATGTGTCCCCCATGAAGGGGAGAAACCAGGACCTTGCCACCCAAATAGCCCCCAGAGCGACAACCCTGGCCACCTCTAGCAGAGATGTATCCCCCATGAAGGGGAGAAACCAGGACCCTGCCACCCAAATAGCCCCCAGAGCGAAAATCCTGGCCACCTCTAGCAGAGATGTATCCCCCATGAAGGGGAGAAACCAGGACCTTGCTTCCCAATTATCCCCCAGAGTGAAAGTCCTGGTCACCTCTAGCAGAGATGTGTCCCCCATGAAGGGGAGAAACCAGGACTTTGCCACCCAAATAGCCCCCAGAGCGAAAATCCTGGCCACCTCTAGCAGAGATGTATCCCTCATGAAGGGGAGAAACCAGGACTTTGCCACCCAAATAGCCCCCAGAGCCAACAAGAAAGTGAAAAGGTGAAAAAAGCGAAAATAAAAAGGGTTGACCACCTCTATCAGAGATGAAGCCCCCATGAAGGGGAGAAGCCAACAAGAAAGCAAAAAGTGACAAAAAAGCGAAAATATAAGTAGAAGTTGACCACCTCTAGCAGAGATGAAGCCCCCATGAAGGGGAGAAGCCAACAAGAAAGCAAAAGTCACACAAAAGCGAAAATATAAGTAAAAGTTGGCCACCTCTAGCAGAGATGAAGCCCCCATGAAGGGGAGGAGCCAACATCCCCATGAAGGGAAGACAATCAGTAGGACCCCCAGACCCACAAAAAAGCGAAAAAAAAAAGTGAGAACAGAAGGAAAGACACTCTGGTACTATTAGCAATAGTTTGTTCCCCATGAAGGGAAGACAACCAGTATCACCCTCAGACCCACAAGAAAGCGAAAAAGTGAGAACAGGAAGACACACTGGTACCATTATCAACAGTCTGTTCCCCATGAAGGGAAGACAACCAGCATGACCCCCAAACCCACAAAACAGCGAAAACAAAGTGAGAACAGAAGGAAAGAAACACTGGTACTATTAGCAATAGTTTGTTCCCCATGAAGGGAAGACAACCAGTATCACCCCAGACCCACAAAAAAGCGAAAAAGTGAGAATAGGAAGACACACTGGTACCATTATCAACAGTTTGTTCCCCATGAAGGGAAGACAACCAGCATGACCCCCAAACCCACAAAACAGCGAAAACAAAGTGAGAACAGAAGGAAAGAAACACTGGTACTATTAGCAATAGTTTGTTCCCCATGAAGGGAAGACAACCAGTATCACCCCAGACCCACAAAAAAGCGAAAAAGTGAGAACAGGAAGACACACTGGTACCATTATCAACAGTTTGTTCCCCATGAAGGGAAGACAACCAGCATGACCCCCAAACCCACAAGAAAGTGAAAGAAAAGTAAAAAAAAAATGGCACCATTATCAATGGATGAGAGTGGGCAGGGAGAAAGAGAAAAACTTGTGTGAGCGCATTTTTGCTTATATAAGCAGTCCCACTGTCATGCTGCCTCCCCCCAAGATTGATTTCCCCAGCCTTCATATGACTCGTCTGTGTTTGACTAGAACTTGTTCTTGAAGCCATTGAACCATATGAACATGCTGGACATGTCTTCTTGGTCCATAAAAATCAAGTTCCAAAGTTGAGTTGAGTCCACTGCCCCTATCTTGCTGCCTCCCCTCAAGATTGATTTCTTTGGCCCTCATATCGCTTGCTGGGGTTCCTGCAGCACTTGTTCCCAAGGCTATTGAGCCCTCTGAACGAGCTGGCAATGCTTGATTGGTCCAAAAAAATCAGGTTCCAAAGTTGACCACCCCTGTCATGCTGCCTCACCCAAAGATCGATTTTTTCAGCCTTCATATGGCTTGCTTGTCTTTAGGTAGGACTCGTTCCAGAGGTTATTGGACCATACAAACACGTTGGTGATGCCAGATTTGCCTCTAAAAATCATGTTCCAAAGTTGACCACCACCCCTATCATGCTCCCCCACCCAAAGATCGATTTTTTCAGCCTTCATATGGCTTGCTTGGCTGTAGCTAGGACTCATTCTAGAGGTTATTTGACCATCTGAACACGTTGGTCGAGCCGGATTTCGCTCTAAAAATCATGTTCCAAAGTTGTCCACCCATGCCATGCTCCCCCACCCAAAGATCGATTTTTTCAGCCTTCATATGACTTGCTTGGCTTTAGGTAGGACTCATTCTAGAGGTTATTGGACCATACAAACACGTTGGTCGTGCCAGATTTCGCTCTAAAAATCATGTTCCAAAGTTGGCTGCCCCTGTCATCCCCCCCCCACCCAAAGATCGATTTTTTCAGCCTTCATATGGCTTGCTTGGCTTTAGGTAGGACTCATTCTAGAGGTTATTTGACCATCTGAACACGTTGGTCGAGCCGGATTTCGCTCTAAAAATCATGTTCCAAAGTTGGCCACCCAAGTCATGCTGCCCCACCCAAAGATCGATTTTTCTAGACTTCATATGACTAGCCTGTCCTTCAAAAGCATTTTTCCTGGGGGCTATTGAGCCCTCTGAACACGATGGTAAAGCCAGAATTGCCTGGAAAAATCGTGTTCCTGAGATATACAAGGTCCTCCTCCTCCTCCTGACCTCATGTATGTCACTATCCCAGTATTCCACCTCAATACCGATACTGCAAACATTGCTCCTAAGGTATTTGAGGCCTGTGAATCGATTGGGAATGGTCCCAGACCTTCCAGAGGTCAGCATTATTGTGATATGGGAGGTTGGCTCAAATATCAGTATTTTGGACATATCTCCACGATCCAACCGCCGTTTTTCTTAATTGTTGGCTCATATCCATCCTATCGATACCCTCTATGATATGTACCAGCCCGCCAAAAGATATTTTTTCACAAGTTTGAAACCTATTTCTATTTTGACCCTATAAATCATCTTAGATGCCCAGTGACCAAGCTGATTATGTTCCCACCATTGTCAAGGTCAGAGAAGATGATAGGCTAGGTTTCAAGATATCTGGAATTTTTTGTGAGGTGATAGACTGAGAACACCTCCTGCAGGAGACACCAAATCCAGATCACTCTAAATGCACTAGTGACTGTGCTGATTATGTTCCCACCATTGTAAAGGCCAGAGAATATGATAGGCTAGGTTTCAAGATGTCTGGAATTTTTTGTGAGGTGATAGCCTCAGATCACCTTCATCCATCAGGAGACACCAGGAGCAGATGACTTAAAATGCACCAGTGATCAAGCTGATCATGTCCCCACCATTGTAATGGTCAGAGAAGATGATACACCAATTTTCAGGATGTCTAGATTTTTTTGTGAGGTGATAGCTTCAGATCACCTTCACCCATCAGGAGACACCAGGAGCAGATGACTCAAAATGCACCAGTGATCAAGCTGATCATGTCCCCACTATTTGGAAGGTCAGACATGATAATACACCAAGTTTCAGGATGTCTGGAATTTTTTGTAAGGTGATAGACTTAGGTCACCTCCAGTGATCAGGAGGCACCAGGACTAAATCATCTTGGATGCACCAGTGACCAAGCTGATTATGTTCCTACCATTGTAAAGGTCAAGAATGATGGTGCACCAAGTTTCAGAGCAGTAGGAATTTTTTGTGAGATCATAGACTGAGAACACCTCCTGCTATGAAGAGACACCAAACCCAGATTATGTACTGGCGAGTATACTGATGATGTCCCTACCATTTTAAAGGCCAGAGAACATGATAGGCTAGTTTTCAGGATCCCCAGAATTTTTTGTGAGGTGATAGACTCAGATCATCTCAACCCACCAGGAGACACCAGAGCCAGATCACTCTGGATGTACCAGTGACCAAGCTGATCATGTGCCCACCAGTTTAAAGGTCAGAGAAGATGATAAACCAAGTTTCAGGATCACAGGAATTTTTTTCATTGCTATAGTTCACCCCCTCCTCCTCTCACCTAGGGCAAATGTCTGAATGTGGTTATCATCAGATGGAGATACCAAATTTACCTGATTATAATACTTATAGACCTATATGCAAGTGATATAACTCCCTGTAGATGACATAATACCTGTTGAATATGGTCATGGAGTGGTATCACCTTCCAAACAGTAAAATGGACATAACTCATGTTCCTGACCACCAAATTTTATAAAAGTGAGTGGAACACAATCCCAGTAACACCCTCTATCAAATGAGATACTCATAAAACAATAAAAATGTGACATGTTTTATATAATATTCAGCCATACGGTGTATAAAGCAGGTTACCTTTAAAAATGTCTTAGGGATGACCTTATCATGCTGTTATACTAATTATCGTCCGTGGTTCTTTGCAACATGATACGCTTATACGAGAATAGCACTACTCCCTTTCCTCAACCAACATCATTGGAGTGTCATGCGAAAGATTGAAGAAACGACACTATTGATGACTCAAATTCGCAAGCAATAATAGCACGCAGACTCTGGCTACGCGCCGCCGCAATATCGATCATTCCAACGTGATTCCCGAGTCACTTAATGTCGCTGGCAGAAGCTCGACATCTAGGTATTAATTAGTCACCGTGGTTTGCCTCCTCTGAAGGGGGCTCCGGACGGTACTCTTCCATGATTGAAGTTCCCCGATGACTTCATTGCTGCCATTGTCTGGAACTGCTCTGCTACCGTCATCGTTCATGTCTGCACTTGAAGTAAATCCAATGGACTCTTTCAAATCAAGACATATTTACATCGGAGTTATACGCAAATGACATGATGCCGAGGTCTGAGTTTGTGGCACCATCTCGCATATAATCGAGCTGAGAGTAATATTCTCGGATACTGATGACCAGTCGGGGGACTAGGACACATTGCTGGATGGTGACGAAGAATATCGCAATGCTTCTATACCACCGGCTCCCGTCGGTATCATCCTGTGATTTATTATGTTGTGGTCATTGGTAAGATTTTCAGCAGGAAAATGCTTACATTCATGGATATAGCAGCAACCTGCATGATGTTCAAAATGAGATAACTAACGTCACATATTAGTGAGCATGTTTCATGCCTACAATCAAAAGAAATGCATTCGCTCACCACAAAAAATGCTGTACATGGTCCCTAATGATGGCAATACAATCGTCATCACCATTCCCAAATCCACGGTTTTGACGTAGACTTTGCATCTCAAGTATATGCCTCACGAGGACCCGTGCGGCGAGGAGGAGAAATAGAAGCTCGATGCATATACTTGGAATGCCGTCAAGAAAGGGTATCGCGAGGGCCCTGGACGTAGCACAGACTCCCGTACCGGAAAGTATGTTTTGCTCTGCTGAACATCAACGATGAGCGAGCGAGCGACTGTCATGAAATGTAGCTGACTTACATGTCGAGCCGCTAGTAAGAACAAGTGCTAGGCCGTCCATTATTCCTCGGGAAGCGCTAGCGGCCAGAAAACAGATAATAATGAATATTCCCATCTTCTTAGATCGAAGATACATGGCGAAAACACGGAATGCCATGATCGCTACAGTTGTTTTCGAGACATTAAGAATCCCTCATATACATGTGATCACATCATGGAACGGACCATACATCGTGCACGCGAGGGCAAACATCCCCCACGACCATGATCGCCCGACAATGCCACCTGCCAAGGAGTTAAAGGAAATACCGCACACATGTAACTCAGACTTACACCTAGAATTCGCGTTAGCCAAGGCACTGGCGCAAGTTAATAGATAGCTGGTTGAACGTACTCCTGCGTCGGACGACTCAGTAATGTATCACAGCAAAGGATTTGAAAGGCCTCACCGTATTGCTTAACAAAATGCCTGGCGCTTCCCCTACCATAGGTCGAAATATGAGTGGCTGTGGATCGTGGTTGATTCGAGAGCTGCAGTATACGTACATATCTGAACTCTGAAAATCGTCCTCAGTCAACAGATCCACGTTCTCCATTTGGACTTACATTGCAATTGCAAGACCCAGGTAGCGTGCCTGTACTATGGCGTCAGTTAATATTGTGACGTTCTCAGAGGGCAACACACAATGATGTATAGAACAGTCGTTGGCTTCCAGCGCTGGCACTGCGGGATGTTATAAGTTGGACAATATATTAGTTTGTCGAGTTTCTCACCCATATCAGTTCCACCTGGAAGGAAGCAATAAAAAGGTAGAAGTAACAGTTTTCAAGAGATCGCAGAACATACTTCACGAGTGAAACCGAGTCCTGGCAGACCAGATGTGAGCACGTTTGCACTAAATCACCATATCAATGAACAAATACCATAGTCATAGATTATGACCGCCGTAGAAGCCACTGCGCGGGAACGACCTCTAGTAAGAACCTGAACGAAAAGGAACGGAGACTTACCACTAAACCTAAAGTAAAGCTCATTATATTCTTCGCTAGACGCTAAGGTCATATCCGTGAAGGATAGAACGAAGAGCAACGCTGATCGATCCTTTCAATACTAATGTCACCCGGCATCATATGACCGTGATGGTACTGCCCATTGGTCCATTAATATCAGCTTCCCATGTCGGCTGTAGGCCGCCGACTGATACGAAACTCGATGCCCATTGTAAAAAAAAAAAAAAACCCTTCGGTAAGTGATATGACTGCCTTGACATGCGAGCGATCCACGTTCAGCGATTTGTTGAACACATCAGTACGACTATTACGTTATCACTAGCGAGGTGTCTTCTTGCTCCACTCATGGACGTCTAGACACTTACCATATTAGTTTACCCTCGTCATATCAGCAGTGGGCATATCTGATAATATCGTGTAGACCGCCTTCCCGGTTCTATCACTCGGTGCGTTTAATGACTTGGTCTTGATCTTCAATAATAATAAATCAATCAAAGACGCGCATTCCCTCCGATACATCATGATAGCAAGTGACAGGGTGCGTGTGTGGCATTAATTAATGGGTTGCAGCAGAAAAATCGTGGAGGGTATCGATGAGATATCAGGGGAAGACGGTGATATGGTCGTAAGGAGGGATCGCGGGAGAGAGAAGAGTTCGTATCAACAAAATCCAATCGTCCTCATAGTTAGACCTGAAGGAGTGATCAGAAAGAGCGAACATGTGAAAAGGATGACACATACTAAGCTGAGCTCAAGGGTCCATACTCGCCTTGCCCACAGCTTCACAGGAAGCGATGGTTCTCCAGGCCTAGCTAGATCGACCTCAAGGCCATCCCACCAGCACTTGCGCTATGAAGAACGACAGGTGAATGACTGTTCCGCACATATGCAATCAAACTTACCGCCGGTTTTCTCCAGAACAATAGCAACTTCTGAGCCGTAGCCATTTGGTTGTAGTCAATGGTGACCGGCCGCTCGCCATTTTGTCCTGGAGGATGATGTACGATGCCCGTCTTGAGCAATACAAGAGCAATTGACGAGATGCAGCATCGCGAAGGCTCCATAGCACGGAATCCCCATTCGTCGTCTCGGTTGAACCCACTATGGACGCTGTCAGCCACACCACAAGTAACCGTCAGGGTCCATACCTCATGCACAACATATCGATAAGGTGCTGCTCAGCAATGTTGTTCTCCTTGTGAACATTTCGTTGGAGGGCAGTGAAGATATTACGCTTGTCCATGACATTTTGTCCACATCTGTGCTTGATGTCAAGAAGCGCTTGGTTGTCCATGACATTTTGTCCACACCTATGCTTGATGTCAAGAAGCGCTTGGTTGGCGGTACCGTGTTCATCGGTCAGAGCCCTCCCATCCTTTGGTGGTATCGCAAAATATTCAAGTTCCTCGCGCAGCACAATGATAGCCTGCTTGGTAAGGAGTGGATTCTGCGATGCAGAAGGTCCAAAGTCTGAAGGTGACCCGTCAAGCAGATGTTGTTGTGCCGCGAACAAACCAGGCGACGTAGCGGTCCCATAAAACGTGTCTGATGCGTTTCTGAAGAAATCAAGTACGTATGCAAAGCATTCTGGATCGAACTGCAGCGCGTCAGCAAGCATGAACCACGTGAATACCGATCAGTGCCACGCACATCGACACCGTATACTTCGTCGTCCTCTTCGTTTTCCCCACCATCCGAAAATGCTTGGCTCTGACGACTCAAAACGAGCCCGTTAGGGAAGAGACACAGGAGAACAGATTCAGGGAGATTCATGATAGTTTCTCTGTCAACCGAGAAACGTCTGCCCCGGAGGTCGAGGAGCAGCCTGGTAAGTAGCTGAGGTTGAAGGCTAGTGTTCACAGGTGCATGTTGGGACACCTGCGTGATTGGCGATGAGGATATCGAGACTGCTGCCATGATGGTCAACAGAGATGATGAGGACCTTGGTGGAAACTGTTATGAACAAGTTGTGAAACGCTATTCGGGGATTTAGAACATCAACTTCGTCCAGCGCCTCGAGGCTACCACGACCTTCCTTGTTTGTGCAAACCAAATACTTCCATAATAACCCTGGATTCAAGATCGTACTTGGTTTTCTGCTACAAAGAGTCTATGCAAAAGGAGCGGACGATGCACGAAATAAATCTGAGAGATAGTTTAGGCATCAAAATTGAAATATTACAGAGATATTGCGTTTTGCGGTACTGTTCGAGATCAATGGCGCACGCTAAGATAAAAGTGAAGGAAAGACGAGAAGCACGAAAAAAGTCGTTAGGTATCATCACAGAACACGTGTGAGCGGAGTCCATAGAGAGCAAACGAGATTGCAAGAGAATCCGTAAATCACTGCGAAGCCAAGGTCTGGAACCTGTCAAGCTAGTCTCGAAGAATGTCACATGAAATCAAAAGTAGAAATAGTCCTTAATATCCGCCTCCATATGCTCCGGGCTGGGGAGGCGCTGCGCCAGGTGGTAAATTAAACGCCGTCGACGATCGAGAGTATCGGTTCTGAGGCGCCTGCGATGGGGGTCGACGAACTGATTGTCTCGCTACCCTGCGCACGCCCTCGGGCCCAGGGACGGGCCCATTGTCAGACAAGCTAACCCCGCGGCCTCCCTGCTGCTGATATTTGCTGGGTACAGGTGGTGGCGACATATCTTCCGGCTCGGCACTATAACCGCCATATTGATCATCATAGGCAGCCACATGCGCCTCAGATCGGAATGGGTTCTGAGTTTCTCCAGGGTATTGGCTAGATATGGTTGGATTGCGAAGAACACCCCCTGCCCGGGTAACCTGTGCGTCAAACTGAGGGTACCGCGGTGCCGGAGATTCGTTATATGAATCGATATATTGGTCTTGCGGGCTCGGAACAAGCCGTTGGTTTGAGGTCGAGCCTACGTCTGAATACACAACGTCCTCGCTGGAGCGCGAGATGGCAGCTGATGAAGCTGACGTTAAAGAGGCGTGGTTCCTGCTGGCGGAAAGTGGCGCGGGGAGCGTAAGAAGGGTGTTACTGTCGTGTCTTGACCGGGCACCAGATGTGTAAGGCGCACTGGGCATAGACTCCGTCGTCGAAGAGTCGAGACCACCATTAGATGTCGGGTGGTTAATATCAGAATTCGACGCCATGGAATACCGGTTGCTGTAATGGAAGTCAGCTATAAGAAATAACACGCGCTATCAATAAAAGACCCACACAGTCGAGTCACGGGATTGCACCCCACTCTTCCACCGCCTATCACGCTCAAACTCGGCCCAACGCTTCATGACGATATGCGAGGAGTCAAATTCTCCCTCCTTGTCACTATGGTCGCCACCCTTGTCACCCGCAATCTGCCGCGTCTGACCCCACGAGAAGTCATCAAAATGCCAGAACGCATAAGCAGGGAGGAGACCGTTCCATATGGGCAGCGAAAACAAATATACAATCATCCATCCGACATACGCGACCTTGCGTGACGTCACGACAATGAGAAGACCGGGTAGACCGAGGACGATGGCCAACAGCACGAGGGGAATGGTAGTATTGGCACCGCCAGGAATGATCGAGATGATGATGAGGTAAAGAGTGAAACTGATAGCCGCGGGAAGGACAAGCGTTCCCAAAAGCTCCATACCCACAACGAATTGCATTGAGAAACAGAAGGTTCCGCAAAGATCACGGACCAAAACGAGCTCAAACAGATTGTGGATCGTTGAATTAATCCAGCGACGACGTTGGGAGAGCAACACGCGGAAGGTGTCAGGGACGATCGTCTTGCAGACTGCTTGGGGACAGAACATGTTCTTGCGCTTCGGGAATGTCTTGAGCAATAGGGTCGTGAGGTATCGATCTTCTCCGAGAAGCAATAGGTTCTTCTTGTGCAGCGTGTCAACAATGTTTTCCGAGTAGCGTTCCACAATATCGGGATTTGCCAGGACGGGAACCCAGTACCCAGTGTCGCCCTTGGGAGCCTTGATCCGGTACATACTGAAACAACCAGGCAAACAAGTAACACCACCAAACATGGCTTCGAAGGCCTTAGTCATGTGGTGTGAGATGTAGTATTCGAAGACTGCCAGCGAACGTTAGGGTTGGGTTGCAAAACACCAATAAACAAAACTTACCCTGCATCATTGTCACGAAATTATCCGCCTTGTTCGCAATCTTCGTCTCTCCACACAGCCCCATGATCTCAATATCCACGACCATACATGATACCATGCGCGTTAGCGAATCCGGGAACACCTTGGTATCCGCATCAACGCAAAGCACAAGTTCATACCGATCTGGGCTGACACCAGTCACGCGCCAGACAGAGTTGAAGAACTCATACTCAAACGTCGTCATCCGCTCGTCAAACATGACTTTCTGCAAGAACGCCATGAGCACGATCTGCGAGTCACGCTTGCCTCTGTTTCCAGGCTTCGCATCATTAGCTTCAAGCGGGTTGCCAACCTTAGCGACGACAACCATGGGGACGCGCTGCTGCTTCGACCGTTCAACTGAGGCATCATCGTAGTCGTAGAAACCGGCGTAGACCTTAGCCATGTTGTGACGCTTGTGCCCATCTGCAATGGCGACATAGGAGTGCGCCTCGACATCACGGGGTTGGATGATAAAGTCTTTCATCATCGACAGACAGATCTCTGGCGTGGTCATTGTGTTCCCAGCACCCTTGACCATACCATCCACGATGACCAGAATGAGCTTGTGGCTGTTAGGATAATCTGTCGTGGCGAGGGAGTCGAGGGTTGTACGAAGACCCTCAACAGACTCTGAGTATGCTGTGACCAGGCAAATAGTGTGCGCGAGGGGGAAGTTGAAAGGTTCGAAATCGGGAGCAGGCTGTGGTACAACATTCTGCAGGGGGAACGGACAGGGGGTATCGAGAAATACCGAGCGAGGGGATATATTACGAGACGAGACGTCAGCAAACGACATAGTGCTCCTTGACTGGCGGTATGGTGTGTCAGGGGGAGTCACTTTAGAGGGAGCCTTGGTAGTGGAGTATGTGGTGTTCCGCTTGTATGGATCAGCCATTCCGAAATTCGTGGTAGGGCGAGGAGAGGCGCCCTTAGGCATGTTCTCCTGCGGTGTGAAGCGGGAGGTTGACGGGAAGAAGCCTTTCTTCCCAACCTTTCCATTCCGCAGCCCACTCTTGCTCACGTTAGGGCGATACTCGCTCGGTGCAGGTCGGTAGATGTCATTCGACCAGGCCTCAATCTCAGCGGAGCGCTGCATGCGTTGCTCATATGTCTCCCGCGGGAAATTCCCAAGCTTCCATGAGAAAAACCATGCGAACATGACAGCCATGACGAAGCGAATGGAAACGACGCCGATGATGAATACAAGGGAAAGGTAGAGGACGACCTCGGAGGCAACGCAACCAATTGAATTGGTATCGATGAACCCGACCGTGATCACGTCCTGGAGACACATGCCGATCTGGCGCTGGTTTGCTCGTAGGAACATCATCGAGAGGTCTTTTCCATTATATGTCCCATCCCCATTCTTCAGCTCATCGAAGACGGCAGGATACTGCACCTCAGTGGTGTTGAGCCACTGTAGGAGGTTTAGGTCGAGAACGTTTCTAGGAAAGTGGGTAAAAATCATAAAATATAATTAACTAGGTGGAGACTCACGACTCGAATACGGCCAAATTACGGTCAGAAGCTGCGACATCATCCCATGTATAGTAAACCTGCCCCTGAGGTTTCATTGCAGCTAGTCCCTGCCTTGCTGTGGAAGATACATGACAGTTCGTCGAATCTGTATATCCGGACGTATTCTGCGAGTTTGTCTGCGGATTGAACACATTGCATGGGAAGTACCAATCCAGCATTGACCCGCTGCCTGTGATACTGGAACCGTTCCCCTTCGTAATAACGCCCAGGCAATTATCATTGGTGATCTGGAACAAGAAGCTGGCATCGTTACCCGCGATGTTCCATCCACCAGTCAGAAGTGGGTTTGTTGATCCGTTGAACGGCCCGACAGCTGGATGCTTGAAGTTGGAAAAGTCGTAGTCATAGCCGTGAATGATTACCGAATTGTTCTGGATCTGGCCTTGGTGGAATCGATTTGGAGGCGTCCCGCAAACGGCTTCTGTGAAGCCGAATGTGATAAAACCGACAGCAGTCATCTCCATCAAGATAATGCTAATGAGACCCATTTTCTCGCGCCATGCACGCTGCTGGTCCGGTGTGCGGATACCTGAGACAATATAAGTACTCTTGCAACAAAAGCGTTCCAGGATTGCGTACCGCACGCTCTGAACAGGAAGTGAGGAATCAAACAGGTAAGAAGGTAACAGTAGATAAACCAGGCATCCTTAGGTCCTGGCCCGATGCTGTCGAGACATTTGCGCGAGTTGCGGTCAGGTACTGTCGGTGGCGCGGGGGCCTGAGTCGACGCTGGGCGCTTGCGCCGAAGGGTCGCACCCCGTTTGAAGAGAGCAAGTCCCGACTCCTGCACGTCCTCCTCACGCCCAAGGAGGGATTTCCCTCTGCGAAGCTTTGCTTTCTGCGGATAGTTTCCAGTAGCTAAAATAACGAGTTAGACGACATATTACCCTGGGTGGAGATACGCACTGGACGGCTGTACGCCCACTCTGCCGGTTCCCTCGTCCTGCATCTGCGCTGCATGGGTGCGATAGTGCCATTGCCTATGGCCAGGTTCAATCTTCTCTCTGTCTGGCCTTACCAGACTCTTCTTCCGCCCCACTCGCCCAGGATCTATGTACTCTGCTCCTTCTGTGTCGACATAGGTAGGGGAAAGTTGATTTTGATATGCGGAGGGCATTGTACGCTGGCGTTGCTGATCTAGGGCACTCTGCCTATCACCACGCTCAATATTTTGGAAGGATATATTTGGTGACCTGCCCTCATGGGACTGGTTGAAGGCTGGCCTCGGCTGCGAGGACGGGCGATGGTGCCCAGAATACTGCTGCTCTGGGTATACGGGGGGTGACTGTGGAGGTGATGGGTGATGATACTGCTGGTGGTAAGCAGACCGCGGAGGTCTTTGATCACGATAATCCATTGTTTTGAGCCAAGGAGGGTTCGGATCGCTCTATCGTGCTCGCTGTCGTTGACGCCGGCGACGCTGGTTTAGACGTCGATTGTGATGGTGAAGAGAAAAGAGCGGCGGATACGAAGATTCAATGGAAGGGAATGGGAAATGGTGCCCCGTGTTGGTGGCGCAAGGCAAAAGCCCTCAATACGTCGTTTTTTGCCACGAGCGGGTCAACAACTGCAAGTACCATTTTCGGCTGACTACACACGCTTATGCAAAATGAAGAAAAATCAAGGCGTTTCCATTACTCAATTATCATGTCTACAAATCAGATAACAAAGTAGTCTGAAAAATAATAGGGTGCAAGTCGGTCAGACTGATGGTGTTTCTGCAGGCGGTGAAGGATGAAACCATTTGAAATGGCTCATGCTGACCGCAGTCCATCATTGGCCAATCACTTGCCGCACATGCTATAGTCTAAGCAACGTGAGGACCGTCAAGGATTACGAATGATCATTGAGAGCGGAAAAAAAACCACAGCCTACCTCGGCTATTTCTATACACAGACTCCCACTCAGCACTGTAGACGCCATCAGCGCCAATTCGCCGTTGCATGCGAGCATGGCGGTCAAAAGACATTCAATATTCAAGTCTTCAGTGCGGGACTCCAGATGTAGTGCTGTGTCCCGTTCCATTGTGGACGATGCGACCCCGCTTTTCTCGTGAACGGTTGTGCACATAGCCATCTGCAGGCCTAAGAATATTCTCGCAAGCCGAATTGCCGCTGTTACACGCCATGCAACACCTAGAGTGGGAACAAGCGCTATGCATAGAAACATACCTGACATTGATCCTGTGGGGGTGCCTCAACAGTCGATTTAAACGGATCAAACCAAACCATAACACCCGAAAGCAGCGGCTCAACAATTGGACTATGAGAATACGCTCTGTCTACTACCCATTACTCGGGGCGGTCTATAACCCGTGTGAGTAAGATCAAAGGTGATGATGTCCTGGGAGCCAATTTTTTGCACGGCAAATGTATAACCATTCACATAGCAATCACATAGGCTTGCTAGGGAGCTGGGTCAACAGGACGCCATAGCGCTTTTTGAGAGTAACACGATGCCTCGAAAATTTGTCATCGGGCGAGAAACGTGCTGTATATGCAACAAAGTATCAGCATACCAAATGATGCACGCTCGCAGACCTGAAAAAATGGCATCAGGAAAGACGAACCTGGGTGTGCAGACTTGGTTATTCTGCCTGTATCCGTCGTTTTCTGAAATGACTATTCAGAAAAAAAGCCTCTCCATGAAAGTATAGGTACTCACGTTCAGAGTATATATCCTGTTCCCACTTTCGTCTAGCGTATACATAAGATGCATGGCTGCGAATGGCTGGTGAACGTTGAACGTCGTCGACGACAATGAGCAAAACCACAAAATATAATATTCCCACGCTGCCAGGATTGTCACCCTATCTTAGGTACTAGTCTGTTTATTACTAAACCTACCACCAGTGCACTACATGTGTACTCATGGGTCCGACCCTTGGCAGTCTTTGTTCAACTTCTTTCACTTAGCTCTTCGTCTCACACCATGACCAAAACTGTCCTTACCACCCCAGAGCTAGGCACTGTCGTACAGCCCGTTTACCAATACTCCGACGAGCAAACAGCCCAGGTAAAGGCATTACGCGAGGTGTGGTGCTTATCTTCCCGCACTCAGCAGTTAGCTGAGTCGTAAAAAGCATACAGATACCTTGCTCCTGGATCCCTCAGATCCGTATCATAAATGGGAGCTCCGGTGGGTGAATAAGCCGGATACCATGCCCCGGTACATGCGTGCAGCCAAATGGAAACTCCCAGACGCGATGCATAGAATAGAGGGAACGCTCAAGTGGAGGAGGGAGCTCCAGCCGGAGCTAATCAAACCTGATGACGTAGGTGCATATTCAACTCAAAGATAATATTGGCGTATACACCATTGCCAATACGCAGGTGAAGATAGAATCCGAGACCGGGAAGATGTATGTAGCTTCTTCTCCAAATGAACTTGACCCAGTCGATTAACAGAAAACAGCCTCTTAAACGGCTTTGATAAAGATGGCAGGCCTATCATATACATGCGCCCTGGTCGCGAGAACACCGAGACCAGTCCTAGGCAGTTGAGACACCTTGTCTGGTGGCTGTATGTCCCTTGTTCTCTCAATCAACGTCAACTCACAGGAGCGCAGAGAACGCGCAAAAGACTTGATGCCCCCGGGACAAGAGACGCTGGTTATTATCGTAGACTACAAGTCCACGACGCTTCGCACCAACCCTTCGATATCCATTGCCAGCAAAGTACTTACGATCCTTCAGCAGCACTACGTAGAGACCCTCGGTCGCGCAATCGTCACCAACCTCCCAATGTTGCTTAATTTCTTCTACAAAGGTATTTCGCCGTTCTTGGATCCTGTCACCCGGGACAAGGTGCGTGATGTCCTGATTATTCGGAGAACCTGGTTTATGAAGTTTGATCCGTCAGATGAGGTTCAATCCCGATCTTCTCGAGCTCATTCCAAAGTCTCAACTGGACTCTGACTTTGGAGGCGATTTCGAGTTCGAGTTCGATCACGAGATATACTGGAAGCAAATCGTCGAGTAAGTTTCCAGGGACCTTGTTATGACGCAAGCTCTAACATCATTAGTTTCTGCGGCATCGCCGACGATGGCACCCGCTTAGAAGGCTATTTCGACGGACCAAATAGCATCCATGCACAATTGCCTTCACAGCTGTCAGAGTGAGAGTTTCTACTCATCAGACGATTTATTTTTCCCACTGATTTACTCCGATGGTAACAGCGCGGATACTGAATCCGGTACTGCAACACCCAGTTCCGCCTCCACCACTATTGCATCCGTTACCTCTGCCGGCGAGACAAAGGCGCTTGCTTCAGCCGAAGTGGCACCCGCTGCCCCCGAGTCGATTGAGGCGTTGTAGATTACTTAGATATAATCTACTTATCTTGTGATAGCTTTGCGCTATATACACGGTCCTTTAGCCTGCTCAGCTTTTGACGTAGAAGTGTTTGTTATGACGAGGTGGCCGAGTTCTCGCCATGATGCTATGTGGAGCATCATGCATCATGCATCACCCCACAAGACTTTGCAAACGCTCCATCATAGAACAAGTAATTCACGAACTTGAACAGCTGCCTAAATGAGCAAGATGACATAAGCCTGACTGCCAAAGCCACGAGTCGCGGACGCCTTCTGCCACAGTCTGCCATCGACGCCACCCAATTTCCCCAGCCGCCGCACGACGTCAGCCACAGGTTTAGCCACAACGAAATCAAGCTCGAATTGACGAGCGCAATCAAGCCCCAATAAATTCAGAACAAAAAAAAGATCAACTTAAGTCTGAACGGGCGATCTATCTACATAGAATCCATCCAAGATGGTCCGACAAACGAAACAGACAGTGCGTAGTGCTCGCGGATTGAATTGTGCTTATCAGCCACCTAAATTCATTGTGGCTGAACTGTAGCCGGAAGAGAAAAAAGAGTCTCAGAAGAGAAAGACGGTTCAGAAGAAAAAGGTGACAGAGACTGGGGTATGGCCGTGCAAAATCGATGGTTGTAACAAGCAGTTTGCGAGAGAGGCCGATCTTAAAAGGCACCAGCGAACTACCAAATTACACTCCGTGCCAGGATTGTGAGTGCTTAATCGAGTATGTGTGATACGGGATGCGGTTCTGACGTGGCTCTACCCCTGTAGTGCATGTCCCCAATGTGATGCTACATTTACACGAGTATGTTCTCCTTTCATCACCTTGATTGATATGGTACAATTGATCGATGCACCTTCCAGACTGATGCACTACGTAGGCATCAGAAGTCGAGGCATGGCAATGTATTGAGTGTCAGCTCATTTATCTGATTGGATTCATAATATAGACACAACGGTGTAATCATCGAACCTACGGAGGTCGAGAAGAAGAAGGGTAGCACCGAGAACGAGCCTCGGGCGTCAGGGTCGCAATCTCACAGCCGAAGTCCATCACCGTCGTCGGAGAATCCACCCGATATTATTGCTCCCCCTCTCGGTGCCATTGGTGGTCCTCAAGGTCCACACAGTTATTATCGTCAACACACTATGCCCGCAGGTGGTAAGCCCATTCGTTCTCGACCTAGTCGCCCTCTCAATTGTCACAGCATACATGACACCTCCACTTGGAGTCATCGTTGAAGGTCAATATCCCCCCAGCGTTGGACTGCCAACATCGTCGGCCCGATTACACCAGGCAACGTGGCCCCCAGGTGCCTGGATTCCTGACGGGTCGCAACCGCCGCCGCCCATGGCAACTATGGGCTATCCACATCCTTATTATTCATATTACCGCGGAATACCTCACCCACCACCCCCTGAACTCATGGCACATCTACAAAACGGTGTCCAGCCGCATTCTCCCTCACCTTGTGATGAATCATCAAGCATAAGTAGTCCTGGTTTGGCGAGTATGCACAGTGGCGGTAACCACTCAGCATCGGGGCGAACAGGAAACTTCCAGGGGAATGAATCAAGGTCTCCTGTCATCGACCCTTCATTAGACATCTCACCAGTGTCACCAAATACAAACCGCAAGACCGTATCCCTCAAGGTCACTCACGCCGCCGTAGACGTCGCCTTGAAGTCATCAGAAAGAGAGTCGCCGTGTGCGCCAGATAGCATCCATTCACCACTCAGCCATGTGGACCCTCGATCAGTATCACACCATTCTAGCTCAGCTTCTAATGGAGGTAGCACCGATGAACGAAACGAATCATCAAGAGACCTCACGTCCAACCACGATATAGAACCATCCGGACTATTTTATCCCTCGAGATCACCGCCTCATACTCACAGTTTCGAACGTCCACCTGAAATGGAACACATGCTCACTGAAGATGGAGAGCCCATGCTAAATCCAGGTTCGTTCTATTCCTTTGTTCGTTTCGAAAGTCGATATTTATGTATTCGCAAAGCCGAGCTTCTGACTCAGGTGGGTAATGCGGTGACTGCTACAGAACCTAATGTATATGATCTGATGATGGACCTACTGAACCAGGAATCCCTTGCATCCCCTCCTCCATCGCTATAACAGTACTCTATATTATTCACGCTATTTCCCTTCGTTCTTCACATGCATTACCTTACTGTACTCACGCATACATAGCTTGCCTTCCGTGCATAAAACATTGGAAACTTTTGTAACACTCGCCCTAATCATCATCAAAGTCATAGATTCAAAACATCAGTTGCTACATGCTTGTGGAAAGCGAATGATGAAGAACATCGGTACGTGTAGGGATACAACAAATGTCGCTGTTGAAAGCGTAATATATGTAAGGAATTCAGGATGTGTGTATGATAGTGTTACAGTTTAAAGAACGGTGACCTTGGGCCATGGGAATTGCGGACCAACCTGATGAATTCATAATCAGTAAGCGTTCTGGTATTCGAAGCTTTTGACTTACAAGCTGGACACACATAGCACCCATCTTGTGTCCGACCTCGACACACTCGTCTAAGCTCTTACCAGCGACGTATGCGCCGAGGAAGCCGCCCGCAAACGCGTCACCAGCACCGTTGGTGTCAACGATCAGCTTGTCCTCGATGGGGTTGACCTTGAAGATCTTAGGACTGTCAGGTGCGGCGGAGGATACCATGGTAGTGGACTCGGCACCGTGCGTGAAGATCACGACACGCGGGCGCGATGCGTTCGACTTGGGGGAGATCGCGACGGCCTTGGCGATCGCTGCGAGGTCCTTGGTGTCTGGCAGACCGTTTGCGGCGGCATATGCCTCAGCCTCAGTCTCGTTGCCGATGATGATATCGCAGTAGGGGAGGACAGACTGCAGCTGGGTGCCGAAGAATTGCGGGATGAAAGGCGCCGAGAAGTTCATTGCGAACACCTTGTTAGCGCTGGATGCATTTGTGCTGAGCTCGAGTACGCTGGACGTGCCGTGCGTCAGGAAGAAGCCTTCTACGTAGAAGACTTTTGCAGCTGCCACCAAAGGAGCAACGGCGGGGGAAGAGAGATGGGATTGTTCGAACATCTCGGCCGCGCTGAGGTTCGTGACCAGGGAGCTAATATTGATTGATTGAGTTCGATGATACAAAACCAGTTATGATAACCTTACCGATGGTGCCCAGTAAGGACGACGGCGCAAGCACCCGTCTTTTTGCCTGGCTTGACGAGGTAAACCTCCTGCAAACCCTCACGCTTGTTTGCCGCACGCAGTTGTTCTGCGAGATCATCATCTCCCACGCAACCAGTGTAAACCACGGAATTGGGGGGAAGAACATACTGTGGGAGTGTGATTATCTGAAACCTGAGGCTTGAGTAGAGAGCATCAAAGACTTACTGCAGCTCCCCGGGCAGCGTTTTGGGAAGCACCACCAGCAACGTATGTAACCTTGTAGTTCTTTACGATCTCATCGTAGCTATAGGCATTGTGGATAAGGGTTGATGTAAAGAACGGTGATCCATGCACTTACATTGACATGTGCTTCTCTTCCGCCAGGATGGCATCGTTGGCCTTCAGATCGTACTTCTTTAGCAGCTCCTCGCCGTTAGTGACCTGCACATCGAGGAGGGGGTTACCCATGCAAAAGAGTTGGTACGTCTGAGAGGCCATGGTGGTATAAGATCAACAGGTGATGTGAACTCGGGTGAGAACAAGAGAAGTTAAAAAGATCGATATCTACCACTCGTGTGATAATCATACAGATAATTTTCCATGTCAACATCTAGGAACGAAGCTGATAATCTACCTTTTATCTATTTGGTCTGGGAATTGGTCACTTTATCACATTGATCATCCGAGACGAAAATACATAGGCCGAACTCGAGCATGAGGAAGATCTATGACCCAGGGATCGTATCACACAAAAATCGACCATCAGCGCTGCGCCATGCGTCAATTGGTACTGACGGTCAAAATATCATTGCAAAGAACGCTGCCGTGATGGTGGCCAAGGTACATAAGTACTGTATCATCACATGAGGTAAATATGTCACTGAGTCAATGTTTGGTACTTTTGAGTCACGGATGCCTGCTCCTCCAGCTCCATGATATCCTCGACAGCCCCAGCACACCGTCTTACTTCTACGTCACCCATCATTATGATGAGTCCTTGATGGGCCCTCACCGCTATCGCTACCACTGGCATTTCCAATATGATGCCTAGTACGCCGCTGGCGTCGCCTCGTCCAGCGTATGCCATTTCGTGAATGATTTGTTGATGCAGCGAACCCTCAAGCTGTTCGGAGACCGTGCTCAGAAGTTGTATGTATCCTCGTCAAGGCAATCGTTGATTCTGCACATCATTTGTCAATAGGTTCCTTCAGCGGTATGTATGTCAAATTACTCACTTCGCTGGTGAGCCATTCCCGTGATGGTACTTCAGGTCGTTGCCAGATTTTCGATAATCTGATCGTTGGTACGTGTTTTTCATCGCGCCGTGTTTGCTGTTACTTATGTTGGAACATGCCTATTCATCAGTAGCAGAAGGATAATAAACTACTTGTTTATTCTTCCATCAACAGCGTGAATTAACAATGAAATACACTGCAAAGATGCTGAAGTCAATGTCATAGGTGAAATGAGCCCATCAGATGTTGCGCGATCTCGGAATTGGAATTACTCCGATCGACCATACTTAGCCACACGCGAGCCGTGCGTCCCTCTATTATCCTTCCATTAAATCAGTCTGAGATACAGGCAGATATGGCTGGGGTTTCTATTTGCGATTGTCAATGGTTCTGGGTTCCCAACGATTGGTATCTAGCAGGACCGGTGATCACCAATAATCGCCATTTTCTCTGCAAGCGTCTTTCGAATGTCGATCTTCAAATATACCAGATCGAAGCGCGCGCCTAGAGTTCAGCCTTTTCCCCCTCAAGCTGGACTATTCCATGCTGCACGGGAACGCAGGTAGGTATTAGCAGAAGGGTCTATGCAAGACGATGTATTGTTGCGTGTATGGCCAAGTGATATTGGATCACGTGAAGGAGAAATGAGGTGGCGCTGAACATGAACTATGTATGTGTTAGTAATCGTAAAATCATAGCGATAATGGCAAGGCATGACGTAGATGGAGCAATACAAGTAACACAACAGGTGTCGCACATTGTCCGGAGAATCAAGAACACTACACAGATAGAATGGTGATGGGGGTAAATTTCGCGCTCGTGAACAACCTAACCACGGGAGTAAGGGACTACCTGCCCGCTCAAGCAATCAGTGGGCCGCGCATTCCATCGCCGCGACGAGCCGCGAGAATGCCGCGGATGAGCACAACAAAGATGGCAAAAGTTACAAGAAGCCTAGCAAGGATATCAACAAAGAAGCAATAGACATGTATCAATGACACATACCAAATAACCCAGGCAAAGCCTTCTAGCGCGTTAAGTTGACCACAATAGACGAACACGTTCTGGGTACTAGACAGATATAGGAGGTCAGCAATGAGAGAGCGTAGGAGGAAGATACACTAACGTGCAATTCAGCCCTCCACCGAGAGTTGCAGTTATACTTGCAGCACCCGCGGTCCAGAAGACCCATGTTATGAACAGGCTACAACGAGTTGGTCAGCAAGTTCGTCCGTCCATATCAACGGAGGGCTACGTACAAGAATATATGAGAAGCCACACTAGCCATAACAGTGTCTGGAAGAGAGAAAAAGAAGAACATGTAGAGACCAGAGAATACGACGGTCCATATTGAAGTGAACAACAGAAAACGAGTGCGGTCTCGTTCATCTAGACTGAAGTAGTTGTTGTGGGCATTAAAACGTGACGTGAGCCAGGCCGAGATTGCAAGCTACCATAGGAGGTTATTATTTCACCGTTACAACAAAAAGGGCACACACCTCGATGATACTGAAGAACATAATCAACGAGAAAACAACTGAAATTCGGGGTGTCAGCTAACTGAGTAAAGCACGATGAGGTAGACTCACTAGGGTGTCCCCTTCGCATGTGGGTATCAAAAGCCATTGCGCGAGGTAAAATTGGTTTGAGTGAGGTTCGTGACTGTTCGTGAATGATGAAAGTAGAAAGAAAGAAGTGGGTTTCGATGGAGACTGTGGAGACTGCGCGCAAGTTGAACAGAAGCACCGTGGCTGTGCAGCTGTGTTACCGCATTCAGTTCTGACGTCATCACTTGTCTTCGCAACTGCTATTGTGTATTTCTGACAAGGTAACAAGGCAAACGTGTGATATCCAAACATTGTCCATATGAGATGAGCAGTAATGTACAAATGAGACTATGCGGCGAGAAAGACATTTTGAAATTGAAAACCCTTAGAAGCGGACAAAGCGGGCACTAATGGACATCCCTTCGTCTGGGACGCAAACGCGGTCACCAGGCATGAGTTTGTCGCAGTCTACTTTGGGGTTGACAATGCGGAGTTTGTCTAAAGAAGAATTGTGGCTGGTGGCGATATCCCAACAAGTGTCCCCAGGTTGCACGATGTAGGAGAGTGTTGTTGAAGGGCATGGAATGGGGGCGACGCGTGTAGGCAACAGGACGAGACGCCACACCAGTAATAAGACTACGGCGATAATGAGAAAGAATGGGAAAAGTGTCCGATAAGCTCCTCCTCGCAGATTGTACCGCGTACCGTGCTACAGCCGGATTAAGATAGGGTGGAGGCTGTGACGTGGAGGAACTCACCTCATCCAAGGCCAAAATATGGTAACCGTCAGTGCGGGTAGGAGCAGCTTCCAAGTCGCTGTCTTCGTCTACCTCTTGAGGGATGGAAGGAGGAATTTCAGACACTGAATGCAGGTGTCAGCTGTGAGCGATACCAAGACATCATCCACAACCTCACCCAGCGTGAGCTCTCCAAATTCGGAGCCTTCTGGCCCTTTGTACAACAAGCCTTCACGGTCGTGAAAATAATACCGCCCGCTGTCGGCGTCGTAACCAACTCGTTTCACACCTTCTGGGAGCCTGTAGTCATCCTAAAAAATACACGTCAGTTTCTCGAAGGCAAGGTCAAAAGTAGGACAGTACTTCGTCGTACTGCGTCCAGCGCCCCATAGTGTTCGTCGCGCACAGAAGGCCAACCAGTGGATAAGTGCTGTGGTTGCGAAACAAGAACTTCTTAAAGTTGGGATTGAAAGGGAGACTGAAGTTGTTTTGACGCCAGCAGTGCAATATTGATGTCGCGGAGAACGCCGAACATTTGTCCACAAGTGTCAACAAGGCGCCCGCTAGGGGTTGTGGAGTGATGCACCGTATCGGACTGATTGTACTTATCATGCAAAACTGTAAGCCCGTTGGCTTACCTGAGTTCCCATAATCAGCGCTCAGCATAAATACTCTCCGAGGTAATGAAGCGTGAGCTTTCATTATCACTACCTTTCGGCGTGGACGACAGTCTTGACCTACTTACAAAAAATCATGTTTCCAATTTCATCCGAACTCATATTCAAAGTTGCCTTGCGCAGTGAGGCGTTACTCACTTTGCCTCGCTGGAACAAAGGGACAGCCTTCACGAAAGAAGAGCGCAAAAGTTTTGGTCTGACGGGTAGAATTCCCTCGCGCGTCAATACCCTTGACGAACAGTGCGATAGAGCCTATGATCAGCTGCGCTCTGTTGACTCCCCCATACGCATGAATTCGTTCTTGCAGAGTCTGAAAGAGCAAAACTGGGTGCTTTACTATTCCCTGCTATCTAGACATCTCAAGGAGTTGACTCCTATTATATATACCCCTACGGAGGTGAGCGTTTGCCTTGTCTTGAATGTTCAAGGGATCGACTGTATTGCAGGCAGAAGCGATTGCAAACTACTCCCATCTTTTTCGTCGTAGCGAGGGCTTGTTTCTCACATTCTCGGATCAAGACTCCATGGAGGAGGATTTTCTGGAGCAAACCCGCGGCAGAGAAATTGAGCTGATAGTCTGCACAGACGCAGAGGCCATCCTCGGCATTGGCGATCAAGGCGTTGGTGTATGCACCATTTCTGTTACGTATCCTTGCAACTTATCACTAATGCATGACGTCATAGGGAATCGGGGTGAGTCTCAACATTTCTGCGACGAAAAGTGTTGCAGAACAGAGGTTGTTTTAGATATCAACTGCAAAATCTGTGATATACACGTGAGTTCGCTCTGCCTCCGATTATCCTCTGATCTTATATCGCGACAGGTTAATGGTTGGGATTAACCCGTCGAAAGCGCTCAGTGTGACCCTTGATGTCGGCACCGATAACGAAACACTTTTAAACGATCGTCTCTATGTTGTGCGTGACTTTTAAATCACAGTTGCTGTTTGCTCATCGGACAATTCAGGGATGGCCTTCGAGAAGAGTCCGAGGTGTCGAGTATGATAAATTCATCGACAAGTAAGTTTGACATACTACTTGGTTGGTCTCGCCTCACGGGCTTGCCATGGCTTCGTAGGTTTGTCCAGTTGATTCGCAAATATCAGCCACACTGCCTGTTGCACTTCGAAGATTTTGGAGTCACCAATGCTCAGCGACTCCTTGAGCTATACCGGAATGAACATTCTGTTTTCAATGATGATATGTATGGCTACACAACGTCCATGATCAACACTAACGTTCCGTAGCCAAGGAACTGGCGCAGTTACATTGGCCGCTTTGATGGCCGCCGTCGGGGTGACAAAGTCGAAGCTGGCGGATCAACGCTACGTCATTTTCGGAGCAGGTTCTGCGGGCCTTGGGATTACAACACAAGTCCGGGATGCAATCATGCTCGCAGACGGCGTTTCTCGTGAGGAAGCCAACAAGAAGTTCTACCTCGTTGACCGCTTTGGTCTCATCAAGCAGTCTCTTGGCCCTGATAAGATACGCGCTGCACTGCAAGAGTTTGTGCGGCCCGATGAAGAGTGGGCCGGTGTTCTGACTAATGACGCGGGAGAGGTTGAGCTTCTGGAGGTTGTCAGGAAAGCACAACCAACAGTTCTGATAGGATGTTCGACGAAAGGGGGTGCTTTCACAGAGCGCGTCGTGAAGGCAATGAAGAAAGGCTGCGAGAGGCCTATTATTCTCCCTCTCAGTAACCCTAGCAAGCTGGTGGAAGTGGATCCGAAGGACGCGAATGACTGGACAGAAGGGATGGCTCTGCTGGCCACGGGCAGTCCATTTCCACCAGCTAAAATGCCGAATGGCAAAGACTATGTGTAAGCCTTTCATATCGAGGGTATCGTGCATGAGCTGATTCGAACGTACAGCATCGCTGAATGCAACAGTGAGCTCCTGCGAAATTACCTGTTTGGGCATGCTAAGTAACGTTAACCGCTGCTGCTTTCAGATGCCCTCATCTACCCTGGACTTGGATTTGGTGCTGTGCTATCGCAATCCAGGCAGATGACCGACGGGATGATCATCGCAGGCGCACGACGTCTCGCTGCTCTCTCTCCTGCACTTAAAGACCCAGACAGTGGACTTTTACCCGACTTCCAAGATGCTCCAGCAGCGAATTTTGAGGTTGCGATAGCTGTAGCAGAACAGGCGTTTGATGAAGGCATCCAGGGAGTCAGCTGGAGCAAAGAAGAAGTGAGAACTAAGGCAGAAGAAAAACAGTGGAAGCCGGTGTACGGCAGGTATGAGTATGATGATCATGGTGCGAAGTAGTGTTGGACCTTGGTCCGTTTCGGAACTTCGAGAAGCAAGACTCATGTCTAATTGAAATTCGGCTGCAAAGAAGGAAGACCCAAACCGCAGCTTTGATCCTAGATAATTGCGCGCTGCGGGGCCCATCGCAGTGTCGTTACGCGCTGTCTTCATTATTGATATAAAGCTGCAGGTATAATGCTATCGGAGTCGCGTTGAATTTGAAGCACCTCCCAACTCCAATACTTGTCACGCTTTCGCGTCGGTCACAAGTGTGACTGGACGCGTCTTGGTCTAAGATCAAGCTCGAGGTTTTTTGTTTTTTCCCCAACCAAAATGTCCCATTCTGATCTTTCTGAGTCCTCTGTTGTTGATGTGGGCAGCGATGAGAAAAAACCGGAGGACCACGTTACAAAGAAGATCAAAATCACTGCCAATAATGGATGGGAGCACGTCTTGGCAAGAGGTGGAATCAAATCTCGCTTTACAAAAGCTACTGCCTGCAGAGGCGACTGAATTCCTCAAGAACTATCGTCCCCGGGCACAGAAGCAGAGTCTTGAAATACTTGTTTCATTACCTCTGGACATCCTATTCGAGGTAACGCGAGACCTCCGTCATATCATCATTTGAGGCAGTCATTATGATCGCGTCCAGATCTTCGGAAAGCTGCTTCCATTCGATTTGCTTCATCTCGCACGCACTACCAAGGCTCTGCGCGCTGTACTTATGCACCCTTCGTCTACCACCGTGTGGAGGGCTGCGCGCTCGAATGTAACAGGCATGCCTCGTTGCGCTGATGATATGTCAGAGCCTGCGCATGCGAGCCTAGCGTTCGATATGCATTGTTACGTAAGTGTGTTTAATCATAGTCATCAAATGCAGTTGAGATCCTCTTGGCATTCAGAATTGTCTCAAACCAAATGTGCGCAATGTCGACTGGATCCTCCGAGTCAGGTACTGTCAAAAATGCTTTAAAGAGCGGTAGGTTGTATCTCGGTTAATAATAATGGACTTACTGACTGGTGTTTTAGTACAGAGATCGTCGATGATAAGTTCAAAGAAGCATATGGACCGAAATTGCACCACTGCCTCGCATTGAGCCGCGTAACGCAGAATAATCGTTGGTTTTCGGTTTATCTACTGACGCATGCCCTTACTTGATTTCACCTTCAAGGGAAGGACACCCGTTGTCTGATTTCAGACAAGGAAGCGTTGGTTAATGAGTTACAAAAGCTCGGGTCAGAAGAAAGATCCGTGCTCCGAGGAAAGAAGAGAGATGAAGTCCTCATTCGAAAGGAGGTATATCTCTCATTTTAAAGAGTTTCTTTTCCATCTGTTGAGCGTTTTCAGCACGCAATTTTGTGCACAAAATGGACGGAAGGCGAACAACGGAACAGATGGAAAGAACTCGATCAGCTAAGAAGCCTGCGCTATGACGCGTAAGTCTTGTGTTCAGTTCTGGGCGTTCGCCGCTCAACAATCACAGTATTGTGGAGAAGTTGATCGAACTTGGTTGGGGGGAGGAGATCGACAAGCTTCCAGATCGGCATACTGCGCGAGTCTATAAGTTGACCCATATTGAAGATCATCCACTTGTTAAGCAGCCAAAGCCTTTGACCGATCGCAGTAAGAATTTTCATCTGCTTTTGGGCGCTTGTGTTTTTGAACGCTTATTTTAAACCCAGTCTGGCAAAATATTCAACAAAAGTTGCTCGAATTCATGGGCCAGATGCGCGAATTCCGCATTCAGCAAGAAAGAAAACGGCAAATCAGGCAGCGACAGAGCATCATAGCTGCGATCTACAGCGACTATCAACGACAGAATGGCACTCACCAGTATCTCATGCCTACTGCCGCTAATATTTTCGAGATGCCAGAAGTTCACAATATTGTGGAGTTGCCTGCTCATCTGACAGTCACCGCGGAAGATTTTCAGCCCTTTCGCGAGAAGCTCCCCACCAAAATCGAAGTTTGGCAGCGCTGCACCAGGGATCATTTACGGTCGACCTTGCTATGGGACCATGAAATCGACACACCGCCGCGCTGGGCGTGGGACCCGGCCCCCCCCTCCATCAACTACGAGAGACTTGCTGCCGCTGTCTTTGTGTGCACGAGATGGCTTTGCGACGACGTTCCTGAGTCTAACGACTCGCCCCGGTACATGTACTACCCAGAGTATCTTCACCATAGGTGCAACCGGATCCGGCGACGAAAGTGGGATGAACTCGACCCCCCTAATACGTTCGCAATGGGACAAGGGTACCCTGGAAGTACAGTGCAACAAAAGTGGTCATCTGATGACCTCGATTTCGATAAGAAGGCCTCCCGAACTGTGAAAAACATCCTTGAGGCATGCGACCTAGACTGGAGAGATGTGACAGCGCCGGAGCTCGATGATCTAGATCCTAGGCTGGTCTGCCTAAAATGCAGCTACGGCAACCGCAGTGATGGAGAAAGACCTATGGTAGTCCGTTCATGGCGAGAATCCGTAAGTTGATTTATAAGCTGAAATAGGACTGCGCTGACGAGATCACAGGTAAAACATTGTGCTAAGAAGCATTGGGGTGACACGAATGTAAGGTGGCAGAAAATTTCGGACGAGGAGGCTAGAACTCTTCGCCAAGTTCAAGAGGAAGCTGCCTCGAGTACTATGGCACCTCTACGCAAGATTTGGCGGTGCACTTATTGCCGTGACAAACCTAGAGAACCGGAGAAAATGACTGTGCAGGAAATGACGAATCATTTAGAGGATCAGTAAGTAGGATCACTATGCACAAGCATAATCTCGACTGATGCGGACCCTCCAAAGCCATTCCATAGATCTAATTGACCAACTTGTCGGAAGGGACTTTGTTCAAGCTTTGGACGTCCCTCCTAAAGCCATTCCTTCTGCGAAGCTGAAGCCGAAAGCCGTGGTCCCCCCGCCTTTTGAATTTAAGTTTCCGAAGGACGCAGGATCAAGCTACTGGGGTGTCTTTCCGTGAAGTCGCCATTGCGACCAGGGTATGCAGGTGTTGCGGTTGGGTTTATCGGCTTGGTTTTCCATCCATACATGATAATCGTACAAAATCATAGCCGTATCAAACGAAAGCTTAAACATTTAGCTCATCTGACTTACAAGAGGGTCATTGGACTGCGTTTACGATTGATGTTCATAGTATCATACGCCTGACTTGAGTCTAATTAGTAATTTCTCGTACTCTTGATTAGATTACCTAAGCACTCACTGCTCGCACTTATCAAGTCATGGCCACAACCCAGCCAGCCCAGGTGGACCCGCAGTCCGTGCAGAATGCCACACCAACACTAGCAGAAAATGGGACGCCTCCACCAGAGGGGGAAGAACACATCTCCGAGACTCTCTATATCCAAAACCTCAACGAGAAGGTGAAGATCGACGGTGAGCATCGAAACATTCCAAAGTTTGGTTGCCCATAACTGATTTCGCTTTCTTTCATAGTGCTCAAAGCTTCACTAAGAGGCCTGTTTAAGTCATATGGGGAGGTGCTAGATGTTGTGGCGCACAGTAACTTGAGAATGAGGGGTCAAGCATTCGTCTCGTTCGCGTCCCCAGAAATCGCGAAGAAAGCTATGAAGGAAGTCCGTGGCTTCCCTCTCTACTCCAAACCTATGGTATGCCATTCTCAGATTTAGCCTTGTTTTCTCCTCACATGATCGTTTCAGCAAATTTCGTTTGCGCGGACGCGATCCGATGCTGTTGTTAAACGACTGGACACTACCAACCTTGAACAGCACACAGCGAAGAGAGCTGAGCACAAAAGTGAGTATTCCTTGACAAGAGGTGTTATGAAGAGCTAGGAAGAGCTGACTTGTGCAGGGCGTACGCGATACTCGAACCCCTTGAAGCAGAAGTTTAAGGCTAAGCGGATGGCCGCAGAAAGTTTGTGTTACAGCTTCATATTCATAAACCGCATACTGAATGATATTCATTGCAGTGGATGGAGCTGCTGCAGCTCCTGCAGCCAGGCGTCCCAATGTCCAGATGCCAGACGAATACTTACCTCCCAACAAGATTCTTTTCCTTCAAAATTTGCCTGAAAGTGTCACGAAGGATCAGCTTATGGCCCTTTTCTCTCAGTATGTGGATTCGCTCTGCGATGGGAGGCCGTTCCTAACTTCCCCAGGTATCCAAACCTCCACGAGGTTCGACTTATTCCAACAAAAAAAGACTATCGCGTTCGTGGAATACATGGACGAAGGCAGCGCTGGGGTTGCCAAAGACGCCCTTCACAACTACAAACTTGATGGGGAGAACAAGATCAAGGTTTGTAAGACGTGTCTTCTTTGAGAACTACTCTAACTTTGTTTCAGATTACATTTGCCCGGAAGTGAACTCGCTTCTTGTATTGTCGTGCTTCGGGATACTGTATCATATATGTTTTAATCGACATTGAGTCAGAGCTCCGGAGTGGTCCACCTATTATCGCCACGACTGCTTCAAGCCCACCTCGCCAAATGATTTCACGATCAAGATTTCAAAGATCAGCGAATGACTGAATGTGAATTGCACTCCGGTCCCCAACCGAGGCGGGATCCACATTGGACTTGCACTTCGTAGCAAGGCCCAGAAGACATTCGCTATGCACTCGCGGAGTGTGATCTTGGCGAACCAATACAAGCTTTACGGCACCCCTAAACCTACTTACCCAGATTGTCTGCCTTGGCTTGGTAGCTGTTGGCCGGGGCTTGATCGGAAAAGGTTAACTAAGACGCCGGTTCATCGATATTCCAGGTTGTTCTACAATCCCTTCAAGTTGTTTACAGTGTGAATCGCGAACCAACGATGGTCCCGAAAACCGTGGTAAGTGCGTTCGTGCGCTGTGTCACAGCATGTGTCGAAAATCATACCCTGCTAGACGTATGAATCGTCAGACGATGAATTGTATTCAGACGGCTGGGATGTTTTTAAGATGCAAGTGGACGCGTTAGGTACGTGCAGCTCGCGTTGGGAAATTCAACAGACCAATTCAACTCTGCAGACCTCTCCAAGTCCCCCACTCGACCGTTGGCGGAACAACTAGGCGAAAAGCTCTCCATCTCGCGTGAGGTAACGCCTCGGGCGCCTCAGGTGGATTCCCGTTCACGAAGACGAGTATCACACGATGAAGAGATGCAGGAGATGGATGAAGGTACAGTACTTCAATTTGCTCAAATGAATATGTTATTCACACCCTCACAGTTGCCCAAAGATGTGTGTGATCTTTAATGATCCGCATTCTCACTCATTGATGTCATTTGAATCAGTGATAGAGACGGACAGTGATTCCGAATCAGTACCATCAACACAACAATCTTTATTGTTCTCGAGTTGTACGACCTCGATGTCATCCGTTGGATCGACGGGCGTGAAACGTGCACCAGACTGGTCTCTACCTCCACCACCAGCAGTGAAACGCAAAGTCGATCCAATCGCACCAGTCGTAAGTCATCGTATCCATTCGATCCAACGTGTTCTCATAGTACTGCAGGTGAATCTTCCGCAAGCCGGAAAAAGCACAAGACGCAATTCCCCAGAGTTCGGCGTCCAGTTGGATGTTGCACACATCGCCCACTGTGAGAAGGCACAGGCAGTCCTCGATCGACATCAACTCGCGTGGGGAACGGTTTACGAACTGGCACGAGGCGTCACTCGTGGGAGCTGGACGTTCGCAGACATGACGGAGAATCGTTTGATTAAACTCAAGGGTTCAAATGCTGAAGCTGCCTGGAAAGTGACTGCCGTCATGAAAGATAAGGTGCCGTCTGCGATGGGAGCACCGTCAGAACTTTGGTATTAACTTCAAAAGCCTCGCGAATCGCCAGCTAACACGATCGAAAGGCTTGAATACGATCGGGAGCAGCTCGCGATTGTCGAAAACAAAGGTCGCGGCCTCGGAACTATGGGACAATGGGAAGGTAAAGATAATTGGTACGGAGGCAAAATCCAGCAAGCTGCCCGTATCGTAAAAGCTGGAAAGTCTTTCAAATTCGAGCTCGAGAAACCGGAGATTCGGAGATCACACCGATTCGCTCGGTTTTTGGGGTCTCGACGGATCCTCCAAGTGCGTGTCCCAGACAATCTGACGTACGACAAAGTAGGCGCAGCAATTCGGGAGTTTCTAACGTCAAATAAATTCGTGTTGTGTGGCCGCGTCTTCGTACCCTTCCATGCGAAGGAAGGAAACCTGTACCTTTTTGAAACGCACGAGAACGTAGATCGGCAGGCAAATCTTGGCGACGGCGACGGTCATCGACTAACGCTCTACCAGTTTGTGCAGTGGCATAATCCACTGAGGTTGAATTCGAAACAGGTGGATATATTTTTGTCCGTATTATGCAGTTCTGAACTTCTGACGCACACCCCGAGTAGCCCATCAGTAAATGGTCTACACGATGGGCGCTGGGCCTCTCAACTTCGGTGCCAACTATCGAATTCGCTCCAGAGAATATGTTCTTCATTAATGATCAACGTAGCATTTTCTCTAGCCCCTAAACTGCGATGTACTGACTCCTGTCTTGTAGACGCTGTTGATTGGGGGGAAGGAAAGCCTCCAGCTGAAAAAATCATGACCGATGGGTGTGGATTCATCAGTGGAGCGGCCTTGACGGCTATCATGCGAGTAATGCACTATCCGAGTCGACCGACCGCGGTACAGGGGCGCATTGCTGGCGCCAAGGGAATGTGGGTTATACACCCAGCTCCCGAGCATCAAGTCGTCGATGGAGCACCAAAAATTTGGATCCGCGACTCCCAGAATAAAATAAATCTCGGCCCGCTACCTGAAGTGGACACTTCCCACCGAATCTTCGATCTCCTCGCGCCGTCTCGTGTAACCGGGCCAAGCCGTCTGTCAAGCCAGACGCTCGTCAACCTGGCACATGGCCGTGTCCCTTTGGAAATTTTGAAGGAGCTCATGGCTGATGGGCTCCATGATGAAGTGCGGCAGCTTACAGAATGGAATGGGCGTGATTCCATGCTCACAGTTTGGCGAGCTGTTGAGCAAGCCGGTCGTGTTGTAATCTCGAGGCTGCGTCGACGCATTGCTGGCCAGGCGCGTGCACTCGGCCTTGGTCAACTCCGACCCAACGAGGAACATACTGATGAGATTGATGATCGCGAGGATATCACAGTGAACCAATCGCTAGGTGGCTCGAATCCTCGGAGTCGCAATCCCCACAGCGGTGAACCCCTGACTCTACACGAGTCTGCTCTCGAGCTACTTCAGGCTGGGTTCCACCCCCTCAGACTTGACCGGCTATTTTTCAAGCTTGAATATGTGGTGACATTGGTTCTTGATGAATATATAGAGAAGTTCCACATTCCGGTCAAGGAGTCCCTTGAAGCATACATCATACCGGGTAAGCAGTTTCTTCTGTGATTATTGTTTCTTAGTTAATCTGGGAGCAGATCCATATGGGGTTCTCGAGGAGGGCCAGATCCATTTTCGCTCGTCAGAGCTCATTACCGACCCTGAAAGCGGAACCCAGATGGATATTGTGACTGGGTCTGTTTTGGTAAGCACTTCGGTTCATTGCAATGAACTGTCCTGAGACATTAATGCACAGGTGTGGAGGAATCCCACGAGACTGCCCTCGGACGTCCAGAAGGTAAGAAAATAGATGCCTCGTTGGAATGGCCTCATCAAACACGGATCAGGTTACCGCCGTTAGCCACCCGAAACTAGCAAATTACTTTGATGTAATCGTGTTCCCTGTGAAGGGGGAGCGCTCACTGGCAAGCTACTTGGGTGGTGGAGGTCGGCACCTGTTTCCTTCATATTTTCAGGGTATTTCTGACACGTCTGTTCTCTAGATTACGACGGAGGTGAGTTGCCTCTCAAATTTTCCTCTTACATTTTCATTGTTCAATAATTGCTTTCAAAGATACGGTCACACTGGTCTGGTCTAAAAACCTCGTCGAAAACTTTAACACTAGTCCGCTTTGTGAGGCACCTGTTAGCTTGAGCAACGACTTCGAGCGAGAGGTTGAACACATTGTGGATTTCGACCAACGAGTATCCAAACTCTCTGCGAAAGAGGCTCAAACAGCATTTCAAAAGGTTCTGCTTCTTGGGCTTGCGGAGACGAAGGTGGGGTTGTATTCGAAGTTCCACGACCTGGCCGTGTATGAGCGCGGCTATGCAAGTGCTACTGCCATTCGACTAGCATACATGTGAGTATTTCAGGCCTATTGCTACGACACTCGCTTTATGCTACGTCGTACAGGTTTACCACCTGCCTTGATGCAAGCAAGACTGGGCTGCGGGTTAAAACGCGTGTCTTCGAAAAAGACCGCAAATCTTGTGGGAACCGCAAGCCATATTACATGGCCGCTCTCGAACAGAACACGGCCGAGCGCCAAGAGGTATCGAAGCGCACGGGCTCAACTCCGTACATTCTCGACGCCCTTGTTGACGAGGGCCGTCGCCTCCGCGACGACTTCCTCAAGCGCTACTCGAATCTCCGTGGACCATCTACTAATGTAGCTGACCGTGACCCTCATCTCATGTCCCCTTACCTATCTGCATCACGTAGGGCAATGCAAACTTCGCATGCCGGTTTCCCGGGTCTGCAGAACAACTTAACTCTGGCGAAAAACCATGTCCAAAGGGCATATGAGGCCTGGCAAGCCGCCGTCGCTTTGCCGAAGAGCGCTTCGAAGGTGAAGGGGTCCCCTGACCCTAAGGAACAACAGATCCAAAAGTCTGTGCAGTCCTATGCGCAGCGGCCGGAGGTACTCTTTTTTTCGGAGGAGGAACTCAAGACAGTTATGGCATCATATGCATACACCATGAGTGGTGCGTTCGGCTTCTCCGTCGCATTCGCAGAACTCTGCGCCATCAAGGCGCGAGTGCAGGGTGCTGTACTCTTTGCAGATAGATTCGCGGAAGTGATGAACATTCCCAACAATATCCTGCGAGCGCTTTCACAGGCGCAGGATGATGTGGATGATTGAGGTTTACATTTTTTGTCGGGCATCATAGTCATATAGCACACAAGCATATCTGTTGTTTTCATTTCCTGCTTTCTTGCTTTCGATCTTGCACTATCTTTGTACTACGTAACTCAATTGATGTGTCCGAATTTCTCAGGGCAATTTCGAGCAGGCCCGGGCGCTCGAAACACACAAACTAGAAGGACAGGGGATTTACCGCAAAGATAAGATATACCATAGTTAGGTTCATCAAAGATAGTCGACACGCTAACTTATTTGAAACTTCGGGTTGGTAGACCGTAGCGCCACGCTGGCAAGATCGAATCATCGTACGCTGAGAACGACTTAATCAGGTTCATCAGCAACAGCGGCTGAAATTTCACGTAGTTTAAGTGTTAGATCTCAATTAATTCAGTTCACCTGAGACTATACCAAACAGGGAATGTCAGGGATCGTTCAACGATAGTTTTTCGACGGGTCCAAACGCTGATGTTGCTCTGGTTCAGCAGAGTCGACCGTCGGGGACACGTCGATGAGCGGCATAGAATTGCAGAAAATTCCATTTACAGCTGCCAGCAAGCATGTGGGAGAGGGCAAAAGAACAACGACCTAATGACTCGTAATGAGCCGCCCGTCGCACCCGAGTCCGGCTACATGGTAATAATTCACTCGGAACCACTCTGCAAAGCGAAGTATCCTTGACAACTCCTGGAAATGAGTTGCATGAGTTCTTACCTCCTTTCAAAGGGGTTCATCCGATCGGTAGTTGTCTCTTCTCGTCGGTGCCCTCGTGTCCTATATCATCATAGCTAAATCTCCCAGCTTCACCCAAGCGGCGGTGTTCCAACGTGATGGGCTCTGGGGAAGCGTCGCAGTGACCCTGATCACTTGCGATCTGGCTAGTAGCATCAAGGGTTTATTGCAAACTTTTTTAGCATGACAAAGGTCAAAATCAGAGAAGGGAGACAAAGCTTGATGAATCCAGACGCTGTAAACTTCACCAGAAGTGATGATGAAAGAAAATCCATAACAAATCCGATGAGTCATACCTGAGACGAACCTTGCTTAGTAACATGTCACAGCTGAATCTATGTTCACCGAGCACGACCAAGTACTGGCATGGATTGAGCATGGACTATGCAGTATATACTCGGTCATGGTAAAGTCGATGCCAATCACCCTCACCCCTTCATTAGAAGTCGGAACCAATTGATTGCGTAGGCACTAGGCCAGTCAAGTTTCAGCCTCAACTTAAGACCCCGACGGCCGACGCAAGATTCTAAGACCTGGTGGACCTTACACAAGCATACATGTCGTTCTTAGCTTTTAAGACATACACAAGGCATTATATTTCAACATACATACTTCGGGCAGCATACTTTATCATATATGCTTCAGTCTCTTTTGTTGATGCAAGCTTCTCGGAGGTAAAACATTTGTTTTCATAGGTTTGATCAAGGAAGCAACTTTCAACGACCGCAACCGCGCACGGGCCATCAGTGAACTGATGAGCCGCACATCTACAACTTTAGCCGCTCATTGAGCTGCTCATTGGGTGCTCGGGAGCGATACTTTTGGGATAGTTCAGGGACACTGTCGCCTAAGTACCTCTCCACCGATGAGAGCGCACGCTTAAAAGCTTCAAATGTGAACGTAAACTAGGCCGTCTCTCAGATGCAGATAAAGTTTTGTATGACGATATATCGTCATACTATATAAAACTTCTTTCCTTTATATTGGAATATAAAGTCATGTAAAGTCATGTAAAACGCCGTAATCGACGTAAAGTACCCCTGGGTAATAGATTCACGGGTTTTCTCATGCAGTCCGCAGTCCTTACCTTTGTCATGCACCATAGTGGGTGCTTGGCTCTATCACTCGGACTGACTTCAAGCTTCAAGTTCCACCCTCCCACAGATCACCCGTGCTTATGTACGCCAAGCTACGCGCACTCTGCTATTGTCACAGTACACTTGCACATATGCAAGCTCCCGCCAAGAGGATCGTGCGAGTGTTTTCTTCTCCCCATCTAGCGGAAAAATCACCACTGTGCTGCTTCTGCATACGTGCATGCTTCGAAACCCCCACAACTTGTTTGTCGAATCTCACGGTAACGCGTAATACGCATGAATCGGTATGATAAGCCATTGCAGGATGACAACATCCACCTTTCTGCGTGTAGCGCAAACGAACAACGAAATCATGGAGTTGTATCTGGATACTGCAGCCTGTTCGTCGATGGCGCCTTGTCCCACGTGTGCATCTCGGAAATACTTGGGCAACATCCCGAAACTGACGGATTACCTTGCATCTCTTCGGTGCTTCAAAAGTTGCGCACTTACTATGACTGCGCACGTGTGTTCGGTTGGTAGCACAGACACAAGGAGTTAGACGAGTGGTGAACTTTCACCCGCAGGATGCACGAAAGCAGCGTGCACTCGGTATTCCCAACCATCTACTTCAACGATCCTTTTCAAGTTATTGTGACATAATTTATTCAAGAAGCTATGTGTACATAGAACTCTACATTAGTAGCACAGTAACCGATCAAAATATACGCGCATAGAACAAGACGACACAACGCGATCTAGCCCACTAAGTGGATTGGCGGTGAAGAAAACAAGTGAGTCCGCATGGTTCGCAATTCACGCTTCTGCGAGAGCCAGAGGACTAGTCTCGGGCGGCCTCAGGATAGTTCTGCATCATATGCCTGAGCTCCGTCTCGGGAATCCTCGTCTTAAACTCAATAGCGCATGGTCGGATCTTGTCCATCGCCCCGTTCATGTACCCCATGTCATTCAGTGGCTTCGTAGGATCCCGAGTCAGCTGGAAAGCCCAAAGGACCAGGGCCGCGTTGATGAACAGCGATCTGTAACCGTTGAAATAAACTCGGGCAATCATGTGCGTGGAAGAAAACTGTTACCTGTTCGCAACCTCTTGACCGGGGCAAACGCTGAAACACAGAATGTCAACAAAAGAATGTATTGAGAGACGGTTGCTTACCGCCGACCAAACCCATAGAGGTAGAATTTCATATCGTCCCTAGTGCGACCTTGGTCGTTAACCCAGCGCTGAGGCTTGAATGCCTCAGGTTCGGGGAAGACGTCGGGGTCTCGAGAGATGGACCTGAGGTGTAACCATCAGTCCCTCGTACTTCTCTTGAAAGACGATACTTACCAATGATCAGCGACCACCGTGGTTCCACCTGGAATACAATAGTTGCCCTGATGCTAGATGATCACGTGTACAATAAGTTATTTAGAAAGCACTTACCCAAATCACATCCTGAGTCGTGCGGTGAGCCACTCCTGCCGTGTGAACATTGTTAACTTGAAGTACAAAACAGGCAATGAAGATACCCACCACTGGGAGCCAGCGGTCTCCATCTCAAAGCCTCAGAGACGAAGGCCTGCAGACGAGGTAGTGTTTGATAGTCAGCAAAGGTCGGTGCTGTAGTGGAAACATCCTTGAGTTTGATAAAGTTGTAATAGGAATAAAGCTACCTCGGTCCTTTCCTATGATCGCATCAAGCTCGGCGTGAACTTTCGCTTGCTCCTCGGGGAAACATGCGGCTGCCATGAACACCGTGCATATCGCCATACTAGTCTGGTACCTGGTTTCAGTTGCATATCTTCAGAAACAACAGCACATAACACCTCACCGTTTCAGTTCCAGCTGTAACAAAGGTGCCAGCAAGAAAAGCCATCTCCGTCTCTGACAACTCGTGGACTTGAGGGTTTTTCAGCATGTATTTTACGAACGAAGGACCGCCGTCCACATTGTCTTGCTGTGGAGTGATTCAGACATTATGTGAATGTTAGCAAGACAATACATACCATTTGCTGTTTGACGCGGTTCAGCTGACTGGTGTAGATTCTCCAGACCCTAGGGAACCCCTTTTTCAATTCCCGACCATATCCAGGAACATGTTTGAGCCACGGGAATGATTCCACCAGGTAAGCACCAGGGCGAGCGGTTGTACGAAGCACACGGAGATGCTCGCGAATCTCCAGGACTTCTGGATCGGTCGCAAGTGTTGCCGAGGTCTTCCCATATGCAATTCTCTTAATCGTCGTCGCAGAATAGCTTCAAAGTTAAAATCCCTGTAAGTAATGTATGATAACCCAACCTAGGAACGCGCTTACGTTGCTGCGTGGTTCTGGAAGTTGTATGGATCTCTAAGAATGTTGAGGACGGTTTCCTTCGCATATGACATCTGTAGGGGCTGATATTCCTCAGCTACTTTAGGCTGGAGATTTGAATGAAGTGCTCTGCATGGGATTGCAAAGTGAGATTGAGGCCATACGTGCAGTACTGCGGGAAACGATCCTACCTACGCATCCGACGCAACCTGCTTCCAACGGGTGTAAAGATGATGGACAGGCCGCCGAAAAGCATTTCTCCGGCAGCAACGAAGCGAGGACGATCAGCTGTAAAGGCGCCCTGCTTCTCCATGATTTCCACAGCGGCCTGCAATATGATCTTGAGCCTGGATATAACAACTCAGCATTGAGGGACTTACATTGTGACGACCGACAATAACGGTTTTCGAAAATCCTGAGCGAATGGTGATTAGAGGACCGTGCTGGTCAATCCATGCCGCTACAGTGAGAAATGGGCTGATTATGAATGGAATTAGCATTGAATACAACGTGTGAAGTGTACAACTTTACTTGTTAAGGGGTACGAAGTGCCCCCGAAGTCTCCAAGTTGGAGGGGTAGGTGGAAGTGGAAGACCACTCTGGGATTTAGAAAGGTAAGCTTTAGAGATCACTCCTATTAGCCCAAGACAAGCCGCAGCACCGAGGACGAGCTGGGTGTTGTCAGAAGCGTGTAGGTCAGGTAACTGTAGCATGATTTGCTAAGTACTGGAGGGCAGGAGGAAACTGATGCGATAACCATGCTATGAGTGGCTTTTATGCATCGTCAATGGCCCCTCACGCTAGTCTCGAACCAGACATAAGATCTCCTTCGGATTCATCCGGTTCAATCTGCTTTCCAGAACGTTCCTAGAAAGTTTGGTTCAGTCGAAGCTTAACCCGTACGAGCTCATACCTCAAGTCAAATCGAAATTTCCCATTTTAGCAGTGGACTGCCGAAAAAAATGGATGATCAGACCCCAGCGTTGACAATGTGATTTCTCGCGTTAATCGGATCATACTTCGAGCTACGAAAAGGAAGATAAGTGTGCATAAGATTAGACACCGACCTGATGCCATATGGGGGCGGCCTTGTAGGTGACTGTAGCCGATAGATTGAGATTCGGAATATTACGAGGAAGGGATCCCAGAACTAGGCTCCTTCCCACCACTGTAGGGGATCTAAAAAAGTTGAACCGGTCAAAACAAGTTTTTGAACTTGTTTTCAACAGAAGGCTGTATGTAGCCGAGCGCCTAGCGTCGCCTAAGTACCTCTGCAAGCTCACGGTTATGGCTGAAGAGAGTTAAGTGAACTAGGCCGTCTCTCAGATGGGCCTATCGATCTAGAGAGAGAGGCGATGTAGGAGGACATATTATTGGTGATGGTTTGATGACGGTTTAGTGACGGTAGTGTTAAACTTAGAAATCGCAAAATTTGAAATTTGAACTCCCGCCACAACTTTATTTCGCTCAAGGGGGTAAAGCGTTGAGGTTGGGCTGAGTATTCATATATGCATACTAGTCAGTCAAGTACCATCCCATTGGTTCCCTGGTCTTCAGCTACACGCAATCACCGTTCAAAGTGCGGGCACAGCTAACCGACACCGGCGACATCATCATGATATCTCTGTCTAACCAAACGACGTAACATAGGCTGACACCGTGTTCGGAAGCGATTATGGTGTTTTTCGCGTGAGCTAGATCAGGATCAATCCCTGCATCATGCACAGGCTGTACTTTGTCCCGATACGTGCCATTCAGTGACTTACGAAACGTTCTCGAACTTGGTCGTGAATTACGTGATGGGCCTAGGTGTATACATTTGTCAACTTTGAGCTCAACTGTACCAGCAATATTTGCATCACAACAAGCACGCAGCAGGACTAATTTCAAGTCGTAAAACATATCTAACAAAAATTACACCGTGCAAAAAATTCAACCATGGCGCCTACTACCCAGGTATCAAGTTTTCACTTACGCACACGCAGGCACCCTCCCTAGATCACTCTCTCCATAGCGGTGGGAAGGAGCCTAGCCCAGAACGTTTCACTAAGAGGAAATGAAGGCAGCGAGACCGTAAGAGTGGTATTTTAAGCACGAGATAAACGCCAGGGGCGTGGCTGGTCTTCCCCGGTCGTGACGCGCCTCCGCTGCCACTTGTCTTTGCGGCTACAACTTACGGTGATCTAAAAGGGATGAAAACCAGTGCTGATAACGTGTTTCAGACTCATCTGTGGAGAGATAGCTAAGGATAGCTACCCTTCCATAGATTGGCGAATCTACGACAATTGCAGGAGCGCCTAATGCAGCTCGGCAGTTCGGCTAACTCATGTTTTAGACGTGGCATTATTAGACATTTGTCTGTCGACTGTTCCCTACTGTTATGACCATCGCCATGGCTTTAAACAACAAGGCCGGTTTACAATTGTTGGACGCATATTAAAGTCGTCTCATCTTCGGGTGGCGTGTGGCCGGCGGGAACGGCGGACTGATGGGAGTACGCTCTACACCAGGGCATTCGCGCATCCAGAGATACGGTCAGGAACACGGTTGTCCTCTAGGCTAGATAGTTCTGTCCTCCATTCTCCATAGGACAATAATTGGATTTTTTTTTAAAATTAACAAGGCATCAATGTAGGTAGGCCCGGATCTAATACGAGTTCAAACTACTACTCATCGAGTGTTGGTCTTAGCCGATATCGTACGCGAGCGTGAAAGCACTCGCTAAAGAAAAGTTCAAATTGCGAACGTAAAGTGAGGAGTATGTTTATCTACAGTGAGTTAGTGATGCGGCGTGGCACCAAGTTGAAGAATAGTCATAATGTGTCAGTCGTCAGGGGTGTGATCGGTGTCAGTTGGTCACCCGGGGTAGTATCCCCGTGGGAAGGGTAACACTACTGATCTTGATCCTTCTCCTGTCTTCGGAATCGGAACTCGGAAAGGTGGAACGCCGACTTTCCGCTGTTCTGAGCTCGCGTACTCTGAAGACATTTCTCAGAACTTCATATTCATGCACCGCAATAACTCCTTTACCATATTCATTCACTCGGCAGCTCTATGGCAATCTCAGCTTCAGTGCTAAAGTGTGTGCCCGCTGGCAAGGACCGTCACGATGGGTGTCCTCTGCACCGCTCAGATAATATCATCTTACGCTCACTAAAAATTAGCAGTCTAGTATTTCATAGTTCGGAGTTTGAAATACAGGGTGCAGAGTAGTGCCCTTCTATGGTAGAATTACAAAATGTTAATATCTTGATCCCCGCTATATAATCGAGATTAAATGAAAAGCGTGATACTTACGTACCTTCCTTCTCTTCGAATTCTGACTTGGTGCCTTAGTTATGGACACCCTCACCGCTACCCGGTGTAATCGCGCCTGCAGCTACAGCGCTACCCTCGGCTTCCGTTCACCCCGCGCTGCCCGTCCTGCTGTAAGCATCAGCACAACCTGTCAGACCAGTACTATTCTTTGTACCCCTTTGGCTTTGACATCTGTTCCCCGTCCTCAGAAACACCAGCAGGGTAACAGCTTCGCACAACTATATGCAATCCCTTCGTGAACTCAGTTACTGGACGAGTCTCCCCCTCCCACGTCAGTAGATGAGGGTCATGATGACTCTAATTTTATTCACTTTCCTGCCTGTCTGTACAGTTGTTGCAACTCACCAATTTAATCAATCATATCCTCGGACCCTCCTATACGTATCTTTAGATAAGTTTTAAAGATGAGTCGACCGGCCGAGAACGAGACCGAGCCAATATGATATGCTTCCTGTTAATTTTTGCGTTATCATCTAAGAATCAGATGACACTGCATGATACAATGTGTCATTCCATATCATACCTCCAATTTCCTTGTAAGCGCCTGTTACGATAAGTAGATAACATTGGATCTCTTGAAGATCCATTCCCTGGCTAACAACGGTTCTGGGAGTCGAACAAGTGTCTCATCGACACAAGTGGGGAGGGGGAGGTTGTAGACACGGAATCTGGGGAAGCAGGCAAATCAGCAGGTGCTCAGTAAGGTGTCCGAACAGAACTAAACTCCTATTCAGAACCACATGCTCATAGAATGATTAGAACCGAGCAGCAAATATATTAACGCATTTCGGGATTTTCTCGCATCCGCACAGGCGTTACCAAAGATGCATGTGATGAAAGACGAGGGCAGAAGTGATCATGCCTGTGGTGCGTGATATTACCTGACACACGCAAGGGTTCACTATGCATAAATTGATATGGATATAGGACGGCGTTTATGAAGCTCTGGCAGTGAGGGGTAAGCGACGCGAGATCGTGTAGCAGTGTGGTAAACAGACTTGAAGAATTGCGGAAATACGACTCTACTCACCACGCACGTTGCAATAATACCACCAAAGTATATTCCTCGTCAAATTCAAATGCTACCGACCATCTATCTGGTCAAATCGATATGGCAGGGGTGCTTGGTGCAGTTATAAATGCGTATCTCGATTTCAGAGAGCGATCGGCACCTGCGCAGGCGACGTAAGGGTAACTAGCGCTATCAAGAATGATATAAGGGCACACTAGCCCGATTGTGATAGTCGCATTCTTCAAAAAAGGCCGACGAGTCGTCACAAGTTCATGGGACAGCAACCTGCGATTTTGGACGTGCAGAAAGGAGCATTGGTAGGAGGGGGCGCCATTCAAGGGATTCCCCGGCCAGAGCCTCGGGTGAATTCAGTCACCACATCCCCAGATGACAGGCGAATTGCACTGGCGAAGCATACAAATTGTATCATCCCGGTGTGCTTCCCTCCGATGGCAAGAGACTCGAAAGCGAGTCATTTGATTACACGGTTGTGATATGGAATGCAGAGACTGGTGCAGTCCTCGCAGCACTTCCCCATCGTCGTCGGGTGTAGCATTCAGCCCAGACGGGCTAAAATTAGCCGGCAGATCAGCGGACATCCGAGTAATAACGCCGAGCTTCTTCTGATCGACGCGTGCGACGTACGTTGAATGTGTTCAATGTTTGGTTGCCAGCTGACGACAAGCACCTTGTCAGATGTGACGAAACGGTCAAGTTTTGGTGTTCGTCAAATGGGAAACAGAACGGTCAACCTTGCGCTGGTCACGCTGATTGTGGAGCACGAAGACACACCGGCAGATAGGACAGGCACTCCAACACATTGTGGCGTTTTCCCGTGTGCAACCTCTCCCAATGGAGAGCTGCTTGTCAGTGGAGATGGCGAAGGGAGGGGCTGCTCTGCACCATCAAGGAGACCCCTTCTGCAGCGGATTCCTCCTTTGTGCACTGTAGTAATGTGAAGTTAGAACAAAAGCTCTGTCCAGAGACCCTTCACGACGCGGAAAAGGTGCGGACGATATTCATCATGGTTCTAGTAATCGTGTTGATACCACCGATACCTACGCTAAACTCAATCCCTCGTCCAAAACCATTCTATCGACGTCAGACGATGCATCCGACGCGCAAATACTGAAGTCGGAGACGCTATTCGACAAGTCATTCAAACTCACCTGGAAACTCCCCCACTTGGTAGTTGATGCCACAGATTGATGCCTTCATTAAAAGCACAGTACAAGGAGATTATGTCATCGGTGTCAATGACGATGCATGTGCCCCAAACGGAGCTAATCAGAAAAGCGGTCGTTTCGACAGTGGCAGCTGCGTCATGGGCAATTGAACCTTTTTTCAAACTCCGCTCAACTGACCGTTTCTGCGAGCACGTGATGTTACTACTGCCTTTGCCGCCAGGTTCTTGCCATGACCCATTTTCGCGTGAAACGTGAAGTGCTTCAGTTGGGTCGTGTGATCGCATAGGTGGAGAAGCGAAGAGTCGCGGCTGCGCGACATCCAGGGCAAGGTCGTGTGCAAGTCGATGGCATCGTCACTCAGCACTCAGCATCATTGTAAGTAGGTCAGACTGCCGCACGCGCATAACCGTTACACCAAAAGGTAGAATACTGAAAGCTAAGCTTTCAGTATCAGCGACAGTATATATACTGAGTATGGGAACTCAGGTAAGCCAGCGTGCTTACAATCATCTACCTATCGGATATTCATCGAAGTCGGGCGCACTGGCAAACAGTGTTTGGAACACGCAAGGGTGGACTGTTCAAGAGTTCCTGGCTCCTAACAGTGTGTTCTTCTACCAAGCAGATTGGACCTTCTGCATCAATGACTGTTCTCCCAATCACACAGAGTGTCACTATCATGCAGGAGCTGGAGGATGTAACAGGCATAAAAGTACGCAACCTCATCGCCTTTCGCGGGCATGACAGGCGCGCGCGGGAAACCTTGATGGGCATTGAGTCATATCACTACGTTGCAGGAAGATATTTCGTACTCGTTATCTTCGGCGTCCATTCCCCTGAAAAGAAGCAAAACGCGCTCGGGCGGTTCTTACAGGAGATCGTTGCTCAGTCGGGCGATATTACTGCCTTGGACTAGGTCGGACAATCATCCGACTTTAATAGCTGTCTGCCAGCTTATATTACCTCGTACAAAGCTCTGTCATGCATTTTGAAGCACGGGGAGTTCTAATGTGCTTTTATTCATACGTTGACAGTACTGACCTGCATGGAACAATGTTGTCTCCAAGCATTTATATCATATTAATGCATGCTGACTTACACCAGGAAATCAAACTGCCGCGATGATTGTTGGTGAGAGCACCGGCTGAGATGGTGATGTCTGTCTACCGCCATCACTCATCTTACATCATGACGATCAATCACGGTGCGTTCTTGTCGATTGTGTTCGTCATGCATTGCTTCCAGCCGCAGCAGGTTATCCCTGTATGAAACTGATGCCAGTTCGACTTTGGAATTAGCTCTGCGGCACGTTTATGAACCGACGGCTGCAAGATTCCAGATGCGGCTGGTAAACCGAGCTGGTGGCATCGAGCTACTACTCGAACACACCGACGTCTCACCTAAACCTTATTACTGACCAGCAGCATATCACTCACTCATACTCGACATATGCTTGAATAGTGATGAGACGTCTATGCAGACAAACATTTGGCATTCGCAAGAATATGTCGCTAAAATTTGTCTTGCGCGTTCAACAACGTGCAGGCACCATTGAAGCTGTATTGCTCCTAGCCACTACCGAGCACTCCCTGCGCATTTGCCCTCACTCACCTCAATCCTCACGAATTGAAGTTCCGCGGGCAAAATCCGCGCGATAGGTCGTGACCGTTTCAGATCCATCTCTCTATCCGCATCTCTACTCTCCTTTAATTTTCTTCACGTCGACCTGCACAGGCACGCTTACAACATCTGTGTTACGTTATGCAAACTCGAAGTGGAAGCTCGATATCTTAACGAACCAATATATTCAGTGCACTGCCAAACCGATTGAAACTTGTGTAGCCGATATCCTTTCTGTAAATCATTTCCTCTACTTCCTGAACTATAACTCAGATTTGATTGTTGCCTTGCAGATGCTGCGTACCATCATCCAGCATCATTCTAATGGATAACAATAGTAAAAGCCCTGCATTAGCATCATCATATACCTTTCCTCATGTTCTCTCCGGGTCGCGCTGTGACACATTACGAACCACGAATCAGCGCTGCAGTGTATTGGCATTTTCATGTAGCCATGCGAACGACTTCATCTCACATCGTGATCAGTCTCACAGTACTTTGTGCGGGACCCCAAGGTTTGACTTAGCTCATGGTCATTGATTGATATTTAATTTTAGAATCCTCTCCGCGTCCGATGTGATAGGGGTGCATAGCAGCGGAACTCGTCTGATACACTTACCTCATGTTCTAAAAAGCTCCCAGTCTATCCCTGGACGGGAGGCGCTGACTATCCTTCTTCGTGCATGCTATGGTGCATCGTTTATCACCCGAATCACGGGAGCCCAAGGTCCGCAGCCACGAATCACTTAAATCGAGACCGACTCTGAGGGCACTAGGACCTCTAACTAGAGGACTTATGCGGGAATCGTGCCTCTGCCGCATCGCGATTTTATAAGACCGCCAGGGGATTCTGTCCTATACAACTCGATGGGTCGTCTCGTCGGCACAGTTGAGCTGAGTCCTGACACAGACCCCGAGCCTTGTTCGGTTGGAGGGGGTAGATCAAGTTGTACTAATAATTCTTCTCCTTACATGCGATGCTTGTCGGGTACTGCATTTGTGATGTGGAGTGCCAGAGCATTGACGTGCTGGACGACAAACGACACCTTTTGAAATATTTCTACACGATAAGTCAACGGTCCGCAGTCAAACGATAGTGGTGATGGAAATGGTGCGGGACTATCATATTGCCACCCAAAGCGGTTGCCAGTGGTTCATTATACTCCACTACGAAGTGCCATGGCTGGCTAGTGTTTTGATCGGCGAGCGACATGGACACTCCAGAGCGGTGACGTAAAGCCTTGAGAAAGAAGGAACGACAGTTTCAGGGTCTGACTATGGGAGACTAACCTAAAGCACTCAGAGGTCTTCCACGAAGATTCTGTTCTCCAACCCTTGCGACCCATTGTTGACTTCTAGCATCAGTTGATTCGTTATCTAGTGGTGGCCGAGCGCTGAGGCCTAGGTGCGAGTGTAAACTCCAAAACACTTTTTTTCCCACCACCAAAAAATGGCTTGCCGCAGCTTGGTCCCCTCTGTACAGGACGTTGTAGTTTGCTGATGCCTACGTTACTTTTGGAGTTGCTCAAGAGTTGCTTTCGGGAAAATTACCGCTTCATATGCTTCTGGCTCATTGACACTTCCGAGTCTCAGCACCTCGTGGAATAGTGCGACAAATTATCGCGATGCGGTAGCTGACCCACCTTCATAGTGATCAAATCGTGTCCAAAATTCAAGTGTCGTTTCATCGGGGGAACCGATGCATGATAATGCTGAGAATGGACATTAGTTGTCCAGTCGGAGGTTGGTCAGGACATCGTATTGCACATTGGGTGTGATTATCTCTCGGTCCAGAAACACACGGTTGTGGAGTTAGCCCATGCAGGAAATTGACAATCGAATTGAGCGCCGCTCCTCAAGAATGGAGCATTGCTTTTCACCGCCTGCAATTGAACTACTCCTTATATGCTATACCTCAGTAGCATTCTAAGCGTCTTTCGCTTCCCCCTACTGCTCCCACTCGTGGTCTTTGCGATGACTGAGGTCGATAGTTGCTCAGGATTATGGAGCCATGCTCGTCGGTGGCTTGTTGGCATTCAGGCGCGTGATTAACCTTGATCCAAAAAGATACGATTTGTCTGATAGAACTCCTCGCAGCTTGTCGGGTTGCGTTAACATGCAATTCATCGTGTATTGCCGAATGTATTCTCACGAGAGATGGCATACTAAGTCATTGGTGCGGAAATTGTCTTCGAGCCTACACTCTTTAATCACTTTACTACACAGGTCATTGCAACATGGTACGTTCGAGTGTCTTGTTGTCATGCAAGACTAATTTCCACGGAACTCAGGCTGCTTGATTTGTGCCACTCCGCACTTGTGGCGGTCGCCCTCTGGGATTCCATCATTGCGACCTATGGTGATCTGGATAAACTTGACGTGATCCCTTGGTATGTGCGATTTTATTATTTGCAATCAGCCAGAAAATTGATGCACCATCAGGAGTGTTGGTGTGAGCAATCGCAATTTGGACGCACTGGATGGCATTAATGCAACCCCATGTAGCCTGGTGTCGAGCTTACTGTGTGTTTTTACACATGTGGAGCTGAGCAATGCTAATCAATGTTCGCCAGGCTATGATTACCTTCCTCGTTCAAAGGTTGGTGATTCCATTCAGGGAAATTGCGATTCTGACCCGACGGCTTCAGCTTCTTTGCACAGCGAATCCATAAATGTTCGTACTTTTTTCCGTGTTTTTTTTCCACACTGATGGCTGGGAAGTGCAAAAGAAGAGGTTTACTATAGCAATTCCGATTGTAGGTCTCATAGTGGAGAGCTTGCTACTTGAATGATGAGATTCCCGCTTTCAGGTTGCACTCTCTTTCTTTCGTTTGGGTGAGTGCATTAGCAGTGCGATAATGTGAACTCCTCCTGACGCCCCACTTCAGTTACGGCTAGCAGTGAGTTATTAAGCACCTGCATGCGTGGTTCTTCCAATCATGCACATTCTTTCAACTTGATCAGTCTCGATGGGCGAGATGTGAGCAATGTTTAAAACATGATGATAGCTTCTGAAGTATGTTTTCCGCAGGCTCAGCTTGAAATCGTACACCGCATTCCGTCTACGCGATTTCTCATCCGTAGGTGATGGGCAGCTTCGCAGTATTGACGCAGTGATACAATATTCTTGCAGTGGATCTTCACTTTGGGCCTTTTACTTTCAGCATCTGTGGATATCATGATCACAACTTTCCTATGCTATTTCCTTCGCAAAAATCTCACTTCGTTTAAAGAGTAAGTTGTTCTATGGCCTTGACCACTGTGCAGCTGACGTTTATTTATCTGGTAGCACTATACGTATCATCGATACCCTAACGCTCTGGACAATTCAGAATGGATCGATTACATGGTATGTCGTCTGAACGTAGGCTGTGAGCCGTATCCTGAGGCCACCTTCCTTACAGTGCTGCGGCCATCGCATCATTGGTTTGCGTGAGCGTCGCTGAAATGTTCTGTTAAGTTTCGATCACTCAAATATCACAGTGGAAAGTTATGCCTCAGAACCGCATATTCCTAGGCCTACACTTCTTTGTAGCGAAATGTAAGCCATTTCAATTTTCACGAACTTATCTCATCTGGATATTGTTGGAGCAGTATATGCAAACTCCCTTTTAGCTACGTGAGTAACATGTCTAATGCTGTGTTCGTGGCGGCAGTTTAATCTGGTGTTGTAGTCTCAATGCCAGAAAGCAAATAAGCAATGGAAAGCAATACACTCCTGCAAGCGATCAACTTATGCCACCAGTCGTCTTTCTGGAGGACTTCGAGCATACACCTGAATCTTCGCTCCCACACGGATTATCCGTAAGTACTATGACCATCACAGCTGAGTGATATCTTACACAACCTTAGATGCAGCTCGATGCTCGTCGACTGAAAGCAGGGCATCTACGCGGGAAATCTGTGCGTAGCTTTTCTATGTACTCTAAAGATGACCTTTTTAACTGTCGCAGATCCAAGTAAATGTTGAACGGAGTGTGGAATCCAAGCATGACATCGATAATAGCATTGAAGTGGATCTGACAGCAAGCTGCACACGCGATAGCCCAGTCTGATATTCTGTAGTTCGGCCCCTTGCTGTATCACCATGATCATTCTCGACATCTTTTTGGTATCATATGCAACTACCTTAAGTTACCTGATATATATTCCTGCAGACTTAGGTAGTTTTCCTACCAATGTGTACTTACCAGTATACCACTTATCCTTTCATTCTCAAGGCATTAACCTTACTTTCCATGTCACGCGAACCCTGGGATTGCGATACGACCAATCAAATGTCATAAAAACATAACAATTAGTGGGCTCCATTCGTAGGCTGCCGTCTTCTATATGAGAGATGCGCAGATAAGTTCGGCACGATCCCCTCCGCAAATATGAAGTTTGGCGGACGCAATGTCCGTCCACCCTCCATTCTGACGTCGTAGGCAGATACCATGTACGCAAACATGACTTTCAACTGGTGAGTGATTAGGAAACGCCCAGGGCTGATATTTCATCATCGCTGTTTAAGCGTGAATGGCTCAAGAGTCGACGGAAATATTTCACTTACCACACATGTTTCCCATGGCCAAAAAACAACCACTGGGGTGCGATAGTAGTCATGCTGCACTCCGGGTTGTCCACAAATCTGAAAGGTCTGAATTCGTCGGGAGACTCGTATGCTGTGCTGTCACGGTGAAGTGGCAGCAACGACACCGCTATGAAACAATCCTTGGGGAGGAACGTGCCATCAGAGAGCGAGTAATCACGCGTTACTTGTCTGAAGAATCCCACTGGAAAATGATAGATATTTAGTTGCGTTTAAGGTTAGATGAGAAACGCACTAGATGATGCACCGTTGATCCTGGCGCTTTCCTTCAAGAAACTGTCTATCTTGTTCATTTTATCAATGGAGTGTGTGTTCCAGCCATTGCGCTGTACGACGGGATCGACTTCATCCCGCAATGCCTGAGCAACCTCGGGGTTTGTGGCTAAATGATATAGGGCGTGGGTAAAGGTCTATAGACGAATTAATGATCGTCCGGTTCTTAACGATCTCTCACATATGTGGGTGTCTAGGGGATGCTCTCAGAGAGACAAATAGGAAAGATACCAATACATACAGATGCAACGGCGATGGTGAAACCAAGAAGACGCGTCGTAAGGTTTCTTAACAAACTATCTTCACCCGTAGATCGCCTTACGAGTCGGGTGAGGAAGTCCATCTGCGGGAAATGCAATCAACGAATCACTATATAGCAGTGAATTTCGTACCTTCTGTTGGTTTGGAGCAGAATATTCGTCCACTTCGCTCATGCAAGCCTCCACTACAGGACCCAATAGCATCGTCGCACGATCAATTTTTGCCTCAAGGCTGCTAGCCATTCTAACCAAGAATCTGGACTTGTTCTGAGTTCTCATTTTCATTTCCGTATTCACGTGACCTACGGGAATGTGCATGATGGCACAAGACGTTTTATCACGCTCAATATCGCCACATCCTTGTGGATCTTGGTCACTAAGGAACACCACTCGGAATTACGGCCTGGAGAAGATAGTGAGAATTTCGAACAGGACAGGTTGTAGCACGTACATAGGGGAAAGCCAACAAAAAACCGCTGCCATGTCTGCGCCATGATTCGATTTACGGTGTTCAAAGCGGGGATAGTGGTCCACTCTGCTTGATATAAATCATCGCTTCTTCAACTATTGATTTGTGTCCTCACCGTCGGTCCCGTCACCTAAAATGTTCTCAAGAGACGCGAGCAACTCATCTTGAACCTCACCGCAGATTTTGGCTGCATTTTTAGTGATATGGCTCTTGAGTAACTCAGCAAGGAGGCCATGATCTGGACTGCCGACGTTAATCCCAAATGCATCGTCAACACCCATGATCTCAAGAGTCGTGTCAATGGTTACCAGCTGAATAGACGAAAAGGGTCTCACATCTTTCATAGCCTCGCGGAACGAAAGGTCTTCTTCCGCAGCATTCGCAATTTCCACCATGTGCCGGGGATCACTAAATACCACCGTCCAGCGCAGCATGGTTGCGACCTTAAATGGTCTACTACCATACTAAAATATCACGTCATTTCCAAGCCGACACGGATGAGCAAAAAATATACCTTTTCATAGCCCTCCTGGAGGACACCTGGTGCGTCTACAACAAACCTGATTGCGCCTAAGTAAAAGCTGCTGAAGCGACGAGACGGGCCGAAGGAGCAGCCGACAGTCGGGAAAGCGTCTAACTGCACAAACGACATCAGCTTAATGTCTCTAGCAAAATATAGGGCTATCCTACGTTTGGGGCTCTGTGCTTCTTAGAAAAGAATACAAAGACAGGGATGATACCCGAAGTCAAGAGAAGGATAACCCTGAGTGAGTGCCACATGCAGAAAGTTTGGAACATCGTTCATCCAAGGATCAAGAATAATATAGATCCTGTGGGCCAATAACACAGTGGAAACGATCATGTCGTAAGATAACTAGCTTTGCTCCTTTGGAAATGGAAAAGCTTCAAGCGTCCAACAGACATGGGACGCGAATAGACTTTCCTTCATTCTGATACGGCGTTTCACTGTCTCTGGATACGAGCCCGTTCCTGGCGTCATTAATTAATACAACTCGAGGGCGCTGCAAGGATGACTTATCTATCAGGTGGTCTTCAGGTCAGCTACATAATAAGGTATCATATGCAGGTTGTGGCCGGAGATGCAGGAGGATAATAGACTCTAGGAAGTTACGACCTCCGAGACTCAGGGACCGCCGGCTCACCTGCGTTCTTAGACTGGGTATGGATGCGTACTAGGGATTCTGGGTTCGCCCTTCCGTTGAAGTTCCACATGTACAGTCTTCTTGCATTACCGACAGCGTCACCTGCCCAGGCTGGTAATCGGTCGTACACTGTATATCCCTTATGTAAATAGTCAAGACTGTCGCTCCTCAACCGTTACGCCAAAAGGCAGTGATAATGAAAGCTCAAGCGCTCACGCTTCATTATCGCGGACAGTATTTATGCTGATTATGGGAACTCAGGTAAGCCAACAGGCTTACATCCCTGGACCCTTACAGGTCTGTGACAAATAATCTCCGTGATAACGGTTGTGACAGCCCGGTGACAACCGCTTTTTTTCTCGTTCACCTTTTGCTCCTTTATTTTGAATTGTGAGCTCCTGACAGCGTTGGCGACTGCTCCCCTGTAAGTTTTACACTCTGTGCTGTTTCAATTTTACTTCCGTTCTTGTGTACTGCTTCGTCATTTTATTATGGCCTCTGGTTCGTCATCCGTTAATATTAATCCTGTTGGGTCTGCGATGGCTCCCCCTGCTGCTTTACTATCATTCCGGGTAATCTGCAACTAGCATGTAATATGCAAAATGTTCAAAACACCTCAACGCGCTGCTCGACTCACTTCAAAAAAATTCAGGCATATGTAGACTACTTATAGATGATGTATTGTCCAAGTAGAATGAAAATTTCTTGAGTGTTGCAGCTGCGAGAGATGAAATAGTGGTAATTTGTAACCATGCAGGAACATAAACCATCCAGATCCCATAGATCCTACAGATATATTCACAAAGTTATACCTGGAGCATAACAATCACCTCGTCAGGATTCCAGAACACAATTTCGATAAAGGTCATCCTGTTGTTTTAAGATGCTATAGAGGAAGACTTGACGACATGTATGAAAACGTGACAGCAGATAGGAGAGAGTGTAAGAAATCCAATCTCCTCTACGGCACACTCGGCTAGTGCACGGCATCTGCACTCTCCACACCAAGTCTTGCATTGTGTTGTGTCGTCTCCTCTTGCATCATTCTCGCATCCTTGTTACAATGGCACCAAACCACAGGCGTACTATCCGTCAGAAGAAAGCCGAAGCAAGACATGATTCGTCAAAATTCAATGCACGAACCATTTGGTGGCTATCAACCACAGCCTATCCCTCCGAGTCAACCCTCGATGTTGCACATGGATCTTCCCCCACCCGGGTATGCACCCCCATATTGTCCCAGGCACCATTCCGCACCTCAGCTTCAGCCTCCAAATATTCCTCACTTTGCGCCGGCTGGTAGAGCAGATGTTCGAGTTGGTGGTGAGGCACAGATATATGATGTCGCAGGCCGTCAGCTCTATTCAGGACCATATCACCAGTACAATCACAATAACTACATGAATCACGATACTTAATAATAATAATATATTGCTGTATTCAGTATTTTCAGAGCTTCGCACCACTTCAACCGTTCGACGACTCAACGCCAACAGATCGAGAGCTGCGGAGAGTCAAAGTTGACGGTGCCGGTGCTGCGCCGAGGCGTGACACGACGTGACCATATTTTGCAGATTAGCAGTCAGACCCTGAATTTTCTCGGCTTTCATCCGACACCACACCACAACGTCTTAAAAATGAGTAAAAATCAGATCTATATAGAGGTGGTACGAATCTACAACCCTCTAAATTCGTGGAAGATAAAATGAAGTGGTTGACGAGCTACAAAAGATTTGCTGAAAAAGTTGCAGATTACCCGGAATGATAGTAGTTGTTTCGGATCACTCGGACTGCTACGCGACTTTCTGATCAGCAAAGGCTTCACTTCCTCCAACACTATTTTCTGGTCCATGCGATACTTCGTAATGTCTCACACAGCATATTTTATTGAATACTACGGATTACCGCCACAGAGAGCGTCGACAGCTTAATCCTCAGTCATCCTAGGCTCCACCAGCCCACGCAAATGCTATTTGCTACCTCAGGAGTGTTCTTCTGGGCACACTCACGGAATATCTATGCGGGGATATCCTCGTGGTTTACCTGGCGAATTTTTGATGCAGGCGCCTCGTCTTAGAGATATGGGACTTCTTCCATTACGTCGACGATCGGCTGGGACGATGTCTGCGGGAAAGATTGTCCAATTCTATGGCGTAGTATCTCCGATACGGCGCAAACGCTTCTCGTGGACTGGACTTACAACAGTGGTGTAAACGACGTGGACAGATCCAGTCCGCGCTGGCTCACTCGGAGGCGAGGTCACTTCTGGCGCTTAGACGACCATTGCCACAACAAGGCCTGCTCATATCGTCTATACCACATTCCTACCGTTTCCAACGGGCCTTCACATTGGAATGAAGTTATGCACACCAAACAAGTTCTTGCTGACAATCCCGCGAGTGGTGGCTCAGAAAGATGTGACTGATTACTCAAACCATCATGAAATCGGTAACTGCTTAGCGGTGGTCACCGCGCGGTATTGTTGGGCACAGATTGCAGGCAACCCCTGCGGGTTTCCATACCGCTCATGCTTGGAGCAGATGAACTCCACACCACCGACCATCTTTACACTTTTCCGTGGGTGAACGAATTCGGGAGAGGAGCGGCGATCATCGAGCCAAGGATAGCACGTATATTACTCGGTTGAGATCCGCTGACCTGTGACACTGCCCTGGATCATCGTGGTGTGGATTGAGGAAAGGGGGAACACAAGGAGAAATGACCTCCTTTTGTGGCTAGGTATGGCTATTGACCATGACAATGCGAGTAGTGTCAACTGCCACAAATATTTTTGCATACGTACTGTGTGACGATAACAAGAAATGATAGTCCCGAATATCACCACGAGTCCATTATTAATCGAGGGTAAGTAACATGCGACCCAATTGCAGAGCGTCAGATGCGAGTGAGTATGCAGCAAGTATGTAAGAAAGTTAATAATGTATCGTGAAAAGGAATGATCGTAAGCCTATGTCCAACGAGTGTCATATATCGTCTGTGTTTGAGAGTCTTATCCTTATCCTTTCTTAGATATTAACCAGAACCCATCCCGTGGCAGCGCCAAACGCGCCCACGGCCAAAGCGCTCATCACGCCCACGAGACCGCCACTCCACAGCTTGACAGGGTTGGCACCATTGAAGTTGATATACGTGGGCGTCGGCTGTACCACCAAAACTGCTAGTCTCCATCGCCACCAGTTCCACCACCAGTCAAGTTTGCGCCGTTGGGCTAAAAGGGAAAAAGAAGTATAGTCAAGGGGGACTGCATAGCTTGAGTCTATAACTTACCCCGATAGGTCGCGAGTTATCCAGTGAATGAGCAGTCAGAGGACTGGCACAAGCACTTCCCGCCCATGGGATCCCAGAAAGGTGTTGAGCAGTTGGCGGGCACTGAGAAACCTTGTCAGTGGAGGTTCACTAGATGATAGTAAAATTAGTTTACATCTGTATCTCATCTGTTGGCCCGCTGGGACTTGCTGCGGTGGGATTTGGATTCGAAGGAGACACCTCTACTTGCGGGCAACCATACTAATTTGGCCTATTAAGTCTAGATGCTACCACCTAGGCACGGATAACTTACGCAAGTAAAGAAAGGGAAGTCGGGGAAATCACATTCCTCCACGAGACCAGCTTCGTTCTGGGGAATACCGTTGCAGATCTTAAGAGACGGGTCAACCTGCGGAGTCGGGCACTTCAAAGGCTCGAAGGAGTCAAGCTCCGAGACAGGCACGGGGTTCTGGACCCAGGCAAGAAGCTGCTCGTTCGAGACGATCCAGACATCCTGCTGCTCCTGAACCCAATCTAGGAATTCATTTATCATCTTGATCGTGCTGTTCGGGGGGTTAACGCCGGGATAAGTAGTCTACATACCATAAAATCAGTTAAGATCTAGATTTCGATGGACAGAAATAACTTACGGAAAGATGGATGGGATGGGTGTAGAGACCGATTGGTTGCCGATTACCATTGTAATGATCTGTGAATGTATTTTTCATATACTCAAATGTGGCAGTATCGTTAACGGAGCTAGCGCCATTGGCAGTATCCAGCCAGGGGTCCATGAGGTGCGGACCATCAACCCCGAGGTTATCGAAGAACGCATACATGGGAATCTCCCAAAGACCAGGAATTTTAGGCAGCCCCTTGCATATACCGTCCACCGTCAGACAGTCATTCGCAAGACCATAGTCCAACGTATAAGGCCAGTACGCATCGGTACCTGGGTCGGTGACAGGAATCGACGAGGCGGAAGAAGAATCGTACGTGAAATCAACGTCCGCGAGGAGCTGCAAAGTCTGAGCGGTATAGTTCAAGTAGGGAGCACGAAATCCTTGGATGGCATCGAGCGGGATGCCGGCAAGTGCGTTGAGAGCAATGAGGTTTCCGTTGATCTCATCCGCCGGAGGTGAACCGACATGCGTCATCCTAGAATGAATGATCAAATGCACGGAGTGCAGCAATGATGTACATACGTATGATCAGCAATTTCATTTCCTGCAACGTACCAATCGGTGACAAGCGTGTAGTTGGTATAGTTAAGAGACGTGAAGTAGGTCATCTTGATAGGACAACCGTTCGGATTCTTCCGTTGAGCGAGGAACTGATTGACGGAGTCGAGGGTATAGGACTGAATAGCATCATCGGCAGTGAAGACGACGAATTGCGGTACGTCCGACTAGAAGGCCAACCATCAGAAGTGTAGGGTGTCATAATTATAAAAACGTACGGGAGAAAGACCACCTGGGGGACTCGTGCTAGCACAGTTGCAGCTGGGCAGTGTGCATTGGCTGGGGTCGCACGAGTACCCAGCAGCAGATGAACTGCTGGTTGGACCAGATATGGAGCCGTCCTGAGCGGTCACCACTCGCAGTTGCAGTGCTACACCAAGCACCGAGACCAGCGCAGAGATCCGCATCTATCCAAGAAAAAAAAGTAGACGGACCAGGAATAGTTTTGTCAACGAAAGGAAAGAAAATGAATGAAAATGCCAGACAAAGTGCCAGAGCTGTAAGGAAACCTGCAGGCTGCAATTTTCGCGGGCAGGCGAACAGAACGCGTGGGGTGACAAATATTCCATTGTCGCTAAGCTTAGAGTTCCACTATTACCTTTTACTGTTCGTCCTCCTGTGATACGACGACCAGCGACCTCTCAGAGTCCCCATACTTACCGTCACACTTGAAGATCATCGATGTAGGAGATGAAGAGATGCTCAATTCCGAGGCTGTCATAGCGCTTGTCTTTGCGCCACTTATTATAGCAACGCTTGACAAGTTGACACGGGAATATCTGTCTAACCCCAGATAGCCTCCCGCGAAAGTGGACGGATCTTCCCATCCTTATCACACGCTGCGCCGCTGTGATTTTTGGAAAGGCTCACGCTGGGATTCAATACGAAAGGTCTTTCACTGTTGCATTCAAATTACAGTTGAGCACAAGTGAATTGTCCGGCCTAGCCCTATAATCAACAGCCGCTGAGTTCAATTGATGACGGTAAGCATCACGTGATATGCATCCTACATGTTGGAAAAACTTCCTTGTCTTTCTCAAACGCACTCAAGTCAAATTGCAGACCGGCTTACGATCACGCTGGTTTGCGCCAAAGTAGGGCGGACACGAACGCTTGCACGTCTTAGTGCTTTTGCTTTTTCTCCCGCTTCCCCAGGAGTTGAAAAGCAAGCCGGTGGTTCATACAGACATCTCATCCTCATAATCACACTATCGCTAGCAGTGTATCTATTTAACTGGAGAATGACACCAAGTATTGTAAGGGTCACGGAACTGCTGTGCACGTTGATTTCTAAGATACCCTCGGTGGATCACTTTGGAGCATGATAAAGGCAATTTTCTGTCAATATTGTTGGACGTTGAATATCTCACCCAGGGTAATTTCAGCCCACCAGAGGCGCGTGGTTTTCTTGAAGAAGTACTGCGAGGGCTCACTGCTGGCGATATTCTCCTGAAATGGTGTCGACGATATTAACATTGTCCTACTACGTCGTAACCCAGTAATATCGCCTGTCATATCTCCTCCCTAGGCATCAAAGGCCTTTACGTACCAAGCAGCCCATTTTCCTTCGCCACGTTCAAAAACTCCTTCGCGCTTCTCTTATCGCACGAACGCAGGTCCTCCTGTTCGAACCATCAGCCTCATGATTCCCTGGGGCCCTATATGCATGTCTCTTTGTTTTGCGGTTCCCTCCGTCGTTCCCTGCCACGTTTCCCCCTGCACCCCAATTGTTATCTCTCGGAGCAGGCCGCAGTTTACTTTGATGGTGTCAGTCTTCACTTTTAATCAAATCGCAAAGCCAGAGTCGTAGAACGATGATTATATGCATCGTGGCGCACGGCGACATTGCTCGCAACGGTTTACCTTTAGCCGAAGGGCGGGGACCAAGTTTCTTATCACCTCTTTTCTGTCAATTCATTCTTTTCGGCGATACCTTCGGGGCCCTGGCGCAACTTTTGACCTCGTGGGACGGGCGCTTTATTTGTGGATCTAAGACTCAGACCGTCACAACAACAATTCAAAGATCAGTTCGGAGGTGATGCTAATTGTGAGATAGAGGCGCGATCAAAGAAGGATGAGGACAATGGCAAAACAAAGCGGCCCGTGTTGAATGTCGAGGACTCCGAGTCCGATTGCAAACGATGAGGTGCATTCTTGGCTCCTCTTCTTCCCTAGCCTCTTCGTAACATTAGAAAACAGATCTAACTGGACCCTGCTAGAAAACTACCTAACTGTTATGTCTTGCAGAAATTTATGAAGGTGCATAAGTCGCCTCCGGGGTTATCACCTGGGCCGAAGGGGGCACGGGGGGTTGCATAGAGAGCCAACCCAAATAGAACGCTAATCCAAGCCAGCCTTCACCCTGCCCGAGGGCCCCATCGGCCCCAAGTTATCAATATCTACCTGTAGCTGGCAGGTCATTTCCTCGGATGATGTGCTTGCAGGACATCGACGCATGCAACTCTCGTTAGCAATTGGCGATAGCTTCTTTTCTCAATTGGTCGATATCATTTATCTGCGTACGTTTCTCGTCAGAGGAGTGGGTTGACTGATTTGTGGCTGATTTACGTTGAACGATCCTTGTCGTCATGATGTCATCCGTTTGGACACTCCTGAATTCGTCTGACGTCACGCTGAATCGAGAGTATAAAGCAGGAAACTATCCTTAACTTGATACTTTATCTCTTCTACCACCGATAATTTACATTAACTGACAATCAAAATATCGGTACGTTCAATGTCCAAGATCGGGAATCCTCATATATACGAAGTGAATGACTCGGAGCAAAGGCAAGTTCGGAGCTGAGCGCATTCACATTGATCTCTGATAGATTCAGCAGACCGCCAAAACATACACACAAGAAGAAGCATGATGAGGGCCAGGAGGGCGCAGATCACTGGCAGGATATCGAATCCAAGTATGGTTCTAGTCTTCAGAACTGCTCCGCAACTGACAAATGATAAATAGAGACGAACGGGAAATAGGCGAAGCAATCACTGCTGTCTTCAAGCAATCACATATCGACGAATCTGCGAGCCCTCTCGCGGATCCTAAAGTCAATCCTCTTGGACCAGCCACTTTCCATGGGAACGAGCCATCAAAAGGAGCTAAGGTGGATGCAGAACTCAAAGCCGAGGACGAAGAGTTATTAAGGAGGAAGGGGAAGGCGTGACTGTGAAGACGTCACTTCAGAATATGTCTGTGAAAGCTTCAGAGACGACCATGTACATGTTCAGAGTTCATTTCAATAGCTTGTTGTACTTCAACTCTACATTATAATCAGGACCAGTGGAATTGCCGTCTGAGTAGGCACTTGAGAAAACAGGAGATTACTGCAGACGATGATTCAAATTACCTTCGCTCAAGCTAGCCAAGGGTCACACTCATGTACAATCCCTGTTTCATTCCTCTGTGTTCTCCTCTTCCTCTCCTTCGTCATCGACTTCAGCTTTTACAGACTTTTCCTTCCCAAGTTCTGCATTTCCTACTGCATCTCTCCAAGCAGTCAGCTCTTCTCCGAGTTTTATGCGAGCTTCTGCAATCGACACTCGCAACGATGCATAATATCTCTTCAGCTCCGAGTCGGTGTCTTCCTTCGATTCTTGGGGTAGAGATGTGATAGGAAACCTATGGGTAGTCTCCTGCGAGAGAGACTGAGGAGCCATTGTAGACGGCGGTGGGATAATTTTGTAGGTCACTGTGAGCTCCCTGGACTGGACATCCATCTGAACTGATCTGGAACTGATTAAACCTTTGGTTCGTAATGGGGTGCGTGACAAAGTCATCTTATCTTATCTCCGATAATTATAGCACTCCGACCCGAACTTATCGAAAATTCTTTGCCCACAACGTTTCATCTTTCTCCCAACTTGACCGTCGTCTCTCACCATGCTGTTCCCAATGCTTCTCCTTGTGCAATAGCAACGCAGGCTCTAGCTTACTTTTTCTAAAGAGCCTGCGTTATTTTAGAGACTAACATTACTTTTTTTTTTTCAACGAACATAGACATATAGATTCTAGAAGTCCTTCGCTATCGGAATCATCATTCTCTTTGGGATACATAGAGCGATATAGATCACACTGCGCACATTGACTCGGTGCATCAATACCCCCTGCTAGACCATCTATCAAGTTTTCGTTTCTGGGCGATATCATAATCGACATATTCCAAATTCATATACATATATCCCGTCCGCACGAGCAAATCATGACATACTTCCGCGCTCCAACTTCTTTCCTTCCGTCGCTCTCTATACTTTGCACGCATACCACTGCCTCTGTGAAAGATGCCTTGCAAGACTTGAAGGAACTTTACTTCCCTGCCCCAGCACCTCCGCAGAGGACGCTGTCAATAAATGGTGTACCTGCACTGAAGCAGGATATTTCTGACACGGTACACGTGCCTCGCCGAAAGCGGACGGGACGCTTGAAGCATAGCGATGGCGTCCCGGACTCCGGTTATGCCTCCGAAGAAGACGAGGCAGAACTGGAAGGAGATCTAGAAAGCGAAGCTGAAGACTTGGACGTCGACATCCTGCGCGCAGACGAGTTTGAGCGAGATTTTGCTATCAAATGGCTCACAGGTCTCATAAAGCGATCCGATGCGTGGATACACACACTCGAGAGCGCCACAGAACAAGAAGAGGACGTACGTCTGTCCGTTATAGAGGAGGCAGGCAGGCTTCTTGCACGTTTTGCCGGGGACGATGAGCAGCAAGAGGATGCTCTTACGCGAAAATTTACATTTCCTTTTGGTGCCGAAGGCAAGGCCATTACCATCGAACTGAATGATGCTCCACTCTCACCTACGGATCATACTTCCGTGGGTTTGCAAAGTTGGGCAAGCGCTATCATTTTTACCGAACGTATTTGTGCGGATCCCGCTCGATACATAAGCATCCCACAAGGAGCTGCTCCCTTGCGCGTTCTTGAGCTAGGAGCAGGCACGGGACTTCTCAGCATTGCTACCGCACAAATTTTCGACCGCATGGAAGTCGATGCCAAAATTGTGGCAACGGACTACCACTCTGCCGTCCTCCATAACTTGCTGCGGAATGTGCAGACCAATAACGTCTCCGTTCAAATCGAATCACTGGACTGGTCCAGACCGCCTCCACTCGAGCCGTACGATATTATCCTTGCTGCAGACGTGGTGTATCACCCCGAGCATGCGAAGTGGATCAAAATTTGCGTGGAGAAAGCGCTGAAGAAGGGAGGGGTGTTTTGGTTGATTATCGCAATGCGTTCGACGGGGAGGCACGAAGGCTTGTGGGAGACTGTGGATGATGTATTTGCAGATGGGCAATGTGGCTTTACGAGACATGAAGGGTGTGGTGGAGAGACGAAGCTAGCGGTGGTGCAAAAGGAGGATGTAGGGCGTCGTGGGGGAATTGGTCGCGCAGATGAGGTTGGGTACAGGTTATTCGAGATACGTTGGCTTCCTTGTCGTTACTGCTGTTAAGAATGACTTGTTACGAGGATGTCTCACAGTTTACCCCTCTGGTATTCTTGATGTTATCGCTATCGACGTCAACAGTCAGTTGAATGTTTTCAGCCTTTGCTATAGAAACGATCTCGAGTCGCACTTCCTCGAACCAATGGATAGATATCCGTGACTCCGTTCTGCCTAGGGGATATTGCATAGATCCAGTTCATGAGACCGTAATACTTATGCTTGTAATATAACCACAACCTAGATATATTGATACTAGTGGCAAGCGCCAATGAAAATGCGCGCAGTCTGTACAGTCGAGGGCGAGAAAGTTGTGCATCCAGGACATAGGGGTTGTATCTAGTAGCAAAATGGACTCTCCTGCAGTGTGCGCTTCAAGTTGTCCTGCACGGTAAGTAACTCTCCGTTGGACTCAAACACTTGAAATTTCAAACTAAGAAGCGTACTACTTATCATCCACAGTCAAGAATTGCAATCTTTCGTGCAGTGATTATGTGCTCATGTTGCAACGTTGAAGACTTATTGGCCCTCAGGCCTCAGGTTTCAGGCCTCGTCCTATGCTCCTTCCTCGTCCTTGTCGCCAAACGAAGGCAAGGAGTTTCTTACGTGAGGGATGGGTTGTCTAGTTGCGAGTGCACTGGCCTGCGGTTGCGGGCCGCGGCGCTGATGCGGCAATCGACTTGATATATCTTTCTCAAACAATTAACGTTGTCCCTCGCATTATCAAATAACATGCCGACAGTCAACTCAAACGTCAATCTCTCCCAGGTATAGGATATCATTGGTGGACTCCAAAACATCGTAAGTGCCCAGTTGTATAGGTACTCGCGTCCGCGTATAGCTTATAATATTCCTTCACTTCAGCTCGCACGTTCACCATTGGTGACCGTATGTCCACTCCGATACAATGGATGCCATTTTATTGACGACGAACAGATTCCGGATATTGAAACCCCGTACTCCCGACTTAGTTTCCCCAGTACGAACTACTCTGTCACCGAAGACCGGAGCATCAGCGCCATCATCACTGAACGCCAGCAGCAGTTGGATGCAGTTGTGGACGAGATTTCAGGCCTGGAAACAATCATGCGCAGTATCAAGAATCTTCACCGGCAACTCGTCGAAAAGAAGGACAAGATTACGCAGTCCATGAATTTGCACAAGAGACTTGTATCAACTCTCCGGTGCTTGCCGACTGAAGTCCTATTCCACATTTTCATTTACTGTCTCCCGGAAGTCAAGTACCCGTCTCCTGCACCAAACCTGGCCCCCATACTGTTCACTAGAATTTGCTGACGCCGGAGGGTAGTTGTGGGCATGCCTAGTTTGTGGTGCACGCTCAGCCTGGGGGAGGTGGAAGTCAACCGCGGAGACTGGCAGCGGCAAGCCTTCTGCTATAACTCATGGCTCAAGCGATCACGAGGATATCCGCTCTCGTTGGCACTCAAGTACGTCGCAAATGACACTACCGACCTACGAAGCCTTACAACAATCAAATCTCGTCTCTCTGTGTCCATTTCCCCCGAGAAACGGATCATCCTGGACTTTTGTTAGAAGACCTCCTAACACTTCAAGAGCTAACCATTATCACACTACATGGGCCAGCTATTGCACAATGCGTTTCGCGACTGCCGTTCACTCTGGGCAGTCTCAGGTTCATATGGCAGTTGTTCGACGCCGAGCTCTTATCTTCTTTTACTCCCGTATGGGCCCACCTGACGCATGTTAATATTATGGTAGATCAATCAAATACATTTCTCCACTTGCTCCAGCTAGCTCTGAGCCTCTCCTCATTGGCGATTTACATGCCGTACGGTTGCTACCAAACACCGGTTTTTGAGCCAATCACACACACCAAACTTCAGTTCTGGTACATCTCTCTCGCTAATGGCCAGGATGTGAGACACCAATTACCTGACCTGTTGAATGCTCTCTCATTCGCCAAATTATGCGTACTTGAAGTTTGGGGTATTCGAACATGGCCTCATGAGCAGTTCAAGACATTCTTGGCACGGTCAAATTGTCCCCTGAAGAGCCTGCTTTTCGGCGCTGAAGGGATGACGACAGATGAGCAGCGAGTAGAATATGTTGCCCTTATTCCTTCCCTCGACGTTGTAGTGTCACCATCCCAGCTAGCGTCTTGATACTTTACACAAGACTAATATATTTCGCAATATGATGATAACACGCATGAACACAGCTGCAGCATGACGTGGTGGACACAACCCACTGAGCCGGCGATATGTCTGCTTACATTCTTGAGAATAGATGATGTCGTCATATGTGCAGGAATACGCAATTTGGTGAGCCGTCCAACGCGCTTATGATGGACACATGTATCGTACGTCGTGCCGCACTGGTGCAGGCCTGAGTCAAGCCTCAGCTCTGTTGTCTTGGTATAGTTTGTTCTGCTGACAAGAAGGCTGAGCTGTGAAATCATGGAGGTTGTGCAGCCATTCCCGGAAGTCGGCTGGAGGCCAGAATGTATAATCATATCATATGTGACATATGATATATACAAAATGGCTGTGTTATGCGGGCCGTGCGATATACACTCACTGACCAGTTGCATCAACTCTCCACATCGTTCGCATCTGCTCTTCCCTAGCTGAAGATACACTCCGCATAGAGCACGGGAAGTGTTCGGGATGGCTGTTGCGAGCCATTCAACACCGTCAGATCCTCTGAGATGCACATAGGCAAAAGAATCACCAACATTGTAAGACCATTTGTAAATCGCGGCGTAAAGTCAATGTCCTTGCCATCCTTGTCTTGTGCTTTTGCGATCTCGATAGTTGAGAGAATTGACACGACAGACGCCCACAAGGAGTGGTCTGCGAAGAAACGACCTGGACAAATTCTCCTTTAGGTATTGTCAGTCACATATTTCAAACCAAGAAGACATCACGAACCTTCCAAAACCAAAAGCGAAATGACTGCACATGGGTTCATCTTTCAACTTTCCGTCTGTAGTCAAATGACGATCGGGATCAAAATGCGATGGATTAGGATATATGTCTTCATCGTGACCCATGGCCCTATGGGAGGAATTAGTCACTATGAGGGTGAGAAGATGATGGTTCCCCGATACCTACCATGCATTCAACACCACCACAGAACCTATTAATCTCTTTGAGACACTTGATCAGTAGCTTGCGACGCTGGTAGTATAATACCTTTTGGAATGAGGAATCCATTATAAACATCATCGCATGAGGTTGCATGTGGAATGCCTAACGACACGCGTCAGATTGACTTCAATACCTCTCCTGCGGCTTACAGAGAGGTGCAACAGGCGCCCATCTGAGAAGTTCACGACAGACCGCCTCAATATATGGCAGTGACTCCCTATCCTGGAAAGTCGGAATCCCGTCGCGTCCGCACACCGCGTCGATTGCTGCCCTAGCGAGAGCCTGAACTTCCGGGTAAAGAACCATTGCCAGTAGGAATGTGTGTAGGGTTGACGAGGTCTGCAATTTCTGTAAGGATTTATTCACAAGGAAAAAATGGTTTATATTACTGTCTCAGACCCACCTGAAGAGCAACGAGTTTACCACCATGAAAGATTAGGGCCAACATGACGTCTTACCAAGGTATGCAGTTGCAGCAACCGCCTTCATCAACTGTTCATGAGCACGAAATTGACTTCCGTTCCCCTGGTTCAGGAAGTCTGATACCATAGATTGACGAGCCGTACCCTTTGCCTGACAGAGAAACCATCAAAAAATTCTCGCAGACTTCAAGGTTCTCGGATGTGCTCACCAATTGTTTTTTCACATATTCAAAGGGTGTCTCCATCATATCCTGGACCAATCTACGACATTCTGGGGCCTGCTTCTTGTACTCCCCCCCTGGTACAAAGGACGGGAGCCGAGTTACTGACGAAAATGTTCAAAATGCAATCCCAGCAGTCTACAATACTCACGAAAAGGAAAGAACATTTGCATGGCTGCTCTTTCAGGAGATATAATTTGATTGCCAATCGAAATGACCTTCTGAACAGATGTTACGAAGGGATCATCCATTGGCTGGGTCTCATATCCATACGTGACTGCCAAGATGAGAGACGCCGCAAATCTGGTTCATATGGGAATCAGAGTGGACATGGGCAATTGCAGCTAGGAACTAACGTGTTCAGGTGTCGTTCTACTTCCTCGGGGGCATCGAAAAGATTGACAACGAGCTCATGAGCCTTGCGGAGATACAGATCCTGGTACGAATTCGATGCTTCGACACGTAGTACCTGATGAAAAAGTTTGCGGTGCATGCGGAATGTGTCACCGTATGGCAAGAGCCCAGTGTTAAATGAGAATCCAAAACTGTTCGAGTCTGTAGGTCAAGACGCGCCAATTGATTAATAGACGTGACCCAGACTTACTACTCGTTTGTAGCAATGACAGGACGATCAGAATATATCGCCGAGTGTTTATCTACAATGGTCCTAGCGACCTTCTCAGAGTTGACGATGATGAAGTGCTGACCAAAAAGGCGCGAGTACACAATATCACCTGAAATTCGAGACTGAGCTGCAGAGCATGACCAAGGTGGACGAACCAACCATATTGCTTTCCCCACTCAGCATAAGTTAGCCATGGACGAGCTACATCAATGTCGAGGATATTTCCTAGGAAAGGCAGCAAGCGCGGTCCAGGTGGGAGTGCCATACCATTTGCCTTCTTTCGCGTAGTACGCCATCCTTCTGCAATGATTGCGCAGCCAATGGCTGAGAAAATGATCATGTAGCTTTCGACCATGACGAATGTTCAACACAGGTCCTTGGCAGTAGGCATCATTTATGCTTAGGCGGGCCGCCGCGCCCCCACTTCGTCGCGAATTTTGCTAAAAGTTAAACGACCACGACCCTTCAATTTGAACGTAAATATTACATACATATGCGGTCCGGTCGGGCGCAGATCGATGTGGGCTCAGGCCCGGACGAGCACAAGTACTGTGATTCACGAAGAAGACGGCTTGTGCCCCGAGATCAGAAAGTAGGTTAAAGCTGGGTTAAAGTAGATGGGGGTTCTTCCCTTAAGCTTCATTGACTCTCAATTCTCTCACTTACTCTCCCAAAGCGAGCACGGCTTGCACTAAGTACATCAGATTAATATTAGCGGCACTTCCAACGTGGTTGGTCGTGACGGTGACCCACGGTCCTACGGACTGGCCACTCGACAACTTTCTACAACACCGAATCTCCAAGGCGCTGTACTAATATCTCGGTCGAGTCATCTGAATCGCTCAGGAAAATACACCCCAAGCTGCCATGGACGACATTGACATCGTGGATCATGATGCATGATGGCGAGGGTGATAAATAGAATACTGTTATTTACAGCTCTTTGCATAAAGGATGGCACCGGCGTGAAATTTTCGTTCAATTAGGAAATGTTAGACTTAGGTGCAATTTGGACAACGACTCCGGGTTCAAAATTCCTGGTTCAAACCGCACGTGATGACCGCACGTGATAGATTCAGATGGCGCGATAGATAATCGATAGTATGTAATAATGTAGCATATGTATGCGTGTCATATCCATCGCTGCACCCATGGATCTTGAAGCGCAAACGCAACACAATCGACGACACAAAATCATGGTTTTTATCATTACAATTGTGGTCGCTCAAGTCACACATCTATACCATCTTTTATTCTTATCCTGCACTGAAAGAATTCCTTACCACACATCCATCCTTACTGGCCAAGCATGGGTATATGAACTGATCAGTGGTCACCCAGACAGGATCAGACACAACTTCGGCATCAACCTTCAAATTTTTGATGAGTTGTTAGCGGTTCTTAACCAACACGGCTTCATCCAGTCCCAGAATGGGGTAACCATGTCAGAGCAACTCGGTATCTTTTTGTACACCTGTGTTACTGGACTCTCGTCTCGCCACATTGGAGAAAGATTCCAGCGCTCTCCTGACACAGTTACAAGGTAAGTATGCCTACATTTTGATATAACTAATAGTGTGCTGATTTTTGCAGATATTTTAAACGCATGCTCATGTTCTTTTCATCGGCTCCCTTCTACACCTCGAATGTCCGCTTCCTGGATCACAACACCCCACTTTCCGCGGCAATTCACACTGACCCACGATTCCGATTCTTCAATCACTGTATTGGTGCTGTTGACGGCACCCATATCCTGTTATGATCAGCGTTCACCAAATGGTAAAGGCCTAACACAACCACTAGGACTCGTCAAGGATAAGAGCAAGAGATGTTATTGAGAGTGAACATCTGAGTCTACACTGGGTAGGAACGAAGAGGTTAAGTCTAAGGAGTACTACTGACTACAACCTAAACTATATACTACTATTGGGGCGGAGATATCTGAGTATGAAAGGTAGTGATATATCTATATACGATCATAACATTGCGCCTAGGGTATAGGGCGTCTTATCAACCAATCAACTACAGGGAAAGGGAAAAGGGTTCATAGGGGTATCGGTGATTAAGCAGGGTCTTAGGGTACTGCTTCTATTCAGGGTAAGCGGAGATGAAGAAGGGTGAGAGAGTTCTGTGACAAGAAGTCTTGAGCGGTGATTAAGGATCTCGATAAGAGATAGGATCTGGAGATGTATCGGGTACAATCAGATCTAGGGGTTTCTCCAGGGTCTTCGGTAATGAGCATGCTTCTCTATGAGTAGCGCTTCTGTGATAGGGGTTCAGGGGTTTAGCTGTGACTGTGCAACAGGTTCTTATGTAAGGAGTTCGGTGAATGACAGAGGTAACTCTTAACATGTCATGTGTGGGAAGTGAAGGTCTGCGATGTGAAGGGATGATGACTCTTCGAGAGATGGCTTGTAAAGGACTCTCGGTTATGGTTCGATCATAGAGGCGTGTAGATGCTTATGATGTAACCCGTTGCCTAATCGTAGGACTTCTAAGGATGTGATGACTTCGGATGTCTAGGGTTACGGATATAGATGGATGACGTCGATGTAGTATAGATGTGATGTGAAGATAGTGATCATTAATCGGTTATCCATCTTATCTTATCATGGATCTTATCTAATCTAATCTTATCGGATAGGTGACTTAGGGTTTGATAATCGAAATTTAGATGCAGTTGGTAACATTCATGACATATCCGTGTTTTTGCGCCGCTTGAAGACCATGTTGTCCTGCGCAACCGGAAAGGCTTCTTGTCGCAGAACTGCCTGTTTATCTGTGACCTCGACTTTTTTTTCATTTACTCACTCACAGGGTGGGACAGCTCAGTTGCCGATGCTTCCCTTTGGAACGACGCGTGCTCTCATGATTTGCACATGCCCGAACACAAGTATCTTCTAGCTGACGCCGGCTTTGGTATGTGCAACGCGCTTCTTGTGCCTTATCGAGGTGTGCGCTACCACCTGAAGGAATGGCACCAAGCTAATCTCACGTGAGTTCATTTTTTCTTAGTCTGTCTGTCTATTAATTTTTTTCTAGGCTTAAAGACCCAAAAGAGTTGTTCAACTTGCGACACGCTGCACTGCGCAACATAATTGAATGGATATTCGGCGTTATGAAGCGGCAATGGCGCATTTTAATATGCGTGCCTGAATACTCCATGGATATCCAGTCCCGGATCCCAGCGGTGCTTTGCGTTATTCACAACTTCATGCAAAGAACCAATGGTGATATATTTGATCTTGCCCTCGAGTACGAGCATGATCTTGCAGAGGATGATGGTGTTGGATCTGGGCCTGGCGCACATTCAGAGGGACCGGCAGATGCTGCTGAGCGCAGACGAGCAGATGCTCGTAGGGACGGAATTGCACAAGCAATGTGGACTGATTATCTCGCAGAACGTGCACGAAGGGGACTTGTTATGACCCACGTTCACCAATAATGATGAAGGAGAGAACACAACCACTAGGACTCGGTCAGAGAGGATGATGATCAACGGAATGGTATTGAGCGTGAACGTCTAAGTCACTACTACAAATAGTAGGAAATGAAGAGGTTAAGTCTAAGGAGTACTTACGCTACCTAGCCTACTCTTATACATAACATTGAATAGGAGTCTGAAAGAAATCAGCCAATAAGAAAAGAGTTGTATGATACTGCGGATGAGTAAGTATGACATCATGATATATAAGCGAATGAGTAAGATGGCAACTAAACAGAAACCCAAGTTCCGACCGGTTCTTCTTTAGGAAGTGAGATTGTTCTAGCCCGTGGAGTTGGGGAGCCAATCGGAGAAGCAACAGGTGATCTATGACGAGGAGTCATGTGACCGGCTCAGGTACTGGAAGTAGCCGAAGGAAAACCGAGAAATGAAAAATGGTTCATATTAGGAATTTGTGACAGGACTCCCATTGCCATAGTTGTAGGTAATACATGAATTCTGTACCATGAAATGATCTTACTATGACACAATCATATATTCTTGCGAGTCAACTGATTGCTGTGGTGCACCACCGCAAAGCACTCACTTCTCTTCCAACCACTCAAGCCTCGTCACCTCATCCAACAAGTAGAAAATGATCGCCTGGTTCTCGTGTTCAGCTAGAAAGTTGGCAATGCCCAAGCGCTCTTTGCTCGTGAGGTTTGTATATTTATTGAGGAGGGAAATGGCGCTCCCAACATGTGTGGAAGGCTGTGGCTGCACTGGCGGCAGCGCTGGGGCTAACACAAGATTCTTCTGCATCTCACGCACTACTTCGACGAGGCTCTTCATCGTTTCAGTACCCTCCTGCTGTGCCAATAGCGTGGCAGATGGTGGCCGACTTCGCTTCTGGGAGCCTGCAACTGACGCAGGAGAAAGCACACTGTGTTTTTGCTTTCCGCGGCTTATGCTTGTCCATGCCGAGCCACCGGCAGAGGTAGACCCTTCAGTGGAAGGAGCGAGAAAGGTAGATGGAGGAATAGGTGGCTCAAGGTCCACTGAGGATGGTGGCGGGTACACTGAGGATGGTGGCGGGTACACTGAGGATGGTGACAGGTCCACTGAGGATGGTGGCGGCCCTGGAAGTGCATTATCTGTGGCTGGGGGGATGGAGGATAGTGTGTTGGCATTGGTGGCGGTGGTAGGTCGGAAGACGTGCGAGCCTTTCGACTTGCTTGGCGTCAACTGCTGCATGATCTCGAAGTGGTCGAAGCCCTTCGTCATGAAGGGCTTTGCGTGAGGATGTGACTGAAAACACTGTCAGTAGAGGGGCATGCATGCAGTCTATTGCAATGACTTACCTTTGTAAAGCGTGCCCAGACATCATCCTTTCTGTCTGTGATACCCACTCCGTGCTCATCACTCCAAGTAAAACCCGACATACACTTGATTTCAACGACACTTTGGTATGCTTTCTTTAACTATAAAAATATATGTCATTGATTTGCTGGCGGCTGAAAGTTCACTGGAAACATACCGCTGTCCATTTATTCTTGCAAACTCCACCACTCTTTTCTGCACCCCTTTGATGTGGGTGTTTTGTCTTTAGGTGCACAGATGCTTGATTGAAGGTGGCCAACTTGAAGCCTCCATCGCCTGATGAAGGAAGGGCCTCCAGAAGGAACTCGAGAAGGCTAGTTTCCTCCGCCTTTGACCACACTGCAGGAGCCTTCCTGATCATTCCACCAGATGCAGCAGCCGATGTTACATCTATAGTACCTCGAGAACATAAGGAGTGCAAAGATCCGCTGCTTGATTTATCAGACATTGTGGTGATAGAGTATCTTTTGTTTTATTAGATGATTATTAACGCAGTCAGGTCATCACGTGCGGTCATCACGTGCGGTTTGAACCAGGAATTTTGAACCCGGAGTCGTTGTCCAAATTGCACCTTAGTGAAATTTTGCTCATTGTACACTCACATCCCCTGTAATTCATTATCATCGTGCCGTTTATAACTATTCCTGCCTCCAAAAAACACAAGAGCCTGCCAGAGCATGACAGTGACCTTGATTCCAATGGGTCCAATGAGGACGATATTCGAATGAAAGAACTTTCGGAGGAAGAGGAACCTGACTCTGATGACGACAGCGAAGATGACGAGCTTGAGCAGTCCCAGCCCATGGAGATCCTTACACCACCTCCGACCATGTCCAAAAAGCGAAAGCGTGGAACTAAAATCTGTGACTAATGATCCCTACTACATGGACCTACGTCTCGTCAATAAATCCCAACTCTGATGGATCATACTGAGCCATGCGTGCGATGAACGCAGCACGGAGAGTCTCGTCGCGTTCCTTGGCAATGCGCTTGAGTTTCTTGTAGCTCACATCAGCACGTTCGAGCTCGCGGAAGATTGTCGTGAAATGGACAGATATGAATTGGTTTGTCGCGAGGAGGTGCATGAGCTCATCCAAAAAATAGTCAGGATTCTGCCTTACAAGGCGAAGCAGGCAATCGATATCTTCACGATCGAGAGCACGCAGACGACTACGCATTGCTGTGTTAGGCTGACGGTCCACGACATCGCCGGTTTCGTGCCAGAGCTTCAAAATCCGAAACCAAGTGCATCTGGAAAATCCGCAGCAATCTAGGATATCACGAAGGCTTAGAAGGTTCCGTTCATGGAGTCGGATTGCCGCAAGTTTCACATCACGACTGATCTTGCGAAATCCCATGTTGCGAAGATGACAATATAAGGGTAGTATGAGCGTACACGAGCAAAATTTCACCAAGTCTAACATTTCCTAATTGAACGAAAATTTCACGCCAGTGCCATCCTTTATGCAAATAGGTGTAAGTAAGGCACTTGATATCATGTTGTCTTCTCGTAATTTTTACTAAGACAAACCTCAGTACTTTCTCAGAGTATGTGCTAGCTGTTCCACAATTACTCAGTACTGACGCATGCCACGGTGCAGGTCGATACATCTACTGATTCTACCGGCGGACTAAACAGTAAGTACACAGGAGGGGTACAGGGTAGCGGTCTATGCTTATTGGGCAACCTTTATCTGACAATCTTATTTTTAAGAGGATTGTGGACTCGCAAGGAGGTCAATGATGACGCTCCGATCGACAAATAGTCACGTTTGCCAAACGTTGAACATGCACCGATAAAATCCCTATAACGGATGGGAGTCATGGGTCAACGTACAGCATAACTACAAACTCAGGCAAGATAAGTACGCTTCCTTCACAATCGCGGTTAACATTCGGGGCAAGAGGCTGCGGGCCTACGGCTGATACCGAGCACCCCATGGTGCTCCGTCACTTCCCGAGTCGCCGACCTATCGGAAAGTTTCGCGCTAGCCACCTCCGCTCTACAACGTCGAGCGGTGCCTCGCATCATTGATCGATTGTCTAGAGTCATCAAAGGCAGCAGTTTGATTGTGCGAACATCGTGTACAACAGTTATCGTCCAGCCTTGGTCCAGCCCGTCATGATGTGTGGTGCTAGTACTGGCACGTCGCACTTTCTTAGACTTGAAGTACCGCTGCGACCCATCTACCGATCAGATAAGTATTTTGTGTAACAAGGTTTACGGTTGTAGCTTAAGCCGGCGACAAGTTGAGGCCACGACAACATGGCACCCATCCCTAGGGATTTCCGATGGCCCGCGGGAGGGTCAGCTCATGCCAGCCAGCATTTGCAAATATTCTGCACATCGCCTCGTGAGGTTCGTGCACTAACACAATGGTTACCTTGGTTCGCTCAGGAATTGTGTTGCAGATTTGTTTTCTAATAGACTTGTAACTGCTTGAGTCTAGGGACGACTTGCAGCAATAGAGAGTTGGGCGTGTAGTCTCATACTCAACTCTTTGTTACTGCAGGTCTCTTTGGGATTCACCCTGAACGAGCGGTGTAAAAGGAATATGCAAATGTATTGCATTGCATATGTGCAGGTCAGTAGTCATCCAATCCACAAGGCCGTATTACTCATACCCGGGCCCATCAGGAAGACACATCGTGATTCCATGCACTACGTGGCACGAAATTAAACGAATAGTAGCAGTCATCGCCTCTCACCAACGGAGGGACCACATGGCACATGTGATGGTTCCTACAGTTATCGCCGTTGTGCCTTCGTGGCAGTCAGCGGAGGATATGTGGATGGGATCATATATGATGTGACTGTCTCCACGTCTGATAGACATGGGCTTTGTCCTGCCATCCCTCAACTCCTCGATTACCAGCTGTCATGGTAGCATCGGGCAGTCCCTCATACGTTAGTATTTACATATCTTACGCGAGAGAGGTTTCTTAAAGCAACATTGAAAACTAGAACGAGGAAACGTGTAGTGCCCCAGAGGATGCGCGAGTGGTACAGATGACCAGACTGGTATGGAAGGCATCCCGTCTGGACGTGGGGTGCACGTCACACTGAACTCATAAAATCAGACCAGCTTCGAGGGAGCCATCTCGTGTTACTCCGAGACTACCACCATGGTTCGTGTGTTCTCGCGTTGACGTTGAGGTCTGAGGTGCTGATGTGATGTGTTTCTTTGTTAGGTTGATTTTGCCATCGAGGATGTCCAAGATGGTGCTTCGCTGGTGAGGCAGAAGCCTCGTGTTCCTTTCTGCATCAAATTTTGACGGTTTTCGTAGGCAACATCCCATGACGAGCACGAGACGTCTACATCGGAGACTGGTACCTCACAGGCTCGAATGTTGGATGCAGATGAAAGGGCGTGGGACAGGCCCCCATTCATGGGAGATCATGGGTGCTTTAAGGCAATAGTACTGGCCATGTTGCCTTTCAGGATAGCATCATGGGGTAAATGAGTGACTCGTCGATTATATTCTCGTCTCCCCTATACAGACCATAGACGATAGATGTTCCTTATCCGTTGGCCTTCGGACGGTTGTGTATTGCGCACAACCGATCGGAGTAGACTTTTTATGTTATTTGCAGAGGAAATACTACGTGTACACTTGAGGATGGTTTCGCACAATGCAGAGTGCTATGCAGAGCTGAACATGCCGTGTGAACTTCAAAGATACAGCACGCTGAAGTGTGTGCGCCACTCGCAGGGGACCTCGAAGGTCGTTGAAAGTTGTGGCGTGATATTGTAGGCCTGAACAAAAACGATTTATGATTCAGTGAAACTCGAGCGCGAGGCACTAATCAAAAAATAGTTAGAGCAATACAAAGAATCCCCCGTTTGTGAATATCTGGTGTAGAGTTGCGGCGCAGACACGCGTGTTTTCAACATCAGTTGCGTTGGATGGCGCAAATAGTGTTCAATAGAAGTGGTGGTTTTGGCCCAGTGTGCGCGGCAGCGTACCATAGAGTTCAAGTCAACAGCGACGTTCGGCAAGACTCTGCACAAAGAATATGCGTCGACTCCTTGTGGTATTCCTGGGAGAATGATGGTGATTGCACGAACACTGAGAGGAAGGTCCATACCTCGGTGTTTCTGTACGCGGTCCATGAAGTCTTGCAGTGATAAATACAAGAACGGAACACAATCAATCCTTGACCATAAGTGTGTACAGTCATCTGACCAGAGGCCTTCGGTGACTTGCTAGCTCAACAGGGATTGAAGCACTTTTGGCATTACAAGCGGAGCTGAAGAGACTCAAGTAAAGCGCTCACGCGAATTGCCTCCCCAGAACCAACCGCTTCGTTCTTACATTTTGTAGCAACACATTGTAAAATACTCACCGATTTATGAAGCAACGTACGAGGATCGTGACTAACCAAATCTCTGCTTTGCCAGCTGTTGAAACATGTCCATTGTAGCCTTGTCCTTCTCTCGCAAGGCTGCAGCGCGATCGCGTACAGCAGCAGTTTTGTCTTCTTTCCCTGAGGCACGCTTCTCCTCGAATCGTTTCCGTGCTGCATCTCGTCGAGCGATGCTATTACGATGTCAAAGTCAATAAAAGTAAACAATGAGAACCCAAAACTTACTGGTCCCTGAAACTGTCCCCACCACCAAGGAGGGTTGACTCATCTGCTTCAAAGCCGTCGTCACCTTTCTCCCTAAACGCACGGTCATCCTCTCTCCGGGCGCGCTTCTTCTCCATCATACCCTCCTTACCGACCTCTTTCGGCCCCACCATGTCCTCAATGCGTTCTTTCGCTTCTGCGCGATCTCGTTTACGCTTCATGTTATGTTCCGTTGCTTGATACTCCGATGCAGCTTCTCGGGCAAGGACCCGATCCGACGCTGAAGGGAGGGTTGGGCCCAGTACGCGACTTCTGCTTTCCCCAGTATTGGATGAGCTAGTAGCACGCCGGTAGGTCGCAAAATCAACTTCTTCTCGAACAGCTTTCAGAGTTCTTGCATCTACACCTTCGCCTTTGGATGCGAAGGACCATTTGTATGCTGTTTGATTGGCTGCTGAGGATATGTGGGAGTTGGCATCAGAGTATAGCGACTCTGAACGTCGGTCAGGATTGGTCGCTGTGAGATACAGAAGAAAGCTCACTTGGTAGTTTTGCTCTGTTCCATGCCTTGGATCGCGCACTCAGCTCACAGTCGGGTAGTTCATGCACAATCTTACCTTTACAAACTTGCGGAAGTAACTGCCATTGCTCTTGAGCAACCTTGCACCAAAAACATCTTGATAGCGAGACTCACCTCCTAGCTTTCTCACTCGAGAGCTCATCAAAGTACTACCAGATCGACACCTTAGCATTTTGTCTTTGGTCATCAAATCCTAGCGTAGAACAGACCTTATGTTTCTCCTCCTTTAGCCATATTCTAAATTCTGTGTTTTTCAAAAAGTAGTCGGACTCTGATATGGGAGAGACGCCTTGTGGAAGGTCGTTGTCACTTTCTGGGGTGGGCGAGCGGTCTCTTCTCTCTCTGGAATGCGACTGGTTATGACGCGGACGGCGCTCGTGATCTCTATGAGAAGGCATGCCTGGGTCGTTGTCTGTTCTCGTTGGAAGTTGCACTCAGCGTGGTGTCGTGAGTTGGTCGTGAGTCAGTGACTAAGTTTAAATTGTACTGCGGTTGAAAGCTTAACATTATCGCACAGTACTAACAAACCCTTCAATCGAAGAACTTCCTCCTAAATTCCATGCAACAACAGCAGATTTCATTATCACGGAATAGACAATTTTGGAGAGATCTAGAGCTGGTACTACAACAGCAGCCCAGTTGCTGGGCTAAATTGGATGGAGGGGTTGACTTCAGACTTCAGGTGACCACCCCGCTCAATGTTCATTGTTCATCGGTTCACTTGAATGTGTAGACGACTCGGACTACTTATCTTCATTCTATCAAGTTGGTCTGCCTCGGGAAGACTAGTATGCTGGTGTAAAGTTGTCTCAATTTCATACCATTTTGCTCCTCCGCTTCCCCTCTTTTCCAAATACACAAGGACTTGCGCCCGTGCTGCTTTCTCTCGCGTTACTCCCGCAATCGTCAATGGCTGTGCACGTTCATTACCACTTATAACAGCTGTTGCCCTGGCCCTCGGGTATGCGACCTACAGTGAGAACCTAGTAAGGACCGCACGGGGGTCTCACCAAACATTTTATTTTGAAAGTATTCGATCCGTGATGCACTCAATATTGTCATGGAGGAAGAACTCCTACGTGATGAGTTTTCATCCTTGGTGAAGAGGTAGCTCGACACAACGGTGCATACAAGGTTATTCGATCCTCATGCTCGTCGTGTTTTTGACTTAAGTTCGTCACGTCTAGATTACCAAAGGCCTTCTGGACAAATTCGGTGAGAAGCGCATTGTTGACACTCCCATCACTGAGATGGGTTTCGCCGCTGGAAAGACTGACTTTATGTCTGGTGGAAACGTGCCTCGTCAAGGCCTTAGCAGTGCAGCCACTAGTGTTACTGCTTGGTATGGCTCAGTCCTTGGTCTGAAGGTTGTCAGCCCTTGGAGTGCCGAGGATTGCAAGGGTCTGCTCAAGGTTATATTGCCCTCGGCCTGATGTCATCATGTCTAAGGATTTCAGTACAGGCAGCCATCCGGGGTCTCAACCCAGTGATATTTCTCGAGAATGAGATGATGTACGGTGTCACCTTCCCGATGTCTTCAGAAGCCATGTCAGACAACTTTGTCCTTCCTACCAGCAAGGCCAAGGTCGAGCGCGAAGGAACCGATTTCACGATTGTCGCACACAGTAAAATGGTCACTCACAGTATAGAGGCTTCCGACTTCTTGGTAAGGAGGGTGTCAACGCCGAAGTCATCAACCTTCGTAGCATCCGTCTCTCGATATCGATACCATCAAGGCGCCGGTCAAGAGGACGAACCGCCGGTAACGCAGTCATCTAGCCTAGTGGATGATTACGCATCTCCTCTAATCAGTCTCCTAATCGTCGAGGGCGGTGAGGGCAGACTGATGTGAATGCTTCCACTGAAGCTGTGTTGCCTCCTGAAGATCCGTCTATCTGCAGGATGAACTTGACTATCTAGATAGTGCAGCTCTCAGATGTCGCGGTTAGACGCGTTTATCAATGAATACATCAGCTTGATTAGAAGCAAGCCAATAATTGGCTTACAGACAAATCACTATACTTATGATGGCAGGTGCGTGATGATGGCAGCAGGTGTGGGATATTGACAGCTGAGGTAGCGGGAGATGCAGAAGGTGGTGGGAGGTGCGGAAGGTGCGAACGGGAAGTGCAGGAAGGTGAACGGGAGGTTCGGGAGGGTGACTGGATGTGCAGAAGGGTAGCAGAAAGGTGCGAGAGGCTGCTGGCAGGCGACGCGTGAGAATGATACAAGGTGCAGGAGGACAGTGGACTGGTAGCGCAAGCGCCCATTAGAATTCCGTATATAGTAGAGGACTCAGGAGTGCTTTTGTTTTGAATGATCGACGGTCACACTGTGTGTAAATTTGCGGAATCGGAATGTCTAAGTTGGTGATGCTATTCCAAATCGAGATCTAGATTGAAGGTTTTGCCTCTCGCGTCTTTGTGCTTCACGATCACCAAAGCAGACATTCCGCCTCCGAAAAAATATTCACGCCCACAGTCCTTGGCTGGGTGATCTCCCGGGCCGATTATCAAAACAAAGCCCTCCTCGGGGACTTGTCGCTCAGACTGGGCTTTGTTTTTGACATGATCGATGATCGACGATAATTGCTTTAATATGGCCTACTGACTCTCCTAAGTATTGTTCCCGACAACTCTAACCTACTCCCTCAGCCACTGGCTTCATCTTATTCACAAGGTGACCACAACCTTGCGCTTCACCCATCCAGAAAGTCATTGGCTTATCTCTCTCGTCTGAGACTGGCTCAGCTGTTCGGTCGATAATAATCGACCGTAATTATGGACATACCTTTGGTCAAGGCTGAATTCTTAGGTTTATTTCTCGAGACCTTGTTTTACGGTGCGTTACCCACTGGTAGAATAGCTACGAGGTCGATTTTCACTACCACAAACAGGCGTGTTCTTTGCTTTGTACTGGTTCACGCTGTTCATCCTATTCAAGAAAACTGTCATTCAACGGCGAGTCCTTATCCCAGCGGGAACCTTGCTGCTCTGCATCGCAACGGGCGTGAGTGTAATCAGCCCTCTTGGGGGAATAGCTTAACACGATCACTTTCAGCGTCTAATCGTCGATTTTGTTCGAGGGTTAGAGGCATTCGTATTCCATGCGGATACGATTGGTGCAAATGCCTATTATTCCAACCTTGCTTCGCCGCTGAATATCGCATCGATGTCACTTTACGTCATACAAACCATTCTTGCTGATGGTGTACTTGTGAGTTTCTCCACTTGACACGGTCGCTCTCTTCTGAGTAGGGCATTAGATTTGGCGATGTTGTATGCTCTACAGCAGAAGCCTCTTCATTGCCATTCCTGGTTGTATCGTGCTGTTAGCCATTGGGGGTGAGATCTCTGGAGGTATTATCTGATTATCGTCTTAGCCCACGATTTGCAGCCATTGCGTACTATGTTGTCTGGGACATTTCTCGGGTTGGTCCGCAGGTCAACTTTTCCACCGCTATTGCTTCTGCGTGCATCACCACAATCTATGTATTGAGCATGTCTGTCAGTGTCACTTGTACCAGTACGTCTATTGCACCTGACCTACAGGATTCTGACGACTAGAGTATTGCAGCTTTGATTGCCTGGCGCATCTATCGTACTCGCCGTTTCATGCCGGATGGCCTTGGTCCTTTTTTACCCGTTTTCATCGTCATCATTGAGAGCGGTGCTTTATATACCACGAGTGTCGTTGCAATCCTTGTAACATACTTGATCCCATCCAATGGCGAATACGTCGTGCTGGCCTTTATCCCTCCTACTGTGGTGAGTTGAATTAGCTTGCACAAAAACCCCTCATAAGATTTTTCTTCAGGGGATCACATTCTGCCTCATCATCCTGCAAGTGCATTTCCACGTAGGAAGCAGCTCCACCACCGAACAATCTGCTGAAACAAGCAACATTATCACCAACCTCTTTAGAGGGCGAGGTGTCCTGGACGTGGGCTCCAGCCTTGAACCAATGACTGTGCAGATCACGGAGGAGACGCAGATCGGTCAGCCTGACTCCATGGGAAGAAAGAATGACCAACGGGTCTCGGGGGATATCTTTCAATTGTGAATGGATCATCTTCGGGTTTCCCGTAGATGCAATAGCTTTCTTTGAATGGCAACTGGAATGGATGGCAGTCAGTTCGTTGTAGTCGGGTCCCACTAATAAACTTGAAAGTGCGGAACGAATCCCTCGTCTTGTGGAAGAGGATTTACAGGCGAGTTCAAGTTGTTATACTGGTCACCGTGGTGCCAGGTTTATCATGGTAATGTCACAATGTATTTGTAGATCTCGTAGCTTGTTCCAAAATGCGATAAACGACTTCAGCGAGCCAGTCGTATGTGTGTAATGTAAATATCGGGAGACGTAGCCTGGTACAATGATGTTCGATAGTGAGCCTATTATCTGTCTCGTCCTCGGAAAACAAGATCGGCGAGCTATCTCGCTGCCGCCAGACGGAAAAGCTGCATAGAATTGAACGTAACCTATTTACAATTGAAAGATACCTTCCGAGACTGGTTCACCATTCTTTCCGCCCGTCATGTCAGACTGAATGATCTCTGTCTCCTTCGTTACAGCATGCAAAGTCATTGGTCCAATGCTGAAGCGAACGTCCTGAACGCCTCGCCCTCGATAATGTCTCCTGGGTCAACATGCTGTTCTGTGGGGGGACTGCCACCTACGTGGAAATGCACTTGCAGAACGATGAGGCAGAATGTGATCCCCTGAAGAAAAGTCTTACGACAGTTTATGTCCACGCCAATGTGACTCACCACGATAGGAGTGATAATGTCCAGCATAATGGATTCGCCACCACTGGATCGGCGGGCGAATGTTATAAGGAGTGCAAGGACACTCGTAGCATATAAAACGCCGCTCTCAATGACGACGATGAAAATGGGTAAAAGAGCGCCAAGGCCTCCTGGCATGAAATGGCGGGTACGATGGATACGCCAGGCAATTAAAACTGCATCGTTCTGGTCATCAGTGACCTGCAGATCAGGTGCGACAGACATACTGGTACAGATAACGCTGATAAGCATGGTTAATATATAGAAAGTGGTGATACACCCAGAACCAGCGGTGGAAAAGTTGGTCTGTGGAGACGTCCGAGAGATGGACCAAACAGCATAGCATGCAGTAGCTACAAAATGTCATGGGATAAGACGTTGGTCGAATACTACCTTTCGAAATACTCACCTACACTGGCTGACAGCACGATACAACCAGGAATAGCAACTAAGACGCTTCTGCTGTTGACCATATAACATCGCCAAACCTAATGCCCTCAGCTCAGACGGGAGAGCGAACATGTGAAGTAGAGAAACTCACAAGTAGACTATCCGCGAGAATGGTTTGCGTCACGTAAAGTGTCTTCGATGCGACATCCAATGGCGAAGCAAGGTTGAAGTAGTAGGCATCAATCGTATCCACCTGGAATACGAATGCCTCTAACCCTCGAACAAAATTGATGATTAGATGCTAAAAGTGAACGTGTTTGAGCTTATTCCCAAGAGGTTTAATTACACTCACGGCTGTTGCAATGCAGAGCAGCAAGGTTGCCACTGGGATAAGAAGTTGCCGTTGAATGCCAGTTTTCTTGAGTAGGATAAGCAGCGCTAACCAGTACAAAGTGAAGAACACGCCTATTTGAGATAGTGAAATTCGACACCATAGCCTGTTCCAGTAGTCGGTAACGCACCGTAAAACAAAGTCTCGAGAAACAAACGTAAGAAGGCAGCTTTGACCAAAGGGATGCCCATGATTGTGGTAGTGCCACTGGACCAACTGGGCCACTTTCGAACAGGAGAGTCACACCAATGAAGTTTCTGGGTTGGTCCTTGAAGCGCAGGCAGTCATCTTGTAGTAAATAAGATGTAAACTATATATGTGTCCGAGTCGCAGTGCGAAGCTAGCTGTGTTAGGCCTGCATGGCGCATTCATGATGGGCGTCCGTGCTGCAATCCATCCAGAGACTCCTATTAGTACATATCGTAAGGTTAGTATAGTAAGGCTGGATGAAATTACTTACTTAAGTTACTGCTGTCCAATTGTTCCCAAGGTGGTCTGGTTTAGCCCTTCTTCGTCGGTAACCGTTTGATGGAGTTAGTTATATATATGGACGACTTGAAAATGTGCCCAGCATGCTCTCCAGTAGCTGATCTGTAGTAGATATATGTAGTTAAGTGCCTCGTAGCTGGCGCTAGGAGCCTGGGGCGCTGATCGGCTCTGATTATTCAAGTACGTGACGATGGTAAAAGGATAAATAGTATGCCAAGTAATCTCCTGAATCCATGCAGCCGTGAGTCATTTGTTCCATGCTGTAGAAGCCACGTACACGTTTAAACTTTAAAACCTCGAAGGAGGGCTCTTGGACTTAGACAACAACCTCGCACAATGGCACAGGTGGACACGCTCGAGAAGATCAAGATACGCCTATATCTTGTGGATGTGGATTTCCTCAAGGCTTGAAACCTGCGTGATGTGCCCTGAGGGCATCGAGGGTGAGTCCTAGCCGGACCCTTCCCATAAGTCTCACTCAATGATGGCACATCGTATATGTCCCCCTTGACGCGGTAGGACGTAGAGATATATCGTGTAGATGGTAGCGAGTTCTATCACCGCATGGGAGCACTACAATTATTTGATGATGGCGGCGCAACATTTATATCCCGCTCGATGGGTTTCTTGAACGATGTACAACATGTCATATACGCAAATGGTACAAACGCTCGTGATTTGAGTCTGTGGGAAAACAGAAGATAGTCCATTTTACAACTGGAAAATACCCTTTGAGACCGATTGGTCATTCTTTCCGCCCGTCATGTCAGACTGGACGATCTCCGCCTCCTCCGTGATGAGTACAGCAATCGGTTCAACACTGAAACCCACGTCCCGGTCACCTCGCCCTCGTAAGAGGTTGGTCATAATGTTCCTTGGATCAGTGAGCTGTTCGCTGGGGGGCCTGCCACCTACGTGGAAATGCACTTGTAGGACCACAAGGCAGAATGTGATCCCCTAAAGAAAAGTTATACGAAGTTATGGACAGCTTATGTCCAAGGCAATTCAACTCGCTACTTACCACAATAGGAGTGATGATGTCAAGCATGACGGATTGACCTCTGGATCCGGTCCAGAATGCTAGAAGGAGGGCAAGGACACTCATGGCATATAAAGCACCACTCTCGATGACAACGATGACAACGGGTAAAAGAGTTCCAAGGCCTCCTGGCATGAAACGGCGAGTGCGATAGATGCGCCAGGAAATCAAGGCTTTATTCTGGTCAACAGGAGCCTTCATATCGAGTATAATATACGTACTGGTACAAGTCATGCTGATAAACATGGTCAATATATAGAATGTGATGAGGCATGCAGAATCAGCGGCGGAAGTTTCGGCAAGCTGAGAAAGCTGAGAAATGGACCAGACAGCATAGCACGCAACGGCTGCAAATTGTCATGGGCTAAGACGGTGATCAAATAATACCTCTCGAGACACTCACCACTACTGGCTAACAGCACGATACAACCAGGGATAGCAACGAAGAGGCTTTTCTTGTGAAGCACATAACATCGCCAAACCTAATGCCCTACTCAGAGGAGAGCGAACGTGTCGGGTGAAGAAACTCACAAGTACACCATCAGCAAGAGTGGTTTGCACGACGTAAAGTGCCATCGATGCCGGCAGACCAGGATTGGAATAGTAAGCATCTGTACCAAGAGTATTGGCCTGGAATACGAATGCCTCTAACCCTCGAACAAAATCGACAATTAGATGCTGAAAACAATCGTGTTAAGCTTATTCCCCAGAGAAGATTGATTACGCTCACGGCAGTTGCAATGCAGAGCAGCAAGGTTGCCACTGAGATAAGAAGTTGCCGTTGAATGCCACTTTTCTTCAGTAGGATGACCAGCGTTAACCAGTACAAAGTGAAGAACACGCTTGATTGATATGGTGAGATTCGACACCATAACTCTTCCATCAGTGGGTAACGCACCGTAACACAGGGTCTCAAGAAACAAACCTAAGAATTCAACTTTGACCAACGATATGCTCATGATTACGGTCGGTTGTGTCACTCGACCACTGAGCCAATTTCGGACAGGAGACACAAGTCAACGAAATGGGTGGGGTCGAGCGCAAGAAGTGAATAAGATGCCATAGATGTATCGGTGCGAAGCTGTGTCCCTCACGGCGTAGGCGAAGGGATTCGTGATGGTGTCCGTGCTGCGATCGGCATCCAACTGAAATCCTATCCCTATCTTGACCCTATCAGTATGTATATTTATACCCGTAGTAAGGTAGAATGAGGCCAAATGAAATGACTTACTAACTGCTGTCCATCCTAACTACGATACATCTTTATATCACTATGCTAGCTACTATAAAGCGACGAACCTTCGCGTTCGAACATCTCAGTTCCTACTATCAAGCAACTGAGATGTACGTTATTTTTTTCTTTCTACTATACTCGATCTAACATACCCGTAGTATTCTTCATCAGCAAATCACTTTGCCTCTGTGGGCTCTGTACAGCTCTGTACAGAAGGGACCAAACTGTGGCCAGCCATTTTTTGATGGTGGGAAAAAAAAGTGTTTTTGCTGATGTTACTAGGTACTAGAGTTACTGTTACCGAGTTCCTATCTTGAAGCAACTGAGATTATTCTTACTAGCTCCCGCATCACGCGTCTCCGAACGGCTCGCACAACCACAGTACCTGTGCAGACCTGCGAGTGAGCCCTTGCCAAGCCTCCGCAGCTGGCGCTGCGGCGCTGTTTGATTGGATGGGATCAAGTAACCAACTATGGTACGTGACGTAGTGAAAGGATAAAGCAGTCCGCCAAACAATCCGCTGAACCAACGCTGAACCCATATGTGCCAACTTAGTCTGCGACCATCGTCCGTCTCGTGACTCTCGTCTTCCGAAAACAAGATCGGCGAGTTATCTCGTTTTTCGCAGATGGAAAGTATGTCAAAGAATTTTCCCCTCCCCAGATGCTTCATTGAACTCTTCGAAGCAGTATACATTGACAAAAACACATCTCGGGACAATATTGTCCCCAATATTAATCCAGCTCTAGTTTTCTCTACACTCCTCATTAACCCACCACACAAACCGCCTGCTGAGCGAAAGAGGAGCCCACAACGAGCCAGAGCCCACCGATAACATATGCCATATCATGTGGATTGACTAGTATTCCTTCATTGAATGTGTCGAAAAAGCCCTTGTGATCTGTCAGCTCCATGTGTTGCGCCCCCGTGTCCCGCAATATACTTACCCTGCGCCATGATCTATACGCAACTTCAGATACGTGATCGGAACAAGATGGTCCCAACCTACCTCAATGTCGACTCTTCCAGTCGCCAGTGCCAATGACAGGATGAATGTCCCTCGTTTGCGAGCGTTCTATACAACACCGTAATTGTAGTTTCGAAGCCCCCTCAGATCATTCCTGCTGCCAGTGGTCACCTGCTCAAACTGTACATCACAGCTTTACTAGCATTATACGTGGCCCATCCACGTATGCTCCGGCAGCCGCTCCAGAATTTAATTCTACCCTTGAAGCGATTCTCTCAAGGCTTGCAGAGAAGCCCTGATAGCAGAAACGAGCGAGAAAAAGTAACGGCGCTTCTAGTCGTCAAGACTGCTATCGGGATTGTCGATGTGCCTCAGCACGCTTGTATTTCGGTCCTCATCTCAAGTCACACCAGTGTGATACAGATATATTTATTTATCAACTTCGCCGATCTCAATAATCATGGGTCTTTCAGAATCACCTACAAGTGAGAGTTAAGTTTATTCCACTCCAGTCAGTGGGTGATGTCTAACCTGTGTTCTACTGACAGCTGTACAGCATCCCGCGGTACCATCAGTTGTCGGGAAGTTTTCTGCATTTCCCATTCTGTAACAAGCCAGTCAGATGTGTCCACTAGCTTCGCTGCGTGGCGAAACAGAATAATCATTTACCTGACATCTATAGCCAGGCCCACATTCGTCAGCGCCTTCGTAACATTCTTGTCCAGCGCTAACAGACACAGCAAGCGCAACACAAACAGCGATCAATGTCAAAAGACGCATAGTGGATATGAGAGCAGAGTTGTGAAGGTCGAGAGAGATGGGTTGTTCCGACTTGCAGCCCCAGTATTTATATTTTTCCTTGGTGCGTTCCCTGCATTATCCATGACGTTCTCTTCGCTTCACCATGACAGAGCTAGTCAACAGGTTGAATGGTCAACCTCTTTTCGCGTCCGACTGGTGTCATGCTTCACCAAGGCTCCATTCCAGACGCTGACAGAGTCCGGCACTTAACTTGTTGAGGTAAATTCCGCAGCAGAACGGTTTCAGCGTCACTACCCCGAGCATTGGTCAACTCGGAAGTCATTCCTAGCCACGCACGAATGGAAACTCCCTCACTCGACATATTTTGCACATGGATCCCCTCTGAAGGGATCACACTGCCAGTGTGTTCGCATAGGACGCGGAGCGTACACCAACCGACTAGACTTTGAGTTTGGGATTGGTTTGGGCAAGGTTTGGGACGGCAATTCTCAAGCTACGACTTAGGTAAGTTCACGTTAGAAGTTCGCTAGGTTCAAAACCGAACTGTGGCAGCACTATAACCTGAAGAGCCGATAAAGGTTAAGTATAGTGACGTATGGATGGTACTTAGCGGGCTCTGCCACTGCACGAGGTGCTACGGTTATTGAATGATGCGGCGCAACGTATATATTCCCTGACTTGACGGGTTTTTTTGTGGGTGATATATTGTGCCGTATACGCAAACGGCACACATGCTTGTGGTCTGCGGTCCACGGATCAGAGGTGAATCCGGCTAGGGCCCCTATGCTGTGTCACTAGGGAATCGACCGTCCTCAAGGGTTCGAAGGAGATGATTATCTTCGTGTTAGGAAAGGAAGGGCCCGAGTCTGCTATTGAAACACTGGTCATGACTCATGGGTGGCCTCTGCAGACAGAAAAATCAAGGTATGGGCTGCCTTATTTTCCGTCGCCAATGGCTTCAATTGAAGCAGCGTACAGCGATGAAAAAAACATTTAGGACAATCCTCCCCGATCCGGTTCATTTTCTCCTAAAATCTTTACACTCCTCATTATCCCACCGCACAAACTGCCCACTAAGCGAAAGAGGAGCGCGCAACGAGAGCCCAGCGATGACATATCCAACATCATGCGGATTGACCAGAATGCCCTCGTTGAAAGCGTCGACAAAATTCTTATGATCTGTCGCCGTCATGTGCGCCGCTCCAGAGTCACGCAATATAGTCTGCATCTGTACGGTATTTCAGACATATGTTCGGCGTGCTGTGATCACAAACTTACGACAGTGTCGACTCTTCCAGGCGCTATTGCCAATGAAACGATCGAAGGTTCTTCGTTTGCGAGGGTTCTATCCAATTCCATGATATTAGTTCCGAAGCCTCCGAGAGATCTTTCTTGCTGGTCACCTGCTCAAGCTGTTCATCGCAGCTTTACTAGCATTGTACGCGCCCCATCCATGTATGCCCCCGGTAGCCGCTCCAGAACTTACAAACACGATCCTGCCTTTCGATTCTCGCAAGGCGGGCAAAGAAGCCCTAATAGTAGTAATGAGCGAGAAAAAATTGACGTCAAAATGACGCTTCCAGTCGTCTAGGCTAATATCAGGATTGTCGATGCGTCCCATGGAGTCTAGAGTCGCGGCATTGAGAATTAACCCGTCGATCTGCCCGAAGTGGTCTTTCCCGCGAGTTATAGCGCTTTGGAGCGCGGGTTCGTCTGTGCTGTTTGTTATAGGACCGTGGTTTCTAGTATAGACTGGAAAATCCGGTACTCACATGTCGCACTCAATGGTCAGCAATGATTGCTTGTGTTCTTCAATCAGTTGGCTGAGTTCTGGTGTTCGAGTCCGCGATATAGTGACGACATTGGCGTTGAGTTCCTTGAGTAAGGACTGGGTAACGGCAAGGCCAATGCCTCTGAGGTATTGTATGGTCAGCATAAGTTTTCAGAAATAGGGACTAGTCGGACGAACCTGGATGCGCCTGTGATGACGACGACGGGATTTGGCATGATGGAGAGAGGACAAGGAACCTAACTATGCCTTTGAGGACGGAACAGATGCGAACACCAGGGAAATAAAGGAGAGCCGCCTCAGGCTCACATGCACACCTATATTTCGAATGCCTGCCAGTGAGCTGTATATAGTGCAAATGGTCGCATCTCATCCAAAGCTGTTCGGGCGATGCCGATATAACGAGTCTCGACTTATCTTATCATCATCATCCTAAGTACTAGTACATAGTTAAGACTTGTTGACTTCTTATCCGGGTCCAAGAACTCTGAAGCTCATTTCAAGTGTCTTTGTAGTGCCCTAGAACGTCTAGGCTAGCTTCATTGGCCTTCGGATGATCCGCAGGGCAACCCTTATACCCTCGCGACTCCTTCCACACCCTGGAAGTTCATGATCTGAAGTTCGATACGATTTCAAATGGCTTTGCGTCAGCCACGGATCATTACAGAGGTTCAATGCTCGGTAAGATATCAGGACTGTCAAGTCATTTACTTCCTCAGGCTGGCGCTTCATTTCAAATAGATCACAGAGGCCTTTCGAAAAATGCTCGAAGACGCACGAAGTATGATATATACAACATGATAATAAATATCCAAAGACGTGCTTTGAAAATGCAGGGTATGTGCAAATGATAATGGTAGTGCTGTGCGTGCCGAAAGTCCTCTAATCTGATTATGCACGTCTTGATTAGTGATTGATGATTCTTCAGCTGCGCTTTCCCAGTCCACACAGGACCAGCGCTGCTCGCATCATATCGTCGTCTTGAATCGCACCTTTCCTGTTTACTGCCATGGGCGCAATTTTCAAGTTCCGAGACACGTGCCTGCGCTTCTGGACGGGAAACGCAGATCCCCTATTCCAGGCGTAATCTCCAGCTCCTAAGCTCCCTTCCGGTGTAAGAGCTTCCATTTCTTCCTCTTCCGTTTCAGCTTCATCGTCTTCTTTGCGCCTTCCGGATAGTCGTGCCGCAGCACACGCCCATTCAAGGGTACGTCCACTGCCCACGAAGTCTACCAAGTCCCGTGTAGGAGGGCTGGCAGGTGCCAGTGGGGAGGAGGGCATGTTGTCCCAGAGCGACGCGTGCGGATTATGAGGCTTGGTAGGTGTGCGGGGTGGGGGGAGACGTGATTCGGAACGTGCCGCGACACGGTCAAGGGAGGGACGCGGGCGAGGAGGCGTTACCCGTCTCCGCGGAGTATGCAAGCTTGAGAAAGAACCTGATCGGGAGTGGGCAGGACGTGACGAAGAAGCATGTGCATGGTGATGACCATGTGTGAGTGGTGAAGAAGACCCATCTCCATTGGAGACGTTGGTGGCATTGTGGAGGGCCACTTTTCGCTCTGTCTGGCGTTTGTTTTGGAACCATATGGTGACAGACTTAATTTCCCTGTGGAGGACGCGTCAGTATGGAGCAAATCACGTTGGGCTCGGAGTGACGTACATTCCTGCACTATTCGCAAGTGCTTCGCGTTCTTCTCGCGTCGGGTGGGATGTCCGGTGGAAGAGCTGCTCCAACATTATGAGTTGAACGGTGGAAAAGCGTTTGCGCGTACGACGCGCTGCATCTTCCGTGGAAGATATGCTGGCCGTCGAGGACGTCCGGGAGAGAGTAGCCGATTGCATGCTCTATAGTGATGACGGTGGATGAAGGATGTTGGGAAGGAAGGACGGGAGTCGGGTGCACGTGTATTTAAGTACATGCCAACACGCCGCCTCCAGCAAACAAGAAACGCGGTAGCGGAGATCAAATACGCGCCTTCCACGTGACCGCGTTCTGTGTATGATCTATCTCCATTAGGCGATCGCAGAACGACTGCCAGTCAAGTTTCAGCAGATTAACAGTCAACTTGTCAAGTCAATGCCTTTCTACGTTGTCGTCTGACCTTACAATTTGTAAATTCGGTGGTTCCTTTTCTATGACCGACACGTCGCCTTTGTCGACCCGAGATCAACTCCTCCAAAAAAGTAATGTGACAGTGTGTGATAATCATATCATAAGGACCGTGCGTGGGCGAACCGCTGTGTAGAGATACTCAAGTGAAACAGAGAAGCGTATCACAATCTCGGGTACGAGTTAATGAACGCGTGTGTTTCGTAGCCAGTTAGTTTTCAGAGCAAGGACCCAAATCAAATCACTAGGATAGATACAACAAAAGTTCTATGAACCGCCCGCACGCTTCTCCTTGCCCCTGGGACGCTCCCGAATGACCATCTTATTGCTGTTCTTGGGGCCCTTGGGTCCAGGTTTACGCGTACGCTTTCCTTTCGTGGCCCAGCCCCAAACAGAAACGGGATGCTTGTTGGACTTGGATTTACCACGTCCACCACCGTGAGGGTGGTCCTTGCTAAAAATCCAAATGCAAAAGCGCAACTAAGTATATCGCACACAATCAACTGACAGAAAAGCACTGACGCATTCATGGCAACACCTCGGACTCGTGGTCTCCACCCCAGCCACCGATTTCTCCCTGCCTTTCCTATCTTACGCCCCTTCCAATTAAGATTGCTTACGCGTCCGATGGTAGCGCAGCAATCTTGGAGGACTTGACGGATTTCACCGCTCTGGAGGCGCACGTGACTGTACCGTCCAGACTCTTCGTGGTGCACAACTTGAGCAAAGGAGCCAGCAGAGCGCACAAGAAGTGCCTTGCCGGTGGGTGAGAGCGAGACACAGTGGATGACGGTGCCTGTAGGAATGAAGCGAACGGGGAGGACATTGCCAGGCCTAACCGTTCGTGCACGTTGTATGCCCGTAACTTCAGGCATACCCGTCTTATAACTCTGCACCACATCTCCCGGCCTCATCCCCTCAGTAGCAAGGATATATTTCCACTTCGTCTTCCCCTCCGCATTGGGGTCGCGCGCTTTAATGAGAGCAATATGCGCTGAGCGTCCAGGGTCGTATTCAATGCGGATGACATCGTACTCTCCAGGCTCGGTGCGCACGAAGTCGATGAGACGCACGCGGCGCTTGTGGCCACCACCGCGGAAGCGGACGGTGATGCGACCGTGAGCGTTACGACCACCATGTTTGCGGAGGCAAGCCGTTAGCAGGCGAACGGGTTTCCCCTGGTAGATGTGGTCATTGATGGGTCGACGAAGGTGGCGAATACCGGGAGAAACGGGTTTGTAGGTTTTGAAGACGGTGGTGTCGACATCTAGAGACGTAGCTTTAGGCTCGTCTTTGGAGGTCGGTGCAAAATGTGTAGCGTAGGTGCGAGCTATCGAGTTGGTGGTAGTTCGGAGTACATGAGTCGACGCACGAGAACTGGAATGAGTAGCTAATGATGAAAAAGTGCGCAGTGCACGGACACCAAACATGCCGCAGCCTCTCGACGGGACAGTAATTTCAAGTACTGAAACGGAAACTGCAGAATTAAAATTAAAATTAGCAGGTCGAGGAAGAGGTTGTTTGCTCGGAACAAACAGACGCGCTCTTTGCTCGTTCATCGACATCACAAAACAATGGTAGGAGAACTTCTAGATTCAAGCTCGTCTACCATATTGAATATATTGATATGATGACCAGGCCGCTCAAATATCTACAGGAATGTCCGAGCTACGGGAGATCACTAAAATGGAGCGCATAGGTACGCGAAAGATCCATATGTATGACAGTGGTCACTAAATGACTGCTAGGCGCACATTCGCATATCCGAGGTCTAGGGCTCGATGACCGACTCGAACCGCGAGCGAACTCGCAGGGTATGGTCGGACAAGCCAAAGCACGAAAAGCTGCGGGTATGGTCATCAAGATGGTGCAAGAGGGACGGATAGCGGGACGCGCTATATTGTTCGCGGGGCCGCCTTCGACGGGGAAGACAGCTATCGCACTAGGTAGGTTTAGTATTGTACTCGACGTATGACAGGCTAACAGGCTCTCGCAGGCATGGCACAGACCCTGGGCTCGGATGTGCCGTTCACAATGATCGCTGCCAGCGAGGTGTTTTCGCTATCGATGTCCAAGACTGAAGCACTGACACAAGCAATACGACGGAGTATTGGCGTGCGCATCAAAGAGGAAAGCGAAATAATTGAAGGAGAAGTCGTCGAAATTCAGATCGACCGCAGCCTAACTGGTGTATGTGTGCCATATCTCAGTCATTCATTTTGCGGGTGCTGAACTACCTTCCCGCAGGCCACTAAAACCGGTAAACTCACGATAAAAACAACAGATATGGAGACTATTTACGACTTGGGTACCAAGATGATAGATGCGCTTTCTAAAGAAAAGGTTCTTGCAGGTGATGTTGTAGTGATCGACAAAACATCAGGGAGGGTCTCAAAACTTGGGCGCTCATACGCACGTTCAAGAGACTATGACGCCATGGGTGCAGACGTACGTCCACAATTTTTTGTGTTCAAATACAAGGGGTGCTGATCGAAATTGAAGACAAAATTTGTGCAATGTCCCGAGGGCGAAATCCAGAAACGAAAAGAAGTTGTGCATACAGTATCGTTACATGAGATTGATGTGATCAACAGTCGGACACAAGGCTTCCTTGCTCTCTTCGCAGGTGATACAGGAGAGATCAAACCCGAACTTCGTGACCAAATCAACACCAAGGTTGCTGAATGGAGGGAAGAAGGCAAAGCCGAAATCGTACCAGGGGTATGTCACTTCTTGATGATAGCGCATCGTGACTAACGTCGATCGATATAGGTCCTTTTCATCGATGAAGTACACATGCTTGATATTGAGTGCTTTTCATTCTTGAACCGCGCACTCGAGAACGAGCTGTCGCCTTTGGTGATCATGGCTTCAAATCGAGGAATGTCACGTATACGAGGAACAAAGTTCCGAAGCCCACACGGGCTTCCTGTGGACCTGCTCGATCGTGTCCTCATCGTCAGTACCAAACCTTATGCCGAGGAAGACATCCAGCAGATCATTCAAATCCGGTAAATCTTGATCTCCCACCCCATATACACTTTTAGTCTCACTACAACTATGAACACAGCTGCGAGGAAGAAGATGTGACTCTAACCCCAGAAGCACAAAGCGTTCTCACCTCGATGGCAACGTCCACGACTCTGCGGTACGCCCTCAACCTGATTTCCTGCGCACAAGTGATCGCACGGAAGCGGAAGTCCGACTCAGTGGACGTCGAGGACCTCCGTCGAGCATATACATATTTCATGGACGAAAAACGGAGTGTGCAGTGGCTGAAGGAACAACAAGGCAGCTTGGTGTTTGAGGAGACAGGTCAGGAGGATGCTGTCATGGGTGATGCGACGGATTCGTAGGTGCACTGCAGTTGGGTGCTGGGGGGAAGTGTTTATTTGTGTTGTCATGTTCGATCGGCAAAACCTATCTGACGATGCGAGACGTCCCTATGTACTATCGCCCTTTGCAACGTGTGGCACATGTGCAAAGCGAATAAAAACACTTTATTCTTCGTTTGTCATGAAAAAAAAATCAATTTGCTCCAATTTCTTCAAGTTTATGAGATATCTCCTAATAAACTAAAGAGCAGCTCGCCTGTTTTCACGGCCGGTTGGTCGCCAGTCTAGGACGCGACAGCTTGCTTCATAGACCTGTCTAAGTGTAGGTTCGCCCCCTTCCATCCACCTCCATGTTGACCTCTAATGGTATGAAACTAGCAACCAAGTCACTTATTGATACCAACGAATTTGAATTCAATCAACCACGACAAACACCGACTCAACTATACACCATCAAAAACGACTTCGAAAGCGAAAATGCAAATTCAAGCCGAAGGATACAAGTGCTGGTGGAGTCCATGTATGAAAATGTAAGCAGTGAGCTCGAATGTACAATAGATAGGATGTGTGTACGGGCAAGTGGATGACTATGGATGGGTGAGATGTGCAAGTACGTGTCAGGTACACGTGCAAGGGAGGAAAGCGAATGGGACGTGCAAGGAGTGTGGTAGGGCTATAAAGCTGTATATGTTACAGAAAGCTAAAGTTGAAAGTAGCAAAGCGCAACAATTACGCGCCATAGTATCTTGCAAATTCCCATTGTGGCTGGGGTTGCCGAGTGAAGAGCCTGAGCATGGGGCTCATGGATGAATTGATGTAGTACGATGTAAAACATCGATCAGGGTAAGAACTCCTTACTCAAACTGCCCTTTTCCGTTCCACATGCGGTATCGCAACCTTTGGACTCGATATCTCCCATATCTGCCATATCGTAGTCATCGCATGGCTCGTCAATGACAGAAACAACGGTAGTCTCTACATTGACGTTCAAATGGGTCTAAATATTATCTTTAGTGGGTTTCAGAAGGCGAAAAGTACTATATACGCACGGCCTTAGTCGGTGAGAGAGGGCCCAGAATACGCTGCTGCTATCGCGAATCAACAAGACTAGTGAGCATAATAACATGATATATGAAATATTAAATACGAACCGACACTCGTGATTTGTGGATGTTCAGCGAGGCAGGGTACACATCGGCTTCGCGCTGACTCGAGTAGGAACGGTCTTCACGCAAGCGCTTCCGTGTGTTCAGTCTGATAAGTGTCAGTTGGTGAATGGGAGGACATAATGCAGAATCCGACGTACGTGGCAAGGAGGGAGTTAGCATACACTGGTCACATTCATCAGTCATCTTCAGACCAAGGCCATGAATCGCACGTACGTTTTGCGATCGCGAAGTGCATTCCAAGGAAGATCAAATTATGCCGCATAACCATCCACTGTATCATGCATCAGAGGAAATTCTTCTCAAAATAAATTCTTCTTACGCAGATAAGCGATGCAATTGTGACAGCAGCTGAAAAAGGGGACACGATGTCAATGACACCCCAGGACTACAGTCTCAAGTCCTTACCAAGTGAAACTTCCAGTCTCGAGTGTGTACAAGATCAACGAGTTAATGATGTGGTTCATGCTAAAGACACATTAGATCGGATGGACATGGGGCAGAAAAGAGTCCTACGTTGCAAAACCAGTACGACTCCGCCCGAGGAAAATAACCATGACAATGGTTATGATAAATTCCACAGACGCAGAGAGGGTAACGCCAAGGGTGAAAACCCACTACATTGCAGAGTGAGGTCATGAATGGTGTCTCTGGCGTTTCCGTCAACTTACAGATGGGAATGGCTTGATGAACAGGGAGTAGTGACGGAGTCTCATGCTACGGAGACTCGTGTCAGGAATAATCATATCAAGCACATTAAGTAAACTCACATCTCGGTTGTCGAGACTGACAAGAATTCATCATTCAGTAAATAAAAACATGTCGACGGGGATGACACAACATACCACATGCAGCAACTGCGGTTTATGATTATTAGTATAGATGATTAAAGATCAGGAGCGTGATGACTCACGGAGACGCATAAATGCCAAGACCACCTGACCATCAAATATTTTAGAGGTAATAAACTGGTATGGCTGAATCACATACAAGAGGAGCAGCATAATACCACTTCTTTGTCACTGGAAGAGGATTAGCTGGGCACACAAAAACCGATTTCAATTACTGACATTTACGGACTCTGTTCGCGAAGAAACTGCAAAATGAATAAGTCATCGTGATGGCAAATCAAAGTGCAGAAGCGACCAACCAGTGAACGAGGAAAGTGACTGCGGCAGTTATGGCTACAGAAAGCTGTTGAAAACGTCCTTAGCTAGGTCACTCGACAATCACGGTAGCGACGAACACCTAAGGCCCTGAAGTGCAGATGTGCTATAAATCATGATGAAAACAAGAGCGTTTCAGCTAACTCACTTTGGAATGAGGTCCATCAGTTCTGGCTTGTTGAAATTCACGATCACAGATTCCCAGACGGAGATCATGATCAGAATTGTGTGCATCAAGTCCAATCCCCTGCACGGAAATAAGAAACATCACGGATCATGTCGCGCTTATACACGAACCAGACGGCCAAGACCTCGAGTTTCGGGTAAGAAATAATCTTAGAGAACAACATATAACTCACCAGCAGTTTATTCCCAATAGCATCGGAAGGGTAAAATTTGAAATACAGAACGCTTTGCACGAACACAATTCCGGTGAGGCTTTGATGCAACGTGAGACGCGTTCAGGTAACATATAAAGCATTATTTACCCGCATCCAATGCATGTGCCCAGGAGTATCGCGCCATAGACCGTCGCAACGGTGTTTACATCACCACCCGTCATGTTGATTCAGTGTGGAGAGATGAGGAGAGTAAAGACAGGAAGTGGACGCAGAAAAACAACCACAAAACAAAAAGGTTCGGGTGGACCAACGACCTTTATGTAGCTAGGTACGTTATGGGATTCGAATTAATAAATGTCGGAATGCTGGTCGAGATCCAAACATGCGTGTTTGAGCGGGTTTCACTCATCTCGTTACCGCGATCAATAGAATCCTTCGGCCCTTCTAGTCTGAAGAATTTACTATAGTCACAGCCACTAAGCAGGGTCACGCTTCTTCCTCGTTCTCTCGGCTATCGGCACCTGGACTGAATCCCATAAAATCTGAATTTATCATTTATCTTCAAACTTGTCTATGGCGGAGTGCAAATGAGAATTTAAAGCAGGGTGCTGACCTCTTTTTAGTTAGGTGTTAGCAATCTTTTAAGCGCGACTAGACAGGTCGACAGTCTTTGACAGTTCGATCGGGGGGTTAGAGCTGAAAATTGTGCAGCGGAAAGTCACCAAGCGCCCTCCGGAGCCAATGTCCAAATGAATTCCCACCTTCATGATGTCATCATCCTCCATGATATTCTCCAGAAGTAGTTTCAGCACTCCACAAACACCAAGTTTTGCTTCTTCGGCTTGCACTTGATTCCTCCTGACCATATTGTGTAGTGTGGATTGTGCGGAAGAACGACCATGGGGAGGTAAAACTTTTTTTTTGCAAAAGAGAGCATATCTTTGGCGCCGCTCGCGGCAAGACAATGGAAAAAAAAACAATATCGCCCACTGAGTCAAGAGCGTAATAAATTCATGGCATAATTCAACTGTTGCCGTTTGCTTCGGACTCTAGGGCGAACAGGAAATCTGAAATTTTCAAATATAAGAAATACTGGCAGGCCCGGATCAGACAGCACCCTTGTCCGACTCGTCACACTCAGTTTTTTTTGAGCACTTGCAGCTGAGGACCAAAATGAAGCGTAGCGGTCTACACATGACTGGAGCGCCTACGAAGCAATTTCAAATCAAGTTCAGCGCGTGAAGGAAAGTTGAACCTGATAACATGCGCGTTTAAATTCCTCACTGAATTCGAGTGGGATGAGTCTCCGTCACGATCAGGAATGCCCTTGACGTTGGAAGATTCGGGCGGACTCAGATCGTGGGTAATGATGCGCATTGAATCTGATCTGTGTTCGAGCGCATGTTCTGCGCATGTCTACTGATTCGGTCCGATATACTGACGATTGGAGACAATTGGTCTTATCAAGAACCGGCCCTTTGGAATGATTGATTTGAAAAAATCAGGTTCTACATATCAGCGCGCTGATAAAGTTCGCAGAACTGCGGATTTTACGCTCGTAAGTCTGCATACCTCATGGCGCTGGAGCTCGAGTGAACGGCATTGCATGTAAGTCGTGTGTAAGTATTACAACTCTCCATCCTAACGGTGGTCCCGATTAGGAACAGATTCAAACTTCTCTAGCGCGAACCTGCTAGGGCCGACGTTCCTGAGACGTCTGGTGTCAAGACTAGACAATGGAACAGTAGGAGGCAAGCTGTTATACAACCATTTTGTACTCAGAAGGTATATATCAAGAATTGAGTCTCAGAGCTTCCAAGAGACTCAGAGAGGTCTTGAGAGTCGTCCACTTGAACAATCATTTAACACCTCTTGTTACATAACTTGATTTACGGCGCGGCGCCGGTCAATCACCAGCTGCCAGTGGTGCTTAAGTATTACATAATAGCGCTCCGTGCTTGCTTCGCACGCTGCTCTGACACAGCGGCAGTCAATCATGATATGCATGTAATAATATCGGATTGTTGGAGATCGTTGGATGAACATTTAAGTAAGTATGCCAGGTTGACGTCGACTGACAGTCATGTTAATGACAGTGCCCACTGAGTGCCCCTGCGACGCCAGCGGCACCGACTCAAACATCAAGTTTAATGTACAAATATTAATTGATCAGCCTGAAACTCGGCAAAGAACATTATTTATTTAGTTTTAATTCATTCGGCGAGCATCATCCTCACAAACCATCGGGCCCTTTTGCTATCATCCATCCTCTTTCCCATCTCTTCTCGCAGTTAACGACTTCTTCATGTATTCGAGGATTCTATATGTTCATGTATTGTTTCTACTCTATGGAATATATGCGCGCGGTCTGATAGAACAGGTTCTTTCCCAGAGCTGCTCCCCGTTCGGTGATCAGTGCGGCGGAGATCATCACAAGAGCGTACGCTGACAGAAAAAAAAAAGAACAAGTGCATCAGTATGCGATTTCAAATGACAGAGGAATCTACACTCTCATCCAATCATTCATAATGCTTATCCCGCATCGCTCCCATTTCGCTTTGCTTTCGTTTCTTCTTGTGGCGCCCATGTTGAGTCGCAAGTTCTTATTGGTTCGTAAGTAATTATCTCACCTGGTACGCCTGAGCTCTGCCTAAGGCTGATGCGTTTTGTTCTAGTAACTCGTTGTCCGTACTTAACACACAGCACTATGTTTCGTTTGAAGACTATCCAGTTCAGCACTGTAGTACTAATTGAACTAGATGCAGTGTCAGTCCTTCAGCTGGTGCTTGGGTACTTAGGTAATTCAACCTTCTTCGCGTGCATACACGTGCAACCCCCGCGCTCTGGGCTTCTATACATTTGCAAGTCGGAACATATTATAGGCCGATGTGCCGCGGTCAGAATGATTCCGTAGAAGCCATTGCACCACGAAAACTTGTTACTCTGGAGGTCAGGTGCTCTCTTCGCATGACGAAATAGTCTCTTTGAGGTCAGGTGATGGCCATCTGCGCATCAGATAATATAACTATGAACGTCCCATTTCGAAATTCCACGCACTTACTCTCATAAGCATTGTCTGCTCCGCGTCCTCATTCTCGAAGTACGTTTACCCACTTTGACTTATGATTGGTTTGAAATGATTGAGGTTCCTTGACCAGATCAGTATGCCTGGAACTACTCTTCCCCCTTTCCCAGATGATGTTCGAATACATCCGCTCTTGATTATTGATTATGACCTTATCAAGGCTGGAGACATGGAGGAAGTCGATCGATTGTGGGAGGCTGCGACGACTCTTGGATTCTGGTAGTACGTCATATTGGATCTTTGCGGATTATGAATTGCACCTACTGGATTCTCTGATAGTTTAAAGAACCATGGCGCAGATCAAGAAGTCGATGACATGTTTGATATGGGAGCCGAAACATTGGCCTTGCCCCTCGGAGAACGTATGAAATTCGAGCAAGGAGATAACGGACAATCTTTCGGGTCCGTAATAATCGCTCACAAGCGTATTTCGCCTTATTGGGGTTCTTCATCAGATACAAGAAAGCAGGGGCTCAGGCGATTGATGGAACGGGCACGTACTTCCAGACCGGGTTATCGACGAAATAGACTTACACAGATCTAGGCAAATACGTGGACAATATCGAATTCATAAACGTCTCGAAAGATGATGCACTCGCCTATCCACGGGTCGTTCACCTGACCTATCCATCGACCGTAAATGCTCGCATGGAAAACACGATTGCACCATTTGTCCGCAAGTCTCTTGATGTGACATATGTTATGTTGAATATATTCAATGATAAGCTTGGACTGCCGGAAGGGACTTTGGAGAGCCTACATGCCATGGAGGAACAAAGTGCTTGCGAGGCCAGATGCACTCGCAGCCCTCCTACGCATGCTAAGGAAGCGATGGACAGGGCTATGCTAGCTGCCCATACTGATTTCGGAAGTCTGGTGGGTCACTCGAGACATGCGGCTGGTATTTTAGTGACGGAAATATTTATATTACTAGACCTTTTTGCACAATCGGCTTGGTGGTCTCCAAGTAATGCCCCCTGGTCACGACGAGTGGTCCTACCTTCGAGTATGCATGAGTCTCTTACCCGCGTGTGGTAGACACTCACCGACGCACAGCCCATCCCTGGACATGCAATTTGCAATATTGCGGATGCACTGTCTCTTTTCAGCGGAGGCATCCTGCAATCCAACATCCACCGCGTCGTGTACGTGCATGAGGACTTAGAAGTGCAAACCTACTAATTTCCGAATAATGGCGGACAGTCCACCTCCCGGTGCACAGGCTGAATACGAGCGGTGGTCCCTAGTTTTCTTTACCCGTCCGACGAGCTCGAAAGTCCTTCGGGCTCTTGTTGAATGCAGTCCTATTATCGCAGAGGCTGTGAAGAAGCAACCTGACAAAAACTTTGAGAGTGGTTCCACTGCTGCCGAGTGGCTCGCGAGAAGAGTTAGGAATCAGAGAATTAATAACAGAAGGGTAAGAATTTCCTCCAGTGTGCTGTGGTGGACATGCTTATTGAAATGTTACAGGGACCAGAGACGTGGGCTGCGAGTCGTGGCACCGAGCACACTCCAACTGCAGCCTAAGGTGCGAATTGTCTGTACCGGCGCGAAGGTTCCTTCTATGACGTCGATTCCATGCGGATAGTTTCTATGGTCTGTTTTATTACTTTTGGCTCGCTTTGTTGTTATCGTCTTCGGTGAATCACGGAGGAATTCAGATGATGTTGAAGATATAACTTCAAGCTTGACCTCATTCAACTGTTTCTTCGCAATCGCACCTTAAAAAATGACGGACTAGTGGTTCTCATGTCAGTCGTTCTATATCCCCCCTGATCATAGGTACATCCCAATAGTGAAAAAAAGTAATGATGGGTCCTGGAGAAGAATGACCTGCATCACTCACGAAGTCCGACTGCCACACAGGACTCTGGCATCTGTGACAGGTGGTATATAGTGGACTGATCAACGGCCCAGTCCGTCAGGAGGAGGAAGTCTCCCCACGCTTCAGAAAATAAAATGTTTGATGTTAGCATCCGAGATCTTGTGTAGAGCGGAGTCATGAAAACAAGATAAGTGCAAAACGAGCGATGACCTACTTCGTGAAATCGAGCTCTTAAGTGGCAATGATTGACACCTTCGGGACTGAAGGCTGAGCTGAACGGGGTGTGACACGTAAACAACATGACGACAACAAGACAGCTGTTGGTCTCACATTTGATTTTGATAAAACAGATCCCGAAACATTCCAGTCGGCGGGCAGCTCCATGTCTCCTGAAGGCGGTGTAGTGATAAGTGTGAAGCGCGGTCATCGCACTCGTCACAACTCCGCCTTGAGACATGCTCGGTCTCAGCATGTCCCAAAAGAGACTCGCGATAGTCTTGGAATTAGAGGGAATTGAACTGGTACGTGAGCGATGGCAAATTTGTGAAGATTGGTATAGCTTCGTCAGTCATCGCAAGAATGAATCTACTTACACATGGATGTCGAGATCCACACAGGTGCAGGTGTGTAGTGTGATATGCGTTGGACCCAGGTGACAAGCGTGACAAGCAACTACATGCTTTATTGAGGGTCCTAATGCACGTATCAGGATTACCTGGATCAAGGTTGGTGCCAGGGGATCACCCCAGATCACCTGCCATTTCAAGTCGATTAACATGGATACGGATCACTGGGAGGTCGTGTACATCAAGCCTGATGTCAATCGATGACAGATGATCTAGGGAATTTCAAGGAACTACGTAACGGATCAAGAGTTCGTGATAATATGGCGCACCTAAGTATCGTAGCGTGTAAATATCGATCAACTCGTTCGCGAGATGCAGCCGCTACCTCCGAGTCTGCAAAGTCAAACTTCGAGTTTCAACACCACAGCCACGGTGCTGCCTATTCCGCAACCCGTTAGTCTTCATATCACGAATCTATTATGCGCACCCGTCGGTAGCGGGGACGTACACAAGAAGCTAGGCAAAACGGCACAAAGCCAAATACAGATCATTGGAAAATTCAGGTCGAAGTGTTAATCTCATTAATAGCAGTCACAGGACCTCATCATGGCAAGAAATCATTGGTTTGTTGATGCGGCTGAGTGTGACCCAAATGAGTGTGACGTGACACAACAACACCCCTTTGTTTGTTTACTACTACTAACTGACGTTTAAGTATCATTAGGACATCCTACATGGATCCATCTGAAATATCACCCGAGTACGAACTCACAGTCCGCAACCATATTCGCCAGACCTTCCTTCCTTACGTTAGGAAGCACATTACTAGAGACCATGTCGCATATACTGAGTTTAAGATCGAGCAGGTCCGTTCAATTCTTTCAGATCGATTATCCATGGTGCATCCTAATATACGGTGAAGATATTTACAGAATCCCTAGATTTTGTCCCACTTGCGGACCCTCATGCGCTCGTGCTACCCCCAGATCCACTCGATGCCCTCGCTAAGTATCTGGAGGATCTTGACCTCTCCGTTGACGAGCGCTATACGACAGATGGAGAAACCGTAAGAAAGCTTAAATTGACGCTTAAGACTATTGTGGGCGAAGGCAGGGAACTCCGCAGCGAGACATGCTGGCAGGAGGACGATTATATGTGTCCGTCATGGTCCTTTTTGTCGCTCTCACCACCTTGACATAATTTGTTGTAGATACACACCTCGCAGATATATACAGACCTATGACGCCCATCCTTACCAACCGTGCGCGAAAGCAGACCCCAAAACCAGGTTCCAACGTTCTCCGCGCATCTCTCCCTCGTTCACAGCCTGCGCTATTCGAGCACATTGGCGTTAAATCTATCATAGTAGAAAAAATCGAGGAACCAGATGTACCTAATCTCGAGGAGGTTTTGTGCGCGAGTTTTTGCTCTTGCTTAGATTGCCACTGATAAAGGTGGAGCAGAAACCTTCGTCCCACGATCGACACCACTACTCGCAGCTACATGCTTTCGCTATTTAAATCAGCGAATCCACCTGCACAATCAACCGAGACCAACGTGCATGTCAATGCTTTCCTGCGCGCCAATTCTCCACCGCTTCAGATTCGACGTCCGTTTTCTCCCCCTCTCTTCCCCCGGTCTAGAGCGAGCTCGGGCTCGTTAGGGACAGGTATCGCGAATGCAAAGGACATCGTGGATAGGCTGAATACTGACCCCGTACCCGTGCTAGAAGAGCTAGAAGACGATATTGACGAAGTCAATATGACGATTGTTGATGGATGGGGTACGTGTGTCATTTCCCTTTCTCCATTCTTGGCATGTGAGAGAGAACTGACTCCTGGATGCATAGCTATCCTTCCCATCTCTTCTCCGCCTTCCGCTTCGCCTCTCTCCTCACAAGACACAGAAATAGATGAGCTATGGGAGGCCTCACCCACTCCATCTGGCACGCCTGCTACAAGCCTTTTCAACGCTAGAATGGGTGCGCATACATCCACCTATCCAGACCATTTACCTCCGGCTTCGCTCTATATCATTTTTTTGGCTCTTTTTGACTTCGTTGTGGGCTGGCAGACGAAGTGGAGATTCCGCGTATTCACAAACCAGGAAACGCGCTTCCGTACACCTCCAAACTAAAGGATCCTAAAAGGTGCGTACCGCAGTCCATATACGCGCGCGCACTCACCCGCTCTCTTCAGGCTCAAGTCGCTCCTCGAGCACCTGAAGCCTGTGGCTTCCGCAAAGCCAAAGCAAGACAGCTCTACAACGCCAACGAAAAAGAATCCCAAAATTGCGCTTTTACTCTCTTCCCTAAATGCAGAGGATGGGAGGAGTCTTGATGCAGAAGACTCTATGCTCGGGCAGCCGCCTTCTGTTTGTGCTGTTTCACCCCTGACCTCGTGTGCGACAAGAGACAGAGGAAAAGAGTCGGACCAAGATTTGGACTTGGATGACATCGAAATCGACGGGGAACGGGATCTCGACATGTCTCTCAGGCACATGTACCGAGAGGTGCAGGAGGAGAACATCGAGAGGTGCGTTCTGGAGGAGAGGCTGGATGAGAAGGATGTTGCACTGATGGATGGTGCGCGCGTCTCCCCCATTTTGTTGACTGTGACAATCTTTGCATTTCACTCTTAAATTTTCGTCTTATTTCCTCGACGTTTTCCCTCGAGTTTTCCCTCAGTTCTTACGCCACTTCACCCGGCAGTGCCACACCTTCCCCCGCCCACTGTGCACCCGGGGCCATCTATCCGGCCTACAAGTATGAGAGCCCTCATACGTGGAGGCAAGGTGAACACGGTCACGAATGCAAACGTTCCCCGGCACACTACACTGGAATCCGTAAAGGGCATTAAGCCGCTCAACCTCGAGTTATCCTGGAGGTATGTGGTATACCTTAATCTACTCTCCAGGCCAGTTACAATGCGCTCGGAGCACATTCTGGTTGTTGTCTTGAACCTCTGATATGTACCGACGCACTTAGGCCCTTCAAGTTCACGCCTCCGGTCCCAACCGATGAAAGCGTGTCTGTTGTCGACGGACTTGCTCTGGATGACCTCGAGAAGCTGGGCTATACTGACAAAGCAAGCGTGGCAAAGATTCGCGGACTGCTCGAAGACCTTGAGGCTGCTTCTAGTCATTCGGCCAACGTAGCGGGATGCAAGAACTTAGACGACAGAGACGGCGCTGGAAACTTCGGTCTCTCACCTCCACGCCCGCCCAAGTCCTTTCTACAAGAAGAGGGCTTCGAATTGGTGTTGACGAAGCGAGAACGAAGACTTCTCGCCGGACTTCCTGAATTCGAGGATCCGCAGGAAAATCGTACTGGATATGGCGAGGATCGTCAGGAACGACAAGATGAACTCAAAGACGGAGATGAAGCGTCCCTTGTAACAAAGGACAATCAACCCACCGATCACCCTGTCCTAGTCTTTCGTGATTATGACGTTCTAGATGATGATCCCGGTGTCAACCACTCCGATGTTGTGGATAATGGCGTTTCTGGTGGTGCTACGTTCGACGATCCAGGCGTTGTGTTCAATGATTCTGGTGTTACGACCCCCATCCTCCACAACAACGAAGCGGATTATCAAGATCAAGGTGTCCTGAGATACTTGGGAGCTGCCTACTCACCTGAAGACGTTGATTACTCCGACGAGGACAACGGGGACGACTTCCACTATGTCCAACTTCAGGGCCAGCAGCAAGAGAGGGATCAGCGCCACGATCAAGGACCATCCCTCCTTTTATCGACCCGGCACCAGCACAGCCCAAGCTCATATTCGGTCAGGCACCGTCGTCCCCGAGAACATGACCAAGACCCTGCGGTCACTTTCCACCCTCAAAACAACACAGAAATCGGGTTTTTTCCACTCTCATTCGGCTCCCAAATGGAACGGGCGTCAAGGTATCCAACTGGGTCAAGTGCATTGTTGGATGGCGATGAGGAACGAAGTGGTATGTTACCGGATAACGAACGCCCAAACAACATCCAAGACATCTCGGACAAGGACAACCTGGCGAACGTATCATCATTCTTACAGTATTTTGTACTATCGGATCTTAGCGCAACTGCCCCTGCATCCAAACGCAGACGCCTGGACGACCCCAGCGCTACCACCATCGCCACACGAGATTTAGATGACCACCTGGCACTGCGCAATAAGCCCGTGACGTACGACCCCCCACCGCCAACAACCCCCGCGACTATGTTTCCTCAACCTCAGGCTTTGCAGCTTAGCAGCACCTCGCCACCCCGAGCTGCGCCTCCAGAGATCCTCGACACCCACACCATCCGTCTCCCCGATATCTGGAACCCGCCGACCACAGGCCACTGCTATCTCGCAAGCATGGCTCTCATCCAGAAACGCGCACTTGTCCGGGTCTTGCAAGACCCGGAGTACTGGGTGCACCTCGTGGAGAGATATGTGTTGGGTGGAGTGGATATTGTGATGGATCCAGACACAGCCGTACTGGTTGCGCCGCTGCTGGCGCTTCCTTCCCAGGTCGAAGGACTTGCCGATCGCATCTCGGAGGCGTCCTGGCGGTATACACATATACTTGTCATTCTGGAGGCATTTCCGAGCGCAAATGCATTTACAGCAGAAAACAATACTAACAGCTCCAAACTAACGCCCTATGCATTCTCGCCACCCATGCTCAAAGCTGTTAAGAAGCTCCGCCGGCTCTTGAGCATTGCTGAGGGCTGTGGGACGAAGAATGCAGGGTGCGAGGTTCAATGGGCGTTCGCCAACGATGTGGACGAGGCAGCCCTATTTGTGAGAATGTTTGGGAACATGGCTCAGGAACGGGCTTTCCACGGAAGCGAGAATGCACTTTGGGAAGATCGAGGGTGGCTACAGGTCGACGAGCATGAGGTGTGTCCACTCGCAGTGCTCCTCATTTGATCCGTCAGGGTGTACATTGTGATGTCCATTTCCTTTCAGGACGAAGCGGATCTTGGAAGTGTGGAAGGCATGAACCCTTTCGCAGCCTTCGTCATGCTGTATCAGAGCTCGTTGCAAGAGATTCTCGACATGTCTCCCGACAAGCGTGTGGCAGAATTTTCTTCTCTGGTGGGAAGCCAGCGGATAGTAAGATGTTTTGCATGTTCCGGTGTTCGCAAATTCATTCATTATGTGGACTTTTGAAGGCTTCTCTAAACGCCATTATCGAGCAGCGCACACAGGAGATGGATGTAGATGCGGCTACTGAATCCGGTATGGATTGTGGCGGGATGGGTGGCGGAATGAATGATTCTGCTCGATACTGACTCGCGGTAAATCCACTTACTCACCCCTGTGGCCGAGTTTCAAATCTCGACCTTCCTGTGTTCAAAGTTTGATAAGTGAAATGAATCAGAAACGTCAAGTCCGACATGAGCTGCGATCCGGTGCAATCGGCACCCCACAGAAGTTGGCAAGTCATACATTTTGGCGGGAAAATGTGATACTTCCGTCAGCAGGGTTGGGTTTTGTGTGCCGGGAAAGCGTGACTGCCGACTTGCTGAGATGCCGACTGCACCAGATGGGATAGTGATGTATGCGCTGGGTTTGCCTCATGAATCAGTGACGCGCGGAGATTACAGGTGAGTGGGATCAAGGCTAAGGGCAGGGAGATTGGGATGGCTTTAGAAGGGCATCTAGAGCCTGCCATTCATTCATACAATGCACGCAAGTTATACAGGTGGCAGGATAGCTACTTACCTCGTCATCGCCACACCTGCCGTATAAATTACTCGATGAAATGAAACCTTTCATGGCCTCGATGCAGCGCAGCAGTACAGTTGCTTAGCAAGCTGAACATGTTTGGTAGCGCTGGCTATCTGTATAGGGAAGAGTGCCAATTAGTAGACCGAGGCCCCGCCGACCCCGGTGCAGAAGTGCTGGTCCTGCGGAAATTGTCAAGGAGTGAGAAGTAACGGAGACCATAAATGCCCGCTTCGACAATACGGTCGGAAAAGACCATGATGCCGGCTCGGATTGAAGCGCCCACGACTAGAGTAAGCGCTTATTTCTCTGCAGATAGGGTGTGGAGGAGATACTAGATCTGTAATAATTGCTAGTTCCGGGCTGTGTTCTTCATGAAAGTCATATCTGAGCCGTCCATTCGAAGTTGTAGATGTCGATGACCGGGAAAGCGGGTTGTCTTCCATTTCGCATCTTTCCTGCGGCTTTCGGCACTGTGGTGAAGATATAAAGCCATGGAATGAGAGGCTTTCGTCCTCAAAACCATCACCTTCAATACAATACAGCATGGACAACCAGAGACCGCCACAAGGTCCTCACCGTGGACTGCCAAACAAGGCCGACTTACAGCGAGACTATCGCCAGCGGGAGAGACTCGCCTTTCGCAATCTGTTGGGGGCCCTGAACGAAGTCGAGCGCACCAACGTTCGCTCCCGAAGCGAAATTTTGAGAAGAGGTAAATATTCCGAAGTCCACTCATTGAGGTAAAAACTAACGATAAAAAAAGCGGCCGAATGTCTTCGACGCCTAGAACAAGAACAAGCCGAACTACAACAGCAGCTCGGCATAGTCCCTGGCAACAATGAGATCCCTCAGCCAGAAGGTAAAACTCTTTGCAGTCGCGTGTACTCTGGACTGAGTAGGTGCATACAGCAGATATAATGTTGTCCGATGAAGATGTCGAGTGGCTTCAAAATTATTTCGCTCAGTTCGAACATCCTGGTAAGCAACCGGGCGACGCCGGAGGACCACATGGAGGTGGAGCCTGAGTGGGAGGGTGTATAAACACCCCTAGAAGAGGAGTGGAAGCAGTGTCAATACCCACGTAGCGATATCAGAAGTGGATAACGAGGGCATTTAGAAATATCACCTGTACTTCACAAAGTTCTAAATGCACAGCGGTCGATCAATTGTGGACAAGAAACCACATATGAAACCTACGGTCAAACCAGAAATACTTATCGTGCCTAGAGGGAAGGGTCTTTGGGGCGCTACGAACGTAACCAAAAGCTCTTCATTAAGCTGTAGCCCTGGCGATTACGCACAAGACTAGCGAGCCCTGAATGTCGCGTTGTCAGCGGTAGCGATGCCTCCTTCATCAACTTATGGATTTGTTGGATAAACTGGGCACTTGTCGATGAAAAGGCTACATTTGTTTCGTCTCCATGGCATTCCACGAATATAGCCAAGATTGCACTCGAAAAAGTTCAAAACCATGAGCCCTGGGTTAGCGAGAATGGTGACGAGGGGGACTCACATATCATTGCTCCCCTCATCACAAGCAACAAAATCTGCCATCATCATCTGAGGAGCCTCAAGGGGGTAGCGTGATGGAGGACATAGTTATCGGCTTCTCAATCGTTGAGCGCTTCACGATGGTGTCGCTAACCATATCGTAGAAGGACCTCATGTCAAGGTCACAGGTACCATCAAAGTGTAACACTTGATGGGAAATACAGTTCGGTGTGCTATGCCAAAGCCAAGATACACCCCACGGGTGCGTTTTAAATGTAAACTTATCATTGCTAAAAATGGGATGCGAACCGAGTGGAGCATGACAGGCGCCCATTGTCAAAGGCGGCTTTACATTCGGTGTGGCGCAAGAAGGTCGCGAAGACGCGAGTGGCTCGCAACATCCTTTGGTGTACACATTCAGCGTAATTTTGTAGCTGAAGTTGAGCGGTTTATTTCAGAGATGGTAATAAGTCATACTTCTTGCTGCACTTGTCCCATCCAGCGCTCGGCGCTCGGGCCTGTCAGGATTCAGGGAATTGATGTCAAGTTGAGATGCTAATTTCAGTCTCCTGCGGTGCCGATCCCGGATGTAGGTAACGGCCATGCAGTGCGCACGTTTCCGGGCGATTACAGATGTCAATGGCTATGCACAATCAGATAAGACGATGTCGGGGACGAGCATCATGGGCCACATTAAGTCTGCAGAGTCGGTCCTCAGGCTGTCCTCTACCAGGCTGTCTGCCTCGCAAGCACTCTGTGGAACCCAGGCGACATCCACACAGATTATTTCATTGAGTGGCCTCGACGAAGGAATTTGTCGCATGTGCCAGATACAGCACCCAAATGAATTGATCCGTCAGTGGCGGATTAACATCAGCCATATGGAGACGACCAGGGCTCTAAGAATTGCGATACATGCTTGGTGCACGCCGAGGATCAAGTCATATCGGCCGAAACTCTCGTTAGCAGAACGAAGTTGACAGAAAAGTTGTTGTACTACTCACCCTGAATGACTGAAGTGGTTGGCCGATCAACGCGTAGGCATAAAGCGAGGAAAGTATAAAACATAGCACTTCTCGAATGACAATCCCAGTCAATGATCACCCGCATCGAGACCTCGTCTTCCGCATCAGGTCAACTCCCCTACTCTTGCATATGAACGACACTCAGATCCCGCAGAGTCCGCAGTCTGTGAGACGGAACAAATCTGCTGCTCAGCGGCGTTACAGGAAGAAGGAAGAGGAAGCATTCTTGCTGCTGCGAGAGGCCCTCAAGGAGGTGGTCAAGGATGATCCACGAACAAGACAGGACATCTTGACGACAGGTCTGTCCGCTCTTTGTGATTTTTTTTTCTTAATTTGATGGCAAACCAAAGCTTCCTGCGAACTTAGACGCCTGGCAGATGAAAAAGATCTGTTGCTAGAACAGAAGGCACGGATCGAAGCTTGGAGCACTTCTAAAGAGATTTATAAAGATGAACATTCTCAATCGCCCTCAGGTAAGGGAAAACTTGCCAATGATCCACTAAAGTGACTACTTGAGCTTCGTCTAGGCAGAGTGATTTACGAGGACCCTATGCAATGGTGGTCACATGATAGAACCAAGATGGCAGACATCACTCGGTCAGACATGGCGCGCTACCGCGTGCTGGATGCTGCAATGCCGTCTGGAAACGTAACTATGCCCACAGTACAGGGCCCCCAATGGTTTGTCCAGATGCACGATGCAACCGTAGCGCATGACAGTAGCCGGTTGGATCATCCGTGGGCACAGTACCAAAGCGGGGATGTCGCTCGACGGCCGCACTGTGGTTATTCCGCCGGGTGTGACTGTCAGTTTGGAGAATGAGTATTGTAGAAAGTTGCGCGGTATAATATTAATACAAAGTCGTACGATTCCAGAATAATAGTTAGCCATAATTAATCAACCCTGATTCCAAGAAGGAGAGCCTTGTCGAGAACTTTTCTACTTGAAGTAGTCAGATGCCAAAACCACTGAAATGGACGCTTACGACTTCAGTAGCGCACTTATGCGATTGGTGGAGATGCTGAACACATAACCAAAAATGTGTGCTTACGAATGCAAACCTGAACTAAGCCAAAAGCGAACTGCTCAAAAGCAGTTTGAGAGAGGAACTTCGACCAAGTCGGCTTTTTAGATGTATGTGAAGGAAGACAGATAAACAGACACTGCCAAACGCCACCCGCGCGCGGATCTCGGGAAAATTTACCGCTTGGCGCGCCATATCCGGCGGGGTGCTGTGGCGTCACAAGCGCGCGCGGCGTCTAGCGCTTACTGATTTTTCCCGCACTTGATCCAGCAAAGCAGCGGTGACTCAAGCTGTTGCTTAATATCACACGAACGAGCTGCATCATAAAGGCTTAACAGAGTACTGTGGCCTTTTGAACGGATAACTCGACGGTGGGTGAAATGTTTAGGGTGTTCCTCGAGGTAATGACTTCGTTCATATCGTGACCGCCTTCTAATGACGATGCTGCAGAGTCACTACTCAGCATGCCATTGCACTCCGCAGTGGGAATCGCCTCTTGGTGTGTCGATGCTGAACCAAAAATATGAATATGAGAAAGCCCCTCTCCCGCAGACGAAATATACCACGTCAAATCAGTACAATCTTCCGATTGCGACCGCATATGAGGACGCCAACTTCTACTGTGACCCTATAGTATCGGTAAGTACGTCAATTAATCATGCTGCTACAGTTGAAAAAACAACCTAGTACCTCAGAGTCCTTCTCGCTCTGCGACTCTCGCTTGTCTTCTGCATCTGAGTTGCCAAACTCACTTGCTATGCATTGTCATCGCTGGTATTCAGAATATATATGTGCGCCATGACACACCATACAAACAAGACTGGTAGATCCAGTCCGTGCCGGGGGCCCCATTTTCCTTAGCATTGATCCGACGATACGCTGTCAGGGTTATAACTCACATACTGGATCTGATGGGTATGACTGAGCACAAAGTTCAGTAACTATCTCTGCGGGCAAAGAGGGAAAAGAAGAACAGACGTGAACCACCTTAGGACCCGACATTCAGGCATATAATTAAGCCTGGGCGTCTGAAGCTCCAACATTCAGGGCACGCGAATATAAAGGTAATATTGGGGTGTCGATGTGGGAAGTAACACCTCGCTTGTGTCTCTGCTCACAGTAAGTCCAGTTAGTGCAAAAGCCCCGTGGTTTTCTCATTGTCCAACTGACGTTCTCCGGTCTGCTAGGATGCCGCTCTGGCAGCTCCCAGTCGCGCAAAGTGAAACCATCACTTGCAAAGATAACTTGGGCAAACCCAAAAAACACGATCCAGAGCAGAGATACGTCAGCCCTACCACTGGGGTCTGTCGAAAACTCGTCCTACAAACAGTCAATCCCTCCGCGTCGTCCGAAGTCGCCATCAGCAACCACACCAGCCAGGCGAGCAAACTCGCCATATGGCTGGTAGCTACCCCCGTATCATTTTCAAATGGATCCGCCTGTCGGTGTGGTTTATGTCGAGGCTCCTCTGCTCCTTCCTCTGGTCCCTCATCCAGTTCGTCATCTGGCTGCTCGTGCAGCTTTTCGCTTCTGAAATTACTCCCAAAGAGTCCCAATACACTGTATAGTCTGGCTGCTCCACCATAAGTTTCAGCCAGTATCGAGAGTTATGAAATCCGCAGTGGCAAGTGACTACTCACTCAAATCCAGAATCAATTATGTAATGTTGCCTGCGGCCAAATACACGTCATCAAAGGATTGTTTGCTCTTGCTCCTATTCACCTCGCTGCGAACGGAATTCATCATGTCCGTCTCCCCCAACTTTTATCTCAATTGCTTGTTGTTCGGCCGAGGCCGTGATGGTATTGTACAGGTCCACATTAAAAGAACGAGCACTGTCATTCTTCTCAAACAAATAATCCAGACGATGTATCCTGCAATCCGCGATGCAGACCCCGCCGACCTACAACTCTGGAAAGTTTCCCTGCCTTTTAACGACACATTTGAGCACAATATTAGACATCTCGCACTTGACTCCGTACCACCTCTAACAGTTTGGGATAAATTGTGCAAGATTTTCATTGATCTTCGCGAGGAAGATCACCTACATATTGTTATCAAACAGCGAGATGCCGGTGAGTTGTCTATCAGTATTGAAACTCTTCCTCCATGCTAACTATCAATTAGTTGCGGTGGCACCAGACGTTCCGATTGTTAGTCAACGACAGGCGTACCTCGAGAAGCCCTCAGAATCTCCGTCGTCTGCAGCAATGCCATCCGCGATCTCTAAAGCTCAAGATCAGGATAAGCCTGAGTTTCTATGCTCTCGTCCCCGCAAAGCAGAGGATCCGGTCCCAGTTACTCTTCTTCACCCTATCTTTGCCGAGTTCGTGGATGATTGTCGAGACTTAAAACCGACTCATCACGATTATCGCTTTGTTCGGGAACTTTCGGAGAAGATGTGCATTTTCCCTCCGGACGAGAATGCCCGTATGGATGTATTCAGGACACAGCTCGCTTATTTCTATCCGCATGTAACCCTCTATGCTGCTGCGGTTGGCGCAAAATCATATAGGACAGATTGTCATTTGATAATTGGTGGCAAGTTTGTGGCAGTGATAGTGGAAGGGAAGAAAGAGATCGGAGGCAGTGGTGCTGAACCATTTGTGGAAGCCATGTGGTATCAGCGCCAGTTCATGAAAATCCTGAACAATACAGAATTTGACATCGCGGAGCGTCGATCTGTCTTCCCGTGTTTTCACATCATTGTATTTGGTAAGTTGATGTGTTATTCCTACAGTATGTTATTGACCAGAACTAGGCACTTGCATCAGTATTGTGGGCTCTGTTCTTACTCGAAAGGTTCAGTGCAATATCCTGGGGCCAATCATTCCATTATTTTGGCATTCAATGGACGACTCTATGCAATCCACGGCAGCTCGTATGTTCGCCGCTTTAAATCTTGCCATCACCAAACTCGCAAAACTGTACTCTGCCCAGATTCCACTTCTTACACCCCAAGATTCGCCTCTTGATTGTCCATATCCACAGGACTACGACAATGGCACTCAATACTTCTCATATTATCACAGTCAGCCCCTCCGACATCACCGTATCTTCTTCGAGGAAACTTCCATTGGTGAGAAGATTTGTATCAAATACGTCAAACGGTACTTGCCTGAGGCTCACCAGTTCTGTGCCAAGGAGGGACATGCCCCAAGACTCATTGCATATGAGTCGTTACCCGGTGGATGGAATATGGTGGTGATGAATGTCCTTCCGATTCATAATGATCTGTCCTCGCGATCAACCAGTGCATACCAACAGTTCAGTCAGATACCTGCTGCTGAATGCGGACCGCTGGAAAAAGCAGTCACTGATTTCATCCATCAGTTTCACAAGAAGGACTTCATTCACGGCGACCTCCGTGGCACCAACCTCTTCCTATTAGGTGACAACTTCATGCTCCTTGACTTTGACTGGTCAGGTAGGATTGGCAACACCCATTATCCTATGCACGTCAATTGCAAGGGCATCCATCGTCCTTTTGATGCGCGTGACGGGAATGAGATTAAGGTGGTGCATGACTTGGAGATGCTGCGCCATGTGTTTCATCCTGAGGAGGTTGCTATGGGGGCTCCCTGCGGCTGGTGAGAACAAGTGCTGGAGGGGTTGGGGTGAACGCGTGTGGACACTGCCTGAAGCCCTCCTGAGCTTCCGTCTTTACTACAAGTTCAGGGATCGGGACGAAGTTACGCCGTTGTCGTTGTTCGAGCTGGCTAACCTGGCTTATAAGAACTACGACACAGAACAGGCGATCATCAATGCGTACAGCGGGAAGGATCCACTTGAGAGGTTGGAATGCTTGACACTGTTGAAATCAGGTATATGGCAGCCCATGCGGCAGCTCCATCTGTCACCAGCAGGTGTATGCGCTCATGGGCTTTTTGAACACCGCATCAAACCGAACTATGCAGAGGACGAGTTGCGCGCTCTCGCTAGGCTTTCCATGGCCAACAACAATGATCGTATCGCTGAGCACATGGTATCCATGTTGCCTGGGACCATCCCCAAGACTGCGTGCTGGTATGCCGACGAGGATATCCACCATGTGAATCTCTGGGATATTCTCTCTGGGATATTCTCCCGGAGATTCAAGTCGCTGGCGTGACGAAGAATGGAGCTCTTGTGATTGATGGATGCAAGGCGGTAGCTATCAGATGGAAGGATTTCTCAGAGGTTGCATTTGACAAAATAGATTCGCTGAGGAGGACGGTCGTCAGTTACATTTTATATATCTCCTGGCCGTGCCTCATTTCTGGGCTATGCATTTTGACGTTGTTATAGGTTGAAACTAAAAAATGTACTATCACGTACGAAAATAAAACATGTTTTAATATATGTTTTTTATTTTATTTTTATTTTTTATTACATTACTAGTGAAAAGAAAAGAAAAGAAAAGAAGTGGCATCAGCAAATGCGACTTTGTTCGAAAGCACTCACAAAACGCTCATGTGTATATTCTTTTTGGTTTAGTTCAAGTCTGCGTTCGTAAGCACACATTTTTGGTTATATGTTCAGCATTTCCACCAATCGCATGAGTGCGCTACTGAAGTCGTAAGCGTTCATTTCAGTGGTTTTGCAGATGTGGGCTGACTAGTCGAGCGGGAAGCATTGCGCTCATCGTAATCGGAACCGTGATACTGTTCCCTTCTCCTCAACTGTTCCTTTTCAGTCAATCTGGGCGTATTGTCACCACGCAACCGTGGTTAATTGGGGTCAAAGGAATGATTGGCATCCAAGAGGTAGAGAGGCACCTTTGTGGGGTACCAAGGGACACCGTCCAAGGATGTATTACACGCCGAGCGGGTCGGAGTTCTCGACGCCGGCACAAAATACGGTACGGGGAGGCTCAGGCACACAATACGAAACTGCGAAACGAGAAGACTATGGTACGAGACCCATTTACACGCTCATCGACACGTATTCATCGACGATGTACTATTTCCGTGCAGAGCGACCGCCGACTGTGTGTATGTTCGCAGGACGAAAGGGAGGGCTTGGGAGGTTTGTTGTGCTGTGTTCGGAGAAGTGCAATATCAATGAGCTGCACAAGGATCTATGCCTACGCTGTAAACACTGCTAAACACCGGCAAACACCGCCTGCTGCTCGACCCTCTGCATAGGGGCCCCCCACCCCAGCGCGTCAACAAAATACCTATTCATGTCTACTGCGAAGTACTCGGTTCCTTTTTTGATATATTCCTGCTATTATTGTCACTTTTGCTCCCCGAATCTAGCTTGTTTCGTTGTCTTTTTCAATGTACCTCGTTTAATGGTTCATCGTGGGGTCGCGACGGAATCTTCTTTTCCATACGATAAAGCAATACCTAGTGGGAAAAAGTATAGCCCAGCGTAAATTTCTCGACATAAGGATGTAGTAGTATCGATACTCGTTCAAATGACTACTAGCTAGGAGTCGCTGAGTTCGAATCACACTCCGTGACCCGACTGATAAGATTATTATTGACCTTCTCATCATTCGAATACTAAGATCGCTTTATCGCCAAGGCCCTGCTTGTCGGCACCTAGCCTCTTCGGACTAGTCTCTGCTCCTTGCACTGCAAGTACCTCGTGCACCATTCAAGACGTCACTAGTAGCCATCATTCATTTTATACTGTGACCACCATGCCCGAAGTCAATAACAAGGTCTGTCTGATGTGAGTAGTGCAGTGACACCTGAATGGAAAGGGTTTACTTCATTGACGATCATCACTACAGCGTTCATGATGGGTGGGGAATCGCTCCAGAGAAAGGCATGAAAGGTGATGCCATCGATGCAGCAGACACCACCAACATGGATACCATCGCCAAAAATCATTCCTATCGCACCCTCTTTGCGCACGGAAACGCTGTCGGTTTGAACGATGGGCTCATGGGCAACTCTGAAGTCGGGTGCGTGCGATATGCTTCCCCGAAGTACCACATTACTCAAGTACGACTGATCGACACTGATATTGCAGACATCTCAACATCGGTGCAGGCCGCATTGTGTGGCAAGATATCGTCAAGATCGATGTATCCATTGCCAAAAAGCAGTTCCACAAGAATGAGACGATCCTTGCGAGCATGAAGCATGCCAAGGATGGAAATGGCCGTCTTCATCTCCTTGGTCTGGTCAGTATATTACGGATATTGCCGTGCACCTCTTTTCTCAACTTCACCCCGTAGGTTTCGGATGGCGGTGTGCATTCTCACATCAGACATCTCAAGGCACTCTTGGAGACTGCGAAAGAATCTGGCGTCCCCCACACTTACGTCCACTTTTTCGCTGACGGTCGTGACACCGCTCCTCGCTCAGCGAAGGGTTATGCACAAGAGTTACTGGACTTCATGAAAGAAATAGAGTACGGTACACTTGCCACAGTTGTTGGCAGATACTACGCCATGGACCGCGACAAGCGTTGGGAGCGCATCAAGATCGCTATTGATGGCCTCGTCCGCGGCGAGGGCGAAGAAGGTAAAGACGTCCTCGAAAAGATCGAGGAGAGGTACAAAAAGGATGAGACTGATGAGTTCCTGAAACCCATTATCGTCAATGGGGACGAGGGACGCATCAAGGATGGCGATACCCTCTTTTTCTTCAACTACCGCTCAGATCGGATGCGTGAGATCGCAACCGTCATCGGACTCCCAGACAAGCCCATGGAAATAGATGTCCCTAAAGACCTGGTAAGTCCGTGTCTCGACCGACCAACTTATCTTGAACTGATTGCATGGTGTAGCACATTACCACCATGTCCCGTTACAATGCTGAGTTCCCATTCCCGGTAGCCTTTCCCCCGCAAGCCATGACCAACGTCCTGGCCGAGTGGCTTTCCAAACAAGGCGTATCCCAAGCGCATATCGCAGAGACCGAAAAATACGCCCATGTTACATTCTTCTTCAACGGTGGGGTCGAGAAGCAGTTCCCTGCAGAGGAGCGCTACATGATCGCGTCTCCCAAAGTCGCTACATACGACAAGCAGCCAGAGATGAGCGCCCAAGGTGTTGCCGACAAAGTTGCCGAGGTGGTCAAGAGCAAGAAGTACGAGTTCGTCATGTGCAACTTCGCACCGCCCGACATGGTTGGCCACACGGGTGTGTACGAGGCTGCAGTGGAGGCTATCACTGCTACTGATAAGGCCGTCGGAACGGTCTACGACGCGTGTGTTGAAGCTGGATACGTTTTACTTATCACTGCCGACCACGGAAATGCGGAGCAAATGATCAACTTGGAGACGGGCGCCCCTCACACCGCACACACTACCAATAAGGTGCCTTTCATCATGACAGGCGAGGGCCTCGAGTTTGTGAGTGATGAAGACAGTGAAGAACAAGAGGGAGGTGCACTTGCTGATGTTGCACCCACTGTGTTGGCGATCATGGGCCTACCGCAGCCTGAAGGTAAGTCTTGCATGCAATTGATATGATGCCTCTCATTAACGTTTTCCGTTAGAAATGACTGGGCGCTCGTTACTGAAGAAATAGATCGAGTAGACGACAACGTAGACGAAGATTTGGAAAGATACCGTCACTGTAGAAATAACAATAACACATCACCCCACCATCCTCTAAAGAAGTTGGTATGCTTGAGCTGCCAGTGACTCCTGAGATTGCCACTATAGAGGGAAACACAACGTACCCTAAGACCGGAAGACCGAATAGATGGCCCTCATGTATGCAGGGTCTTCGTAAACCAACTACCAAAATTGCCACTATTATACTGGCAGTTCCATATCACCGAGTTCACTCTTCTTTTCTCATCAAAACTAGAATCACAGCGTGTCTCTAAGCCTTACGATCGGCTCCTAAGTACCAGATCAGGCTCGGGCGGGATCGCACGAGCTGCCGCGGTGAGAGAGCTTTCTCGAACTTCGTCTGCAGCCCTGGCAAAGAAACGATCGATAGAGGGGTGTGCGAGGATGTCGGCTAAGTCCGACGAGCCTCTATCGAGGCTAACTTAAATCGTATGTTGCTTCTACAGCATGGGAAAATTAACTTACGGCTGGGGGAGTCAGTGACCAGTTAACTTAATTTTGTGAGCGGCGTCGGGCGTACTACTTTGTCCTTTCACGGTCGTCACGTATCCCGCGATCTGATCCGATCACCTATACTTTGTTCAATCCCGATTCAATATGAACAAGTTCCTACTTACGCCCATAGACCAGCAGTTTATCACCCGAGAAGGTGCTCGATCGAGAGTCCGTCATCGATAACGTATTATTCTTCATGTATGTACACGGCTAGCCCCATCAGACGGTTACGAACCTGAAAAAGAGCTGAACCAGAGGATCCAGGCCACGCTGGGAATGGTTAGATAGTCACTGCAGTGAGTAATTTTAATATTCGGCTGCCTTTATCAACCTTACGGTAGATAGGATTTTTCTTCGGGCACTACAGCATGACGCCCTTACTTATGGGCGCACGCACCCAACAACTCCACACTGCGATACCTTCTTATTCACAAGGTGACCGCCTGTGCTGGACCCACCCCGAAATTCTATTCCCTCCTGTCTGAATTTGGCTCAGCTGGTCCAATAACATTACCGTATTCATGGGCATACCTTTGGACAAAGCTTCATTCTTAGCTTTGTTTCTCGAGACTTTGTTTTATGGTGCGTTCCCGACTGTGCAGCAGGGTTTAACTTATGGTATTGAATTTAATTATATCGAACAGGCGTATTCCTCACTTTGTACTGGCTAACACTATTCGTCCTATCCAAGAAAACTGACATTCAACGGCAAGTCCTTACCCCGGTAGCAACCTTGCTACTCTGTATTGCAACAGCTGTGAGTGTAATCAACCCTCTCGGGAAAATAGCTCAACACGATTACTTTCAGCATCTAGTTATCGATTTTGTTCGAGGGTTAGAGGCATTCGTTGTCAAGGTGGATACTATTGGTGCAGATACCTACTATTCCAACCTTGCTTCGCCGCTGGATCTCGCGTCAAAGGCACTTTACATCACGCAAACCACTCTCGCTGATGGTGTAGTTGTAAGTTTCTCTACTTCACATGTTGTTCTCCCCTCTGAATAGGGTAGTAGGTTTGGCGATGTTATGTGCTTAACGGAAAAAACCTCTTACTCACCATCCCTGGTTGTATCGTACTATTAGTCAATGGGGGTGAGTATTTCAAAAGCTATTACTCGACCATCGTCTCATCAATTTGCAGCCATCGGGTACTATGTTGTTTGGTCCCTCTCTCGGACCGGTCCGCTATCCAATGTTTCTGACGCTGCTTCTGCGTGTATTACAACATTCTATACAGTGACCATGTTTATCAGTGTTACCTGTACCAGTACGTCTATTGCATTTGATCTGCAGGCCCCTGATGACCAGAAAATTCAGTTTCCATTGCATGGCGCATTTATACCACTCGCCGTTTCATGCCAGGAGGCCTTGCCGCTCTTTTACCCGTTTTCATTGTTGTCATTGAGAGCGGCGCTTTATATGCCACGAGTGTTCTTGCACTCCTAATAACGTTCTTGATCGGATCTAATGGCGAATACATCATGCTGGACGTTATCCCTCCGATTGTGGTGAGTCCAATTGGCTTGTATGTACATAAGCTGTTCTTAGGTGCTTTCTTTACCAGGGGATCACATTCTGCCTCATCATTCTGCAAGTACATTTCCATGTGGGCGGCAACTCTCCAACCGAACAGTCTAGTGAACCAAGGGGCATGATCACCAGCCTCTTTCGAGGGCGAGTTACACGGGACGTGGGCTTCAGCATGGAACCGATGGCTGTACACATCACACAGGAGACGGAGATCGATCAATCTGACATGATGGGTGGAAAGAACAACCAACCGGTCTCGGGGTGTATCTTTCAATTGTAAACATACCCTTATGTTTTCCTCGTAGATGTACTGGCTTTCTCCGGATCACAATGAAGTAACTACCAGGCCTAGTGTCATCGTTATGTAAAGCCACCACGGGCTTCGAAAAGTAAGTCTTACCTTCAATTTGCGCCCAGCCGTGACCCACGAACAATCGTTTTTCGAGCCGTTGTAAGTTCTTCGTTCTTCGGGGTTCTATGTTTCGCAATCGCGAGCATTTATTTGGTAGCGATTTGCTGATCATTCGCCTTCCAAATGCGGTGAACCGTGATATTGTCATCACGTGTGTGCACACATGATGACATTTACGTTCGTTGAGATGCAAAAACGCAAGGGGTCAAAGAAAGGCTGCCTGTATAGAATGTAGATGTGGACGAGCCAGACGGTCAGTCACCCACCAAAGACTTGCTATTTCTCCGGTATTTTTACGAGAACCCCATGCCGTCCCCTCCACATGTGCTCGTTTTCCTAAGCCTGAGATTTATGCCACGCTCGAATACTTGCAGGTCATCTGACGGCAGCGCTTGAACGCTTCTCGGCGCCAAACTGATTGGCCACTTGTTGACAGCGGCCCGGAGCAGCAGTGATTGAATCCTTTAAATATCGTCGCTACACTCAAGGTTCGTTCTGCTCAGCTGCTTTCGAACAATGGCTTCTGGATCTGATGTCAAGGTCGAGTTCGACCCCAAGAACATGCCTTTCCGCAGGCTCGGCCCTAGTGGTCTCCGAGTCCCTGTCTTCTCGCTTGGTGGATGTATGTATTACACAGGGTCCCGCGTTCACGGTGCTGAATAAGAACTTATCTAGGGCTGACTCTTGGTGGAACTGTGATCGGCGACCCAGTGAAGGTGAGTATCAGCTCCTCAGTCTTCAAATTACTAGATCACCCAACCTTTACCAAAAGGACATAATAAAAATTGCCTTCGACAATGGTATCAACATGTTCGATACCGCGGAGGCTTATGCAAAGGGCAAGTCCGAGGTGGAAATGTGAGATTCGTCGACACTTTAGCGAGGACCGAAGCTGACTGCGAGGGAAGGGGTCGTGTGATTAAGGAGCTCGGCCTCCGTCGGACAGATCTTATCGTCACTACCAAACTATTCTGGGGTCTGCGCACTGGTCCCAATGATGGTGGTCTCTCGAGGAAACAGTTAGTCTCGTTCACGGTCGCGCCTGGGTGTGCTGACTTAGTTGCAGTATTATCGAGGGAACAAAGGAGTGTCTCGAGCGTCTTGGTCTTGATTATGTTGATGTTATCTTTGCGCACCGCCCAGATGTCTCAGGTATGGTTGATCATACATGACGAAGGGACAACATTAGCTCAACTCAATTATTCAGTCCCAATGGAAGAGACAGTGCGCGCATTCAACTGGGTAATCGAGAAGGGCTGGGTATGTCCCTGGGTAGGAGAATAATAGTGGAGTACTCACGGCGTTCAAGGCATTCTACTGGGCGACGTCAGAATGGTCCGCATACGAAATTGAGGAGGCGCAGCGTGAGTTCCCCTTTTGCGTTAGGGAGTCATGGACACTTCTGCTGAGTGACTGGTGTAGACATCGCTACGAAGCTTGGACTCAATGGACCTATTGCTGAGCAATGTCAACACAAGTATGTGTCCCACACTATCGTGATGTGTTTCTCTGAGTCCTTGATTAGCATGTTCCATCGTGAGCGCCCCGAGAAGGAATACCGGTGAGTCACCATCATTTTAGTTATGATCATCGGTTGAGAAATCGCCACAGTCCTTTGTACAAGAAGTACCAGCTGGGCACCACTGTCTTCTCCGCTCTTGCTAGCGGTCTTCTTACTGGAAAGGTGTGCCACATCCAAAAATCCAAAGTCACTTTCTCATAAAGAGAGTAGTACAACGCCGGTATCCCAGAGGGGACCCGTTTCTCGACGCACTCCAACTTTTTCAAGGGCACGGTGGATAGTTTGCAGAAGGAGGAGGGTCTCACGAAGATCCGCAAGGTCGATGACTTGAGCGCACTCGCAGAAAAAGGTCCGTATTTCATGACTTTCTTGTCTCACAAGCCGACCCGTACCTTATAGAATTTGGTTGCACTGTCACGCACCTGGCACTTGCATGGGTCGCAAAGAACCCGAACACCAGCACCGTCATCCTCGGTGCCTCGAAACCTGAGCAGGTCCTTGATAACTTAAAGGCTCTCGAGGTCATTCCCAAACTCACTCCTGAGATCATGGACAAGATTGAGGCGATCCTGGAGAACCAGCCGGCTGCCCCGGTGCGTGCTTGTCTTTAATGAGTAAACTCACCAAGCTGAAACGTTATACTGATAGGCAACATTTGGTCGCCCGGCACTTGATCCTTATGGTCGTTTGTGAGAAGAAAAGATTGAATGCTCCTCGTGTTCGGAAAATGCATTCCCAGTACCAATAGTGTAGAGGTGTTATAGGAGTGCATGTGATTGGCCCATGTGGAAATCGAAAATTTGAGTTCGTCTTGTCTTGTCATGAAATAGGGAATATGGAGTTCCGCTGTTCGATAGATGTCGTATCATCTTCCGAGGGTAATGACATCGTGATCCTGAAGGTCGCTCACGGACCGAGAAGCATGAGTGGGAACTTGCAGTGCACGACCCACATGTGTCTATCAACAAGTCGAATTAGATCGTTCTTGAATGCATTTCACTGCTTGCATGTCGAAAATTTTCGTCTTTGGGCTTGCGTTTATTGAATGGAGTCTGAAATCTGATGGGATGGAAGGGATAGAGCGTGGATGGGGTTGAAATGGATCATCATCGGAAAAATATAATTGTCATACACATTATAAATAGACCCCTATCACTGGTTTTTGACGACATTTTTGATGACTCCGATGCATTGCACGTTGACATGCTTAGAAATGCATCTAGCTTTCGCATGCATATATAGCTAGAGTTAATACGATCGCAATGTATCATTCTCCTTCACAATAACCACTTTACTGCACACCACCACTGTACCAGCCATGTCCGCCGTCAAGACTGAGTTTGACCCAAAGAATATGCCCTTCCGCCGTTTGGGCCCCAGCGGCCTACGGGTCCCTGTGTTCTCGCTTGGTGGATGTGAGCAGCACGCTTACGTGTGAATGTGTCAGTGCTGAACACTTCATAGGGTTGACGCTAGGAGGAACCGTTGTCGGTGACCCTGTCAAGGTGAGGGAGCCTAGCTCGCGCACATCAATGGGGAGCCTTAATATGGTCTTACATACAGGAAATCATCAAAGTTGCCTTCGAGAATGGCATCAACATGTTCGACACGGCTGAGGGCTACGCAAAGGGTCACTCGGAAGTTGAAATGTGCGTAGTCGAGGCAGCCTCGTCGAATAGGTTCTGACCTAGTATCTCGACAGGGGTCGAGTTATCAAAGAACTCGGCTACCGTCGCTCTGACTTGGTCATCACCACGAAATTGTTCTTTGGTACCCGTACCGGTCCGAATGACACCGGTCTCTCTCGAAAACAGTGCGTACGGATAAAGTTGAATCAGGATGTGCGAACTTACCATCACCCTAGCATTATCGAAGGTACCCAGGAGTCGCTGAGCCGTCTTGGCCTCGACTACGTTGATGTCATCTTCGCACACCGCCCTGATTACTCCAGTAAGTATTCAAGTTGCGAACACAAACATAGACATTAAAGACATCACTTGCAGCTCCGATGGAGGAGGTCGTCCGCGCCTTCAACTATGTCATTGAGAAAGGCTGGGTGAGTCTCAAGTCTTCCGTGTTTATTAGTTCTCTCAAGTACTTCGCAGGCATTCTACTGGGCTACATCAGAGTGGTCTGCCAGGGACATTGAGGAGGCTTACCGTGCGTTTCACCTGTCTCTTAAATGACCTCGATGCTCACTTTGATAATTCCATCCAGACGTCGCTGACAAACTTAACCTGATCCCTCCTATCGCTGAGCAGTGCCAGCACCAGTGAGTTGACAACGATACTGCGCAGGATCCAGCGTCCTGATAAACCGGATCTAGCATGCTTCACCGTGAGCGCCCAGAAAAGGAGTACGCACCTCTTTACAAGAAATATTCCATCGGAACTACCGTTTGGTCTGCATTGGCCAGTGGGCTCCTTACTGGAAAGGTAAACAACACTCAACATATATTTCAGATTCAACCACTAACGATCTGTGATGTTCAGTACAACAATGGTGTCCCAGCAGATTCGCGGTTCGCCGCACATTCCGATTTCTTCAAGGACACTCTGAAGAGCCTCAACGAAGAGGAGGGCCTCGCTAAGATTCGCAAAGTCCAAGCGCTCACCAAGCTCGCCGAGACGGAATTGGGCTGCAGCGTCACGCACTTGGCATTGGCATGGATTGCAAAGAACCCGAACACAAGCACTGTCATCCTCGGTGCCTCTAAGCCCGAGCAGGTGGTCGATAACTTGAAGGCACTGGATGTTATTCCCAAGCTGACGCCTGAGATCCTAGACAAAATTGAGACGATACTCCAAAACAAACCTGCACCAATTGTGAGTGATGGTGTTGAAATCTTGATTAATTTGAGGATTCTGATCGTCAATTCCCTCTCAGCCTACCTTCGGCAGGCCAGCACTTGATTCCTCTGGTCGCCAATGAGGTCGATGACTTTTCGGTAGTTTGTTGATTTCATGACAGCAAGGATTGAAAGCCAAACGGTCATGCATCTGTATTACTATGATACATGAATCAGAAACATGTGAATGGACAGAGCAGGCTGCAGAACAGAAACGTGCGACCATCTACCTTAACCGTCAACGTTACAGGATGAGCATGCAAGGAGCAAGATACTCACTCGGAGAACGAGAGCTTCGTCTGCGAATTCACTAATACAAATGATGTTCTTGATTGAAGGACTGTTGGAACGTCTGGAGAGGCCCCCGGAAGTTCCCGGATAGCTAACCAACCTCGTTCTGCTTCAACGTTAACGCTAAGCGCTAGAACTTCGTACCTCTCAGGCTGGATAGCATGCCTAAAGTTTCAGAAGCAACAACGCAGGCGAAGAAAAATAAACTCCTTGTTTTGAAACATAGTCAGAAATGAGCTATGGTTAAACGATATCGGTTGTATGACGTGAGTGCAACAACTATTCAAATCTTTATGGATTGGCTTATAGGTATTTGAAGCTCATGATTGACACCGCACGTAAATGTTTCCCAAGGATTCCAAGAGACGCTGTCACGTTGCAGACCAATCAACTCGATGTTTGCGAGGGTCACTACGCGGACATCACGACTGAAACATGGGAAGATGTCATTGATTCGATTACCCTCATTGAAGTGATTCGCGCGGAAATACCATCACCCGACCCACTGCCGCTTAGTGCTCAGGCCATTTCATTACCTGGCGATGGGTTGGCGCCTGAGGTTAACGGACATGACAGCTCGTACGTACTACGAACACCCAATCTACTAGTGCTTTTACTGAAGTTCAGACCACGCAGCAGCGAAGATGACGAAGTCACGATCCGATTGGTCTTTCCATCCGGCGAGATTCGTTCTGTTAAGATCCCGAGCGTTTGAGGTGCAGAAACTTGTCGATCGTGCTGCTCGCCATTTGGGCAAATCCTCTACCACTCTGGATGTGATTTGGGATGGGTCCAGAATGGATCACAACAGGAGTATCGAATCGTACGACATCGAGGATGGAGATTCCATCGTTCTTTTGGTGAGACAGGTCGGCGGAAAGCCGATCATTTATCTATACTCTCCCTCTGATATCGACGCCTCTGTCAAACTTTCCCTAGTCCCGAGTGGAGCTTCTCCGCCATCTATCCCGTTGTTACCACCAATGATCGGCAGCATATAGAATAGAATGTCCGCACCCATCAAGATGGGAATCTGATTGAAAATATCTCTGGTTTGGACGTGTCGTACTTGTTCTGGGAGGCAAAGTAAGTTCCTCATAATAAAGAAATCACTCTTCTAACTTTGTATTACTCGTCGCAGGACAAAATCGGATGCATTTCCCCGCCCACCAGCATCCAAACCGCAACCAGTGGATGTATTCAGTCCTATGTTCAGCGATCTCGGCGATACAAATTCGATTGTCATCCCAGTGGACAAAGTACCTGCTCACCTTGACAAGTCCCTCCTTATTTTGGGACTTCACACCGAAGCCAGAACATTTTTCATCACGTGCGTACATATATATGCACTTCCCGCATTATCATAAATGCACAACTAACATTTCTGTGATAGCTACTGGCTACCATCTATCCTTAGGCAGAGTACATTGCGCTCCGATTCGGCCCCCAATCGGCGTGTGAATGCGCCGCTTCTTTATCCATTTCTCCGCAACCTGACGTTGTGACTCGGGTTTTCAGAGGTATCCGTAAAGAATAGTTAGCAAATTGGTCTAACGCACAAATGCAAGCAGAGAAAGACATTGGTTGGTGGGCGGATGTAGTCGGAGTTGATCTTGCGAGAACCAGTGATACGACTTTGTTCAGTGTGTTGGAATGGGGTGGGATGGAGGTTTGCAGGAACGAGTAAAGGATTTCATTGACTGACTACGTTATCGCTGTCGATTGGAATAACTATCAACATTATATCAGGCATGTTTTGCTCCGTGTTCAGACAATTAAAATCTATGTAAACGATTCATCACTCCGACAATGACTGCCCTTCCCCCCAATTATTTCCCAACACACTTCCACACACCTCCGCGCTTGATGAGGCATATAACTTCTGAAGAGAATAAGTACAGTCGGGGGATATTCTTTCTAGGGGTCGCTCGCTCGATCCGATTCTCACCCGGGACGTCTGAGGAGGCCAGCTCAATGAAATGGTAGAGGTGGCTTGCGAATATGACGGGTCGGTGGGCCAAGCCCTTCTGTTGAGGTAGCTTCGGGAGACTCTGAAGGTGTTTCATGTCTCAACGCCCGGAGCAGGTTGTCATGCGCGATTTCATTTTGAAAAGCAAGGGAGTGATCAAGGAGTAATCCAAGTCGGAAACTCCAGGATGACGAGCAGCACAGGAGCAACGCCTTAGGGATCTGCAGTTCCGAAGGCCGGAAGCGTCGTCCGGCCAAGCCGCTATGCAAGCTCGGGTACTAGTGGGATGTGCCCCATTAATGCTTGGGATTGGTCAATCCGATTGCAACTTCGTCTCTCTCACATTCCTTGCACGTATAGAGATGCCATCGAGGAGAATCATGAGGCCACAAGGCTTCAAAGGTGACCTATCGCAACAGAGATTAATCTTTGATACACGAGCTGTTCACAAACGGAGAATTGTACGAACTCATTGTAAGACCTTTAGCAGCAAGGCGATAAAGTGTAACAAAGAAGGAAAGACAGTCTTACTTCTAGAATCTACTATATAGCCTACTTTGAGGCGAGAGCAAGACGAAGTCACGGGCTGTGACAGTAGCAAGTACTGCATTCCAGTGCGTTGAAGTTCCTTACCAAGGAGTGGTGATGGGATTGGCTTCCATTTACCCGGTTGCTACATACAAGTTCTGAAAGAAACTTTGTTGAGCGTCTATGTACAGCCGCATGTCGATGGCTGTGGGTTCCTTGAAACGTTGTTCTCGACATGCGAGAGGACGCCTATTTTCTTCCATATTCACAGCCAATTTAACGGCTTCATATACCACAGCATCCTTCGCATATATATACCCATTCCACTACAGGACAAAAGCAGTTTCAATACCAGAAGGCCACCAGCGCTATGGCGAATAAGGTGGGTAGTAGATTTTTCCGGGTTAGGCTCTCGCGATAGGCTAACGAGCCTGTATAGACTTCGACCACTGGCAGGACGCCGAAGAGAGTAGAAGTAAACCAGCGTGCACTGGTTGATAAAGTGCTTGCTCGATACCCCGAAGACTTTACAGGTTCGTTAAGCCACATTACTATGTCCTGTGCAGCGCCGTTGAACTGAAGAACCCCCAGTGTTTCGAGAGCTATTACAGAATGCTGATGACGCCAGAGCCACGAAGGTTCTGATAGAGTTTCAGACGAGAGACTATGCTACACATTCTGCGGGAGCGAATGGCAAGGCAAACGGAATCAATGGCACGATCCCAGACTTGAACACTACGAAGGTGAGTTTGGGGTGGTACTGCCATTGAAATTGGCGCTTAGCATCCCGACAGTTGTTCAAATGGATTGTTCGCAACAATGGCGATTGCTTTGAAGAGAAGGACTGGGGACGGCTGACGAAGATTGGTATGATGGATCTATCTGCATACTACTCCGTCAAATGATTTGTGCTCATTGTTGTCACCAGCGGATGGCAACACCGATGAACAGAAAATCGGAGCCTTTGGTGTTGGTTAGTAGAGCTCTGCATCGCCTTCAATTGAGCTGATGGATTGATTCTGGGAAGGGTTCTACAGTGTTTTCGCTGTCACCGACAGCCCGCTAGTCTTGTCTGGAGGTAAGCGCCAAGCACTTTCCTTGACTATATCCACCATACCAATCGGTACGCCTGAAAGGCAAAAGTCTGGAGATATTCTTCGAGGGCGATCAGGTATGCCATGAAGCTCGGTATCAGCTCTGCTTTACTCACGTCTTCCTCCAGCTATATACACTGGAAGATACTTGTGCCCCGAACAAGTGGACCTCCATCGAGATGGTGTTGAAGGAAGATATGCAGCTTCCCGTCCCGAAACCATTTGACTTGGCCCGATTCTTGGCAGCCACTATGACATTCATGTCGTGGGTGGAGAACGCCCATGTTTCATTCAACAACAAAGTCTTCATGAAGATCGCTAAGTCCAGACAGGCACCCACCCAGACTCGTGTCCCCAACGATATGTTGCCGAGAAGCAATGAAGGCACGATGAATATCAACACAGTCTCAGTAACTAGTGGGTGGCACCTTGCATTTTCAGTACGTTCCGCATACTGAATCGTACTTACAGCCCAAGAGATTACTGTCGAACTCACGGACTGGGCACGCGCCGCTGGAACGAAGAAGCCATTTGTACCACGCTCCGGTGGCGAAAACATACCAAAGAATCCCGTCAAACGCAAAGGCTTTTGGGATATCGTGAAGGGCGAAGCCCCCAAAGGGCCGAAAGTCGTATCTCGAGCGTCGACGCATGACCACCCACAATGGTGGAGATATAGCGCCAAATACGCGGTATATTCGGCTCAAGTGACGACTAATCCCAGTAAGGACCTTCACAAGGGCTTAAAAGCGATGACGAAGAAGGATCCTCCTTCTCACTTCGATTTTGAGATGGTCTACGTAAGCCTTCCCAGCGATCTCGTTGTTAACTTTATGCTCATGACGAGTATAGTTCTCCAAAGAAGAGCAGGATGCAAGAGCAGAAGAGGAGAAGAACGATCCGATCATGGGCAGCATATTTAGAGGACCGCAAGGCCTATTTCCCCAACTGGACGGGTATGCAACTTGTTTCTTTCCTGTGCATGTCGTCATATCGTTGTTATCTTTTTAGGGAACATATGTCACGGATCTTCATCGTAGGCTTCACATCGTGTTTGATGAGAAACGTGCTGATAAGTCACAGGGTCAAAGTACAGCGCAAACGACTGGTATCGGTGGGCACATGTCTGGCCGATTTATTCCCACTGTCGAACGAGGATCCATTGATCTAACGTGAGTACATATTTTCGCACGGAATGATGTTATCTCATAATTGCCCAGAAACGGCCATATCGCAAGTTCGTGCCTCTTAGTCGTTTTCCTTTGGAGTATACTGATATATTTTTCAGAGTGGAATGAAGAACTCCTGTATGTAGGTGGGTTCCTTGCGAGGCTCGTGTATGAGCGGGAGATTCGCAAGGTCCAGGATGCTTGGCCTACAGTCAACGGTGCCGTTGTCCCGACCGACGCTTCGGCAAGAGACAAGGCATCATATGCCATGCGCTGCTTCACATTCCAACCATCCACTCCGGATGCCAAAGTCGCGAAAATCTTGCATGAGGCGTTTTTCGACTGTTTTAACTATTCCCTCAACGATTGTTTTCCCATCTTGTCGGACTCCGGTATTCATTACACCAAGGACGTTCGGAATTTCAATGCTGACTTTGCACCGTTCATGAAATCGATGCCTATACATCCTCAGAAAGAACCTGGCGACCCACCTAATTTAATCGACTCCCTCCCTGAGAAATACCAGGTCTTGCCGTACTACTTCTCAGATGTGGTGGAAGAACTGAGGGGAAGGACTTTGCAAGAGGAAGAGATGGTCGCTTGTCTGAGGTGGTGGGTCAGCCTCATCGGTCTGGAGGACGAAGATAACCGTGAAAAAATCCTCCCACGCTGGTCGAATCTAACGGTGGAGGCCAAATCGCGAATTGGAAATTCCACGCGTATTGTGGAACTTCGCAACATCACTAAGTTCGTCGATTCCAGTGTTTGGCTCCCTTGGCTTCAGTCGGACGATGCTCTTCCTCCAGACACCATCCCATTTTCGTTTACCAGGAGTCTCGATCGACGATACATTTCCGTAGCACTTTCGTGGCAGCCAATGACTGTTGTGGACTGGTTGAGTCATTTGATAAGCCCTCAGGTAGACGCGGCCCGTGACATCCAAAAAAACCCTTCGTACTCCAATCGTGTCCTTGGGATCCTGGGGAATATTTGGGGTACGCTGTCAACTGACGTGAAATCTCAGGCAAAGGATCTCATGCAGGACGTCCCGTGGATTGCGACGAATCAGGGATTCCGACCATCTGGTGGAGCGTACTTCCCGGAAGCAGATGTCTTCCGCGATTTGCCTGTTGTCACTGTTAGTCTGTTTGATCCCCAGGTTGTTACTGTACTCGACGAGTTCGGGGTCAAGCGGCATCTTGACTTTGAAGAGCTCTTTGCCAAGTACGTTTAACTTTCAAGTCCTTGATGTAATATTGTTAATCACTTTTCAGGGCGGACAAATTGAGTACGTGGTCGGCATCAGAGATGATCACATATCTCAAGAGTGACCCAAACGCTATGGAGAGGCTGGAGGATATCCGGACATACCCTGTATTCCCTTGCGATAAAGGCGGGAAATACCGTGTCACCGAGCTGTACCTTCCGCACGGGGAGATTCGCCCGCTGGGCCTACCAATTCTTAATTGGCCGCGCAGGATTGATAGAGATTCCGAGGATGGTACTTTTTCTTTCTGCATTATTTCTCTCACTTTCACCTGACCCTGCTCCAGAGCAAATTTTGACCGATATGGGATTTCTTCGACACCCACCTTTGGAGAAGCTCATCGAGATTGCTGGAGACACCGACCAAGGAGTTCGACGTGCTGCCTTCAAGTACCTTACGAGCAAGTTCGATGAGCTCTATGATACGGAGTATGATCCTTCGCAATACGATAACATGCCGTTTATCCCAGCTCTCAAAGATGGTCAGGAATGTGTTGGCACTTACGAAGAGGTCAAGTCTTGTTGCTATTTCATCGGGAATTTTTTAGCTGAAGTGGACAACGATCATCAAGGTTTATTCTGATCCTTCATGGGCAATGATGGGGTTCCAGAAAGTCCATCATTCCATCGACAGGAAGGTCATCGGCAGACTCAGGATGCGGGAAGCGCCATCGGCAAAACAAGTGATCGGGGTTTTCAGAGAAAGACCGCCCAGTAATGTCAACTTAGCGGCGAAATGGTTCGCCTTTCTGGCAACCAAGCAAGGTTAGACACACTACTCCGTTGGCTATCTCCTATCTCTAAATCGTGCGCTATTCGTGCAGTCCTCTCTCCTGGGGATCTTCAGGAGATTGCCAAGATTCCTATCGTCCCCGTCGAGGAACCCACATCTCAAGGCGAATTGGATTCCGTCGAGCCTGTCATTCGCTTGGTGCCTCCTCGGGAGTGCTTCATCGGTGGTAGCCAATACCCAGAAGACCACCTTTACCGGCGACTATTTACCTTCGTTAACTTTGATGAACGTGCAAATCGGTTTCTGAAAGCTTGCGGTGTCAAAGCCAAGCCAGATTGTTCGGACATAGTCAACATTCTAATAAAGGACCCTAAGGATTTCCTCAAAAAAGCCGGTGCAGAAGCAGATCCTGAGAAGTATGTGAATGTCCTGCAGAATCACGGCTGTGCTCATCATCAATGTAGATATCTTGTCGAGCTTCGTGGACTTGCGGTTGGGTACGAGGGGCTTTCCGAAGACGATAAGAAAAGGATGAAGGTTGCCCCGATATTTGTCGGGTATCGCACCTCGAAGTCTGCTACTGTCTCCCGGGACGAGTTCCAACTTGTTCGAGCGTCTGAGGTCCTGCTTGCTGATGACATGGAGAACCGCCGGATCTTCGGAGAGTTTGTCTGGTTGGCTCCCCAGGATGAGCTGCTCGAAAGTGAGCTCTCTTTACTTTGAATATGGACCTCGCTAACCCAGTCACAGAACTCTACGAACAAGTGGGATCTGCGTATTTGAGCAATCACATCAAATACAACGTAAAACCAATCAACGAACAAGCTAAATGGCCTCGCTGCGAGGAAGTTCGAAGAGCGATTTTGGAGAAGTTGCCCATTTTTATGCACGAGTTTGATGCACAACGTCTTAAGCACGGTACGATGCATCTAAAGTGGGATCATAAATCAACCTTTGTCGTGAGAGGTTGCAAAGATCTCAAAGTGGACAAGAGACTTGATTCTAAATACCGTGTCTCTGTCGAGCCTCACAGAGAGAGCAACGAATATTTCGTATCCGCCGAGATCACCACAGAAAAGAACGCTCCTGTCACCCTATGGCTCAAGAAAGCGGAACTGGTTGACATGTATGAGTAAGGAGATTCGTGTTCCCTCACCCACATAAAACTGACTGACTTTCGTTAGCGTCGCTGTCGCACTGTGCCGTCTGCTTTTCAAGACTCACAAGAAGCACGACGTTCTGAGTCTGATGACCATATTGGAGACGGACAAGGAAATCTTGAGGAAACGAGGCTATGATGGTAATTTCTCGCGACCTTCTTGCTACGATTATCTCATCTCTGGTAGTGGACAGGATTGACCAAGCTCACAAAGCCGCTATTCTTGAAGACAAGAAGAAGGAAGAAGGTATTGAATAAATATTTGAGTTATATGCGTAGCACTATTAACTCATCACTCCCCAGAGCGCGAAAGGCAAGCACGGAAGATGCATTCAGGGGAATCTGGCGGGCGACATCGTGGTGGCAATATTCACATCCGGTCCCGATTCTTCGACTTCTTCAGATGGCAGTCGAGAGGATCCAAGACTGCCGGTAAAGTCAAAGCTGCAGAAACTGGTACGTGTCATATCATACATCAAGTATCCCCGCAAGTTCATTTCATGTAGATCGTGCGATCGACGAAATAATGGAACAGTGTAAGAACGGAGAGTCGAGTCCAGCAGAACAGGAGATCAGAAATCGAGAACACGGCGGCGCAGGCAAGAAGCTGAAAGACGTCGAATACTGTGCTGAGCTAAAGAGCAACACTCTGCAACAAGTCGGTACGTGGGTCTTTGTTGTCGACCATGTCTTGATAATTAATAAACTCCCAGACGTGGGTGGCACTGCCGGTCTCTTGAAAGTTTGGCAACAAAGTAAGTTCCTTCGTTGTTGGCGTCAGCACTAAATGACATGGTCGTAGTCACTACACAAGAGGGGCTTCCAATGAATGAATTAGCGGACTTTGCAACCATGGTCCATGGACTCAGCGGTGTTTTGGACCTGAATAATACTGAGTCCATATTCAACATCTTCTGGCATCCCGAGGATCCTGACCTGATGGGGTTCAATCGCAACCGGCTCATTTTCTTGAACCTTGCACACTACACTACGAAACGTAGGTCAACCTTCATTGCTACCTATCAAAAGTCCTTACATGTTATGTTACACAGACGTAGGATCACCGCCCGGGAAGGCATATATTGACTGGTATGTGAATGTGGAGCATCGCTGGCCACGATATGCTCATACAACGTTGCTCCCGCAGGTACTACATCATCATGCACGAAATCGCCCATAACAAAACGCCTTTCCACGACGAACACCACGAATTGTTACTCTCGGCGCTAAGCTCTCATTTCTTGCCGCAACTGCACGACGTGGGAGAGGTCCGCGAGTTTTTCAGTTGTGCGACAGGGTGCCCTTCATAGTGGATATTTGGCTGGTTTGCCAGACACGGGACTCTTTGGGACATTAGGTGTATTTTATGAACTGTATTATCTACCTCGTCTTATCTATACCATCTAATCAACTATATCGTGTTCAAGTTGTGTTCTGCGTCTAGGGGTGACTACCCCGTAGGCTGTGCTGATAAGGCGAGGTATTTTAAGCCAGAAGAGTAGTCAAGGGATAACCTCACTTGCCTTGCGACCTCCATCTCGAAGGCGCGTGCATGCACAGCCAGAATTGGCGGAAATAGGACTGATCAGTGATGAATGCATCTTCCAACTCGTTCTCGCAGCTTGGGGTCTCGGCGGTTAGAGATGCGCGGAGGCTTTAAATCACAGCTGAAGCGAAGTTCACAATTTAAAGGTAAGGTCGTGTTGCGCCTTCGACACCTCGAAGAAAACTGTTCTACTGTGTCATTGGTCTGTCAGGAATTCGCAGAAGGATGGGTGAAGGAGTCAGATCAAGGTAGATGGCTTGGTGCTGCTGCTGAAGAGCGGACCCATGCATTTGACCACCTCGCAGCGGTCGCGTTCGTCTGCAAATGGCGCCGCACAGAATTCAGGAATATAAAGAGAGGCTGTGCCAAGTACTTGTCCTATCACGAAACCAAGTTCTCGCGAGCGCTTTTGCATACAGTGTCAGGCACTGTTAGGCCTGACGTTTGTAGATTGGCTGACATGGATGCAGAGTGGCCTGTAGGAACTTGGAAGTAACAAGCGAGCTCCTGATGGTAGTGACTGCGCCGTCTTCGTGGTACGACGGAAGATACTTACTTGTAATAGTAGGTGGTGCCAACGGGAGTCCGGGATGCTGCACTCGGTGACGGCATCCTGCTCGACTGCAAAGAAGTTCGATCGTGGGTGATTCAGAAGCTCACGGAAGTCACAGTCTTGAAATTCATATTGAGCATGCTGTATGGGAACTCGAGTTCACCGGACTACACCTACAACCGAAACGGGTAAGCAGCGCTTGTCGGCCATTCCCACGACGTGCTGTCACTCCACACTTTGCCAAAACCTTCGTGCTCGCTGTGGGCAACAGCGAGCTCAACTATCTAATCATTTGCATTTCTTTGTATTTATTTTTTTTTTTTGGGGGGGGGGCAAGGACCATGGATTTATAAATAACTGTAGAGTAAGTGTACAGGAATATCATATGAAGGCCACATATGTTATAGCTTCCTGTACATGCCATAACTTATAAGTCGGATCTGAACCTTCGAATTCGAACTCTTGCCGCATCTTCGATTTGAAGAAGTCCGTGCAACGCTCCACCGTGACGTACGGACTCAGCGCAGCAGAGGCTGGACAACATGTGTGGCCGAGCGCTCAGCCTTTCATGAAGGCCCTCAGCGATGTAATACAATTGTGTAGCGCTCGATTCAACATGAGGCAATACATAACGATACATTGCAGTTCCCTGTGTAGAATCGTGGTTATCGTGTACTGCATATCTGGGATACCGGGCCCCTGGCGCTAGGGCTTGACGTATACTGTGTACATGCATGACCTCCGAGTGAGGGCGACTCGAAAAGTTAACTTACTCCAATCGTATTACGTTCAATCCGGTGTTGGTGAGCTTGCCCTCAACTGACGCATTGCAAGTTGCAGAATGATCCTGCCAGGCTGTGGAATGCACAGAAACGCACAGCAATTTAATATAGCAATAAGCGCCTGACGATCATATTAAGTTGTGGGTCCCTTGTGTAACGTAGCTGCACATGTTGAACGCGAGGCCAGCTGCTTTCACGGTCCACGAGACGTTATTTGGCTTCCCGCTACTTTAGAGCCTCAATTCCCTCAGGTCCTTACTATTGTGTTTCGACGAATCGCTTGAGACTGTCTTGGAATGTGTGAGGTCAGCTAGTTGTTTTGGCGCCCAATACCTGGACTCTTTCGGGGCTCACCTTTTGGTTTAACAGATCAGGCCAGTGGAAGTCAATCAACGAGACCTCGTCGATAAAGTACTCGCCCGTTACCCGGAGGAGTTCACAGGTATGTTGAACACTACATCAGGTCAGAAAGTACCACTAATCACAGTGAAGTTTTCCGAGAACTGTTACAGAATGCGGACGATGCTGGAGCTGAGAACTTCACTATTGTATTTCAAGCTTCACATAGATATGCGAGCAATGGGACGAAGCCAGATCTCAGTTCAGTTAAGGTGTGCGATGAGGCAAAGTACTAGCTATGGAGTGCTCACGTTTTGGTCTAACAAGGTCTGCAAATGGCTTGTGAGGAATGACGGTGCCCCGTTTCAAGACCCTGACTGGGGGCGTCTGACGAAAATTGGTTTGTGAAGATATTGGTCAGCCTCCTGGGTGCTGAACATTTGATCTAGCCGAAGGCAATCCGGACGAACGAAAGATTGGTGCATTCGGAGTCGGTATGCATTCATCCATTCCTCAGGCATCCGGAGTCTTAAGAGCAATGATGTGCAGGTTTCTTTAGTGTATTCAGTGTCACCGACAAGCCGATTGTCAAGTCGAATGGTACGCGGTCCTTCAATCAAGCCTGCCAGCACATGCCACTCACCAGATGCTGCAGGAAAAATGGTATCCATCTATTACGAAGGAGACAAGGCACGTTATTGCTTTGACGAACGTTCCCGTTCAACACTTCTAACGTTCATGTAGCTCTATGTGAAGAAAGAGGAAATCATTCGTGACAGCAACAATTGCACCGTGATCGAGATGGAGCTGAAGCAGACGTCGACCATCCCGCGGATCTTTGAACTTACGCGATTTCTAGTAACGTCCATGACATTCCTGGCTCGTATTCAATGCATTACGATCTCGCTGGACGACACTGAGCTCTCTCGTTTGACAAAAACTCGGAACAAGGGTCAGTCAATAGTCATTCCAGAGCATATGGTCAGAAGAAGTCCGGGGGATACCATGACCGTCGCCTCTGTCAAACTCATCTGTTGGTATCTCTCACGCCTTTCCAAGTCCACGCAGCTCTGATGGTCATGGCAGCCCAAGAGGTTGAGGTTATATTCCCTGAAGATGCACTCGTTGGAGGTCCGAAAACGCTCATCACACGAACGGATCTGGAAGAAAGCGAACGAAATCCGACGAAATCCAAGAGCTTCTTCTCGACGGAGAAAATGACGTCGAAAGAAAATGGAAGAATTGCAGCTCCAAAATTAGCAGGCGCTGTTTCTGACACCCCGAGCGTCAAATCTGGTGCCAAATTCTCGGCAAAATGTTCGATTTACTCTGCAAATATTACCGTCGCAGCGAAATCAAGTTTGAAGAAGGGGTTGGAATCCGCAACGAAGAAAAAGCCTCCCAGTAGCTTTCCATTTGAGATGGTTTTCGTAAGAAGATGCCTTGGAGATTTCGACATAGTCTTATATTCAACATCTACAGTTCAGCAAGGAAGAGCACGATAAGCAGACGCAAGATGAAGCCGATAATGCAGGGTTCGGAAGTATATTTCGTGGTCCTCAAGGTCTTTGTCCGCGATTGGAAGGGTAGGTCATGGCGTTCTTCCGGAGCTCCCATTCTTACGTTCAGCTCTGACAGAGAACATGCCGCTCGAATTTTCATCGTCAGTACCCTCATAGTGTTGGCTATTTCACGTTGTCTTATGTGCACGACAGGGGCAAAGCACGTCTCAAACGACCGGCATGGCATGCCACATGTCCGGTCGTTTCATTTCAACTGTGGAGCGAGGCTCGATCGATCTTGTGTGAGTATCATGCGACCTTGTGTGAGGATATTTCTGATCGGTTACCTCGTAGCAATGTTCATGTTTCTAGTAAGTGGTGAACTTCCCGATAGACTATCGCTTGTCCATTGACGCCATGTCGTGCAGAATGGAATGAAGAGCTCCTTTACCTTGGGGGTTTTCTGGCAAGAATGGTCTATGATTCTGAGATGAACAAAGTAAGCGATGCGTGGTCGAAGTTGAGCAAAGCAGAGGCGGAAGCGCTGGCATTGTACACGATGAAGTCCTTCATCTTTCATCCCACCACACCCGATTCGAAGGTGTCCCGTATCATCAAGGATGCATTCTTCGCTTGCTCGAACACAGATAAATTTCCGTTTATCTCGAATCGAGGCATTCGACACACAAAGGACATCCGTCTTTACCATAATCATTTCGATCCCTTCATGAGCACTCCAGTGTTGCCGGTCGAACTGCGTCCCATATTAACACCCATGATGCTTCCTGATTATCTCCGGGTCGGCCCGTACACCTTCAAAGATGTCGTGAAGGAACTTGATTCTCGGTGGCTGACTGAGACGGAGATGGCTGCTTGCTTGCGTTGGTGGACCAACTCGTTCGGATGCCAGGGTCCCTTGGATGAACAGCAGAAAAGGCGTCGAGACGAACTGCTCAAAGCAGGCAGAACACGCACAGGGGGGAAGGAAGTCAGACTCAGCTCGATCAGCAAATTTATCGATGGACGAATGCTGGGCGTTCGCCGTCCCGACGACCCTCTCCCAGAAGATACAATACCCCCAGCCCTCATTCAAAGCCTCAGTTCCTATACGATTCCGGACGCTTTTGGATGGAAAGAAATGCCAATCACACACTGGCTTCGATACCTCACGGATACTCCGCCAGATTCATCGCACGATATCATGCGAGCGCCAATTTTCGCGCAACACGTCCTCAGCGTCCTCAGCGCCCTTTGGCACACTCTAGATGAAGACAGTCATTCCGAAGTTCGGGAGATTTTGAAGGACGTTCCTTGCATACCTACGACCATCTCGAACATACCTTCCATGAAGCGGCCCTGGGAGGCGTATCTCCCTGACGCCGACGTTTTTCGCGACCTTCCCGTCGTTAGACAAGACCTTCTCATAGATTACCGCACGGAGCAGGTGTTGCAGTATCTGGGAGTACAGAAACGGTGCGACATCGACACATTCATAACAAAGTCAGTCACTAGGAATAAGACCTTATCTTCTATTCTGACATACCTCACAGGGCTCAGAATGGTGATAGATGGAATGCCATGGACCTCGCGAGATACCTTATGACATCTGCTCAGGAACATGTGACTCGTGTGATGGATATGAATCTGTTCCCTTGCAGCGACGGTGAAAGACGTCATATCAAAGAGCTCTTCGCATCCACAGAGACCAACCGGCAACTCAGATTGCCTGTAGTCAACTGTGACTACTGGGATTCAAACACCCAGGAAGGTACGTCGTGAACTGGTTTGGCGTACAATGCACCACTCACCAAACATCCCAAAGCACTATTCCTTATGAATCAAGGGTTACGCGTTTACCCTACAATAGACGAACTCATCCCTATCGCATCATCCGAGTCCGATCGCTTCGTTAGACAAGCTGCGTGGTCGCTTCTGTGCGGATCATACTATGACACAACGCTTGAAAAACACTTCGACCCGTCAAAGTTTTCTTCGTTCGCCTTCATCCCCGGTCTCAGACACGGGAAAACTTGTCATATCCCGCACGGCGAGGTCTGTTGACGATTTCGTATGGGCACTGGACACGCGCAGCTGATGCCACAATTGAAAAGGTGTTTTCGGATGCAAATTGGAATTTGCTTGGCTTTGGTTCTCTACCCAGACAGTTCGATAAGAAAATCATCGCAAAGCTGAAGATTCGAGACCGCCCCACCTCCGAAAAGCTATTCCAGGTTCTTGAATCGAATCCGCCAGAGAACCCAGAGACTGCAGAGAAGTGGTTCAAGTTCCTTGCTGAGAAAGGAGGCGAGCAGTTTTGTGACACTGGAGCTATTTATTTATGCTGATAAGATGTTCAGTTTTCTCAGCAGGAGAATTTGAAAGGATCGCAGACCTCAAGGTCGTTCCTGTAGAGGTGTCTTGCGAGCAACCACAATCCAACGGCGTCTCCTATGAACATGTGTCGCCTCGCGAGTGCTTTCTGAAGTCGGAATCATACCCTGAGGACCATTTTTACCAGCGGCTATTCAAGTTTGTCGACTTTGGGCGTAGCGCCAACGCTTTCTTGAAAGCATGCGGTGTCAAGGAACGCCCAGAATGCATTGACGTCCTCAAAGCCCTCCTGAAATGTCCAAAATTATTCCTCAAGATGGCCGGGGACCATGAAAGGTACGTATCGTTTTTGGAACTTTAATTCATAGTGCTAACATGCTGTAGATACTTGACCGAGCTGCGTCTGATTGCGGTAGGTCACAAGTCTCTTCCTCGAAAGATCCACGAAGAAATGCGCAATGCCTCCATTTTCTTGGGATATCGACGAGGCAAGAGCAATGATGGGTATAGCCAAGAGGCAGACATGTTTGAACTTTGCAAGGCCGAAGAAGTATTGGTCGCCGACGATATGGAAAGCCGTCGCACCTTTGGCGATTGTATTTACATCGCTCCCCAGGAGGAGCTGCTAGAAAGTCAGTTCTTCCATTCTTTTTGGAACCCTCTCACATATCCCGAGCAGAGTTCTACTCGGAAATGCACGTCAAGTCGTTGAGCTCTTGCATAAAATACACCGTAGATCCGGACAAGGAGCTGCTGCACGCATCAAGGGCTCAGGCCCTTCGATCTTCTATCATCGACAAGATACCTATCTTCCTCCACGAGTTCGACAAACAGCGCTTTAGAAAGGGGATGCGCCTTCTACGGTGGCATGACGAGACTCAATTCTTTGTACGAGCTTGTCGAAAACTTGATGTTACGAAGAGATTGGATTTCGTACATGCGACCGGATCTCGGGAACGGGAGGCGCACCCCACCGAACTCTCTGCTGAGACCCAAATCAAAGATGGCGTAAATGTGCTGTGGATCAAGGAGCCGAAGGCTGACAGTTATGAGTATGTGGTGCTCTGTTCCGCTCAAGATGCATGCTCATCCGTTTTAGTATCGCAGCAGCTTTGTGCCGTCTGCTTTTTTCTACGTATAAAAAGAACGATGTGCTGTCGCTTATGACTATCTTAGACACAGACATCAACGTCCTGAGGCGCCGTGGTTACGATGGTGAGGGCTGTCGTCGTGATCTAGCTATAGGACGCGGTGCTGATCGCATGTTTAGTCGACAGAATCCTCTCGGAGTATCATGAGAATCTTGAGAAGGCTGAAAATGGTAGGTTTACGATTACCTTTCATGCCAGGGGAGATGCTCAATGAAAGCAGGAGGTGATATTACCAATGGGACGCCACCTGTTCGAGCACAATCTCCAGCCCCCCCTCCGGGAGAGGAACCAACCAGTTCTAAACCGGTGGTCCTGAGCAAATTCACGAAGTGGCTGCATTGGCTCCGCAAAGACCCCAAGTTGGGTGAGATCAAGCTCAGTGAAATAGGTCAAGTTTATTTTCCGCGATGAAGATATGCGCTGAACATTGATGTTCAGAAAACTCCATCGAGAAGGTGAAGAATGTCATGAACGAAGAAGGTGGCAAGGACGACAAGCACATCAGTAATAGGGAGCAAGTTGGCGGAGGAAAAAAGCAGAAAAATGTCGGTTACTGCGATGAAAAGAAGGTTTCGGAGACAGACCTCGAAGAATGCGGTACGTTGTCCGTCTTGAAGTCAGGCAGCCTATGATTGAATCGACGAAGAGGACCAGCACGTCGGGCAGGTCAAAGTCTGGAAGAGAAGTGAGTTGAAATGCCTCTCGTTTGTGGCTCTCAGACTGATGCGTTTGTTTTAGAGGGGACAGCCTTGGGCGTTCCCTCAAAGGAACGCGAAGCCTTTGGGAAGATTATCAGTGACCTCGCAAAAGTCTTTGGAATCAACCAGACCCGATGTCACGTATTTTTTCATGGCGAGGACTCACATCTGATGGGTTTTAACCGCAATGATCAGATATTCTTCGGCCTGGAACACTATATACAGAACCGTGCGTGACCTTAGTGATTAATCCTTTCATTGCCAACGCTCATGCATGCCTAATACTTAGATAAGGATGCTGCTGTTGGCAAGGCCTACATCGATTGGCAAGTACTCGCCCCAAACCCGATCATCAATATTTATTGATTTCCCGCAGGTACTATATCATGGCGCACGAGATGGCACACGTGCACACCCCATACCACGACGAGCATCATGAACTCTTGTTTCAAGCGCTGACGACAAAATATTTGACTGAGCTCCATAATTTGCCAGCTGTGCGCGAGTTGTTCAAATGCGCTTCCTATTGATTATTTTGCTGTTTTGCTAGGGGGGATTCTGGACGGTAATTATTGGTCCCTCTTAGTACTTGGTTGTTGCTTTCTGTCGCTTTCTGCTGTTGTATTCATTGTCTTATTCTTAGTGAGTGCTATCTGTACATTTACCTATACCACCCTCGGGCACCCATGCATGCGATACACAAACAATCAAATCTATCAGGGGCCTTACCGTAACGAGTTATGGCTCCTGAATCTTCTCCCCCGAGGAAGCTTCAACTCCAGCGCAATCTGAAAAACCAACATTGAAGCACAAATTAGAGGGACATGAGAAAACTACGTGGAGTTTTGTCTTCTTGAACGACAGCGTCCACATCGTGAGTGGTTCACTGGATGGCATGATGCGCAAGTGGGACTGCGACAAAGGATTTCTCGTCAGGGAACCATGGAAGGGCGAAGTGGGATGAATATGGGCACTGGCGTTATCAACGGACGGTAAGACAATTGCATGCGGGAGGGAGAACGGAAGCGTGCAGCGGTGGGACGTGGATGAAAGGATAATTGAAGGTGCTTGGACGGGTGAGAGGGTGTGGTGGCTCTCGTGGTCACCCAGCGGAGAACATATTGCCCAGATCATATAAAGGTTGTACATGTCCTCATTCGAAATGCAAATAGCGGAGAAGTCGAGTTGCAACTTGGGCCCAACACAGACGAAGCACGGCTAGGTGAATATTCCTGCATATTCAGAATTACATCAGGCGGGTACAAGATTTGCATTTGGGACGCAAAGACAGGCAAGCTCGTCGTTGGCCCCATCCAACAACAGAGTTGGTCTGTGTGTGAGGTCATTAGGGCTGCTCAATTCTAAAAGTTCGCGTTCAGTTGGGATCCGAGCACCACTAACCGTCGCCAAACCTTGTCCTAAACAGGACTTGTACCTAAACCTTACGGTGCGTAGCGCCAACACTTGGTGTAGTAAATTATCTGCAAGCAGTCTGAAAGTACATCCTAAACCTCAGCAAGACTCCTAAACGTCGTCATTCCTAACCCTCAGCAGACCTGACCCTTATCTCAGCCTTGTTAAGTAGCAATGTACAATCAAGTGCCCATTTTTGAGTGAGAAATGATTATATTATATTCACGAACATACTACATATGATGTACTCTATGAAAAGAGTTAGAAAAAGGTTTAGGAATGTCAGGGTTAGGCCTGACGAGGGTTAGAAATGTAAATGACAAGGTTTAGTGAGGTTTGGGATGTGCTTTAAGACTGCTTGTATACACCAAGTGTTGGCGCTGCGCGCCGTAAGGTTTAGGTACAAGTCCTGTTTAGGACAAGGTTTGGTGACGCTTAGCGGTGCTTGAATCCAAGTGAACTCGAACTTTTAGAATTGAGCAGCCCTATTGGTGTGGTCGTTCAGAACGTTCAACGAAGTTCAGATCTGTCGCGGTGGTATCGTGTAACACGTGACAGCACACGTGAGTGTTCGTTGAGGTAGGCGTCTCCCCTAGGCAGAGCCGATAGAACCATCATTTCAAGTCCTTCCAAGGTTGATCGTTCAACTTTCATTCTTTCATCGAGTTATTGTATATTAATACCTGAGCTGTACATGAAAACCGTCACATATTACGTGTCATCATCATCGAGGAGGACGAATTTCGCTCGCGCTGGGCCTGACAAGCGATGGTCAATGATGGGTCTTCCCGAGGTCAATGTCCAGGTATGCACAAGTATGCACAACTTTGCATCCGAGGCACTTCACATCCAAATGATGTCTTTTCAATGACAAAATTTTATAGGACTACTACCAGCGACTCATCGATCGTCATTTGATACCCGGCTCACAAACAAGCCAAGATCCTAGCCCGATTTCCCTGCGTCCTCGTTGCCCAATCTGCTCGCACCGTCTGATGGCGTGCAGTAGTTGTTCTGTCGTCACCTGCGGTGCTAATCCTCGATGTGCGGGTGGTGACCTCGTCCCCATGTTGTCCTGTTGCTCCTACGATAAAATGATGTTCTGCACGGACTGCGTCACGGAGAACTACTCAGGTTTACTTAGCGAGTGTGTACTCTGCGAAGCCAACTATTGCTCAAGGCTCATGACGAAGTGCGTGGGCCCCTCCCCTTCCATCAATTTGTCCGAGAACATGCTCGCAGATTTATCTCGTGTCCTCCTTTTCCAACAGATTCACTACTGCCGTATGGAAGAAGTGTGATGAGCGCAGCTGGGAGCCTCACGAGCACGATGACCAAGGCGTTTGTCTTCATTGCATTGAATCCATTCACGGTCATGTAGCTTGTCCTTGCGGACGGACGTGGGTTTGTGGCGTATGTGCTCAGAAGAAGGAACAGAAGAGTGGCCGACGCTGTCCGAGATGTCAAACGTTTTATTGCTTCTATTGGTGCGAGTACATGAACATTTGCGCCATGTGTCAAAAGGCGACGCTATGCAGCGATTGCATGGAAGAAGATATGTCCGGCGAGGAAGGGTCTTCGCTGACCACGCACGAGGAAGGATCTTCACGGGCAAACAAGGGTGTAGTTCTTGTGGAGACGTGCGAAAAATGCCGGCTCGGCATCTGCTCGGACTGCGCTACAGAATATGTTTTTGACTTAACTTGTGGAGCCTGTGAAAATATTCATTGCCAGGATTGCGGGGGCGATGAGCGGTGTACGGGTTGTGGGGTCCCATTGTGCCTGAATTGCATAGAGACGAACTCCCAGTGTCCGTGCGGCACGGAGATTCAGGATAGTGAGGTATGTCGCTTTTTAAACAACGGATATTGCTCTCCAATGACATATTTTAGGATGAATCCTCTTCAGAGAGCTCAGACTAAAACATCTTTAACGAGCCCAGTGACGCACTACTTCATACTTAGTAAGTAGGACTATATCAAACGCAAGGCTTGGGCTTGAAGCTTGATCATGAGCCCGTCTACGAGTGGCGTCGAATATACGTGTCGTTGTGCTTGGCTTGGGTTTGAGTTCATGCTACAAGTTCCTCGACAAAATATGTTTCCCTCGTGGACACAACTAAGTACGAGGATTCTCAGTGCGGGGGTGTCGGCTGGACTTCATGCATTTGCATACGTCCTTACGCACAGATGGCGCTGTGCTGTCTGCAGCATCCGAGGTACGTGTGGTTTCGCCCCGAGCTTTCACCTTCTACTCAGCAATTATCCTGTGTAGATTATTCTCGCTCAGACAGATTGCGACCAATCAATACATTGTCTTCCCAAGAAATCAGGTGAACATGATGCAAGATGGCGCTCTTGCCCAGATTGCATCTATGCACAGTATCGTCGAGATCGCTCAGCAAACTCAGGAGTGCGCCCGTTTCACAGGGATTGCTCGGAGACAGAGCTCTTGTGAGTCGTCCAGCTATCGCACTTCGCACATTGAAAATCTTATACAATTATCATAGGGAAGTAAGTGGTCAGATCGCTTCCGATCAAGGAGAATGGCCCATACATTCGCGATCTTCCCAATGACAATATCCAAAATTCTGAAGGGAGATACGCGATCCGTAAATTGTCTAGAGTATTGAGCTCCGTCTGGGCATTCTGGGCGGCGGATGCCATATCATGTATCCTCCCGAGTAGCTTCACGAGTTCTGACGCCTCCGAGATGGGCACGAAGCTGAGCGACGGCTGTCAGCACCTACCTCGATAATCGGTGTCGATGAAGCACCTTCATGACCGGCATTCGGCAGAACAGCATCGCTTTTTGTACGATCTCAACCCATGAGCCACGTACCGAGTCTTCATCATTATAGATCAGTCTGAGCGAAGTAGGGTGTGATAAGTAGTTGGAGAAAGGGTGGGTCCCATGTCGTTTAAACGAGAACAGGCCACACCCTTGACCACAAATCGCGAGGCAAGATTTGCCGCAGTGTTGACTCCAAGAATGATTCTGGGGGCACCGGCGCCACGAAGAGATCAGTGACGCAGACAGGCAGGCAAGTATATAATAGAGTTTGGCCTTGGGACGTTGGGCATTCCCCGTACAAGTTGAAGTTAACCGCAAGTTAGCCTCCTCTAGACAGACCATAGACGAATGAAGATAGCTGCCCTTCTATACTAAGTATGGTGAAACATGGGTTGAGACTCACCCCCAGTAGAAGTCGACTGTTCCCAGAATGGCTGAGGTTGCTTGAAATAGTCTGAACTAAGCGACACAATCTCGAGAGAAAAATGAGACTAATAGCACATGTGCAAATGTGTGTGATTGTGCGTGATTGTCGCAGATTGTTTAGATGCAATATTTGCATGTCACCCTATATTGTGCCAGATCTGCTGGTATTGCTTGACTGCAATGCTCGTTGCGTCACTCTAGATTGTGCCAGATCTGCTGGTATTGTGTGGTATATACATTATTACAGGTAGACGCCGGATATAATAAAACTCGATGCATCCCACCACCGTCCGTTCTAGCCCGCGCTCGTTCCTGCCACCGTCCGTTCTACCCCGTGCTCGTTCTAGGTCGTAAGAAGTCGGAAGGAGAGTGGTGTCGCTAACGGAGCCATTCGCCAGCTGCAACCTAGTAGAAAGAGTACTTGTCAGTAGGTGCAACATGTTCTAGTCGTAGTCGCTACATACCTTCTTGGCAGCGAGCTCGTCGTATGACTGATTAAAGATGTTAGTCCAACCCGAGGACAAACGATACAAAAGACGCACTTTTTTCTGCACTTCCGACAGTCCATCGTAGTAGGTCTTGAACTCGGCTGCTGATCCAGTCTTGTTGCGAGCGAGCCATTCACGTGCGCATAGGTTACTGTCATGGAGTATGTGAATATGTACAATGGAAAGGAACACCGCTGACGCAGACATACCGTCCATTCTGTGCTTTCCCGATCTGCATCTTCCTTGACTTCTTTGCTTGCGCACTAGGATGAGGTTTGCTGGTAGCGGAGGCATCTAACACTAGTAGAGGTACCGTGGTTGCTGTTGGAAGGATATTTAAGGTGAGCTCGTTGTCCAGTTATGTGGTGGTACTTACTACTAGTTGGTACCAGGTCGGCGACAACAGCCATTGGTGGATTGGTGTCAGGTACTATGTCAGAGTGATCCAGGGAGCGTTCTGGGGTCAGTGCAATGGAAGGTGTGTGTTCACCGGTCGGCTGTGTGGATATTGGTTCCTCCGCTGGGGCTGTAGACGGAGTCAGGATATCTTCAGAGGGGGAGGGTGGAATCAAGGGCAGTTGATCCGCACTAGCAGTCAGTTCAAGAGTGGTACTAATATCGGTGAGTATTTTTGAATAACGGAATGTAACAAGTAGACTTACAGCAGGTTTGCGAATTTGAGTGGCCGTGCACGAAACTACAAACAATGAGCTGAGGATGACATGACAGTACAAAGAAAGGTGTATACTTTGGCGGGGGGCCTGGATGCACACGTCTTGTTCACGTTGTCAGAATGGCCAAGGTCAGTGGGCTGTGACTCGTCTGAGTCTGGTAGCGGTGGCATTGGCATTGGTGTTGGTGATGGTGATGGCAATGGCAATTTGTGTTCAGGGACTGATATTTCCGATGGCTTCCGCTTCTTGCTCGAAGTTGATGCGATGCTAGGTGGGTCAGAGTCATGGGTCCGTTTTTTGGGCTTCACATTGCCAGTGGCACCATCGGTATTGTCAGAGTCCAGCGTCTCGAGATTATCGAAGTCGAGGACATCTTCTGCCGTTGGCTTGTAAGTCCCTTCACGAACCAAGCGGCTGATATGATTCTTGTGCCAAGAGGTATAGCTAGCAGTCGCGATGGCGTCGCATTTCCAGTTACCGTCACAGTAGCCAAGCTCAGGGAAGAATGTCACCATTTCTCGGTAGTACAGCTTACTGGCAGACCCCGATGCAGCTCCCCAGCTTTTGGGCGCCTCCTTGATGTTCCAGATGTCCACGAACACCCGTCGGGATGTGGTACGGATTGTCGTGACATGCTCCAAGGGAATAGGCTTGTTATTCTTGTCGACAATGTAGCGCAGTGGATGCAACTTTTCAAGCTGCGTCGATGGTTTCTCCTGGCACTTCTTCCAGTCTTCCTTTGTCCATATGAACTCGCTGGGAAAGTCAGCACAATTGTAGGACGGGACTGCGATTTCCTTCGCCTTTAGCATCACAGGCAGACTCTGAGGGGAGAGGGTACTGAGGCTGGCAGGGTCTAGAGTTAGTGAGAGAGATTCCGCAAGCTTATTATAAGCGGCCCTATGAAAACAATAGTTAGAAACCCGAGAAAGCCAGTGATACAACTGAAAGACGTGCTGGTGTAAATCTCGCTCACGTGCCAGCATTTGTTTGTCCATCTGCAGCTGTAAAATATCGTTCTGTAGGAATTTAATCTGCACATTAAGACGCGTATATGCGCTGAAAGTTAGTACATTTATTTCAAAAAAAATCACTCAGTGAGGCTTTAACCTGCTCTTCAAGGCGCATATATGCGCTCAAAAGTCCATTTGCTCCCTAATAATAGCATGTTAGTTGTTAATAGTAGCCAGTTTGTATCAAAGACACAACTTACCATAGTCTCAAGACCTTGTTGTGGCGCGTTATCGGGTCTCTGTTGAAAAAGATCCATGGGGGGAGAATGCGACAGCCCTAGCCCACTTGATTCAGGGGATGGAGACATCATATCCCGCTGGCCACAAAGAGGAGGTAAACTACCTGGGATATTAGGGTATGGTGTTCCATAATCATCAGACGGTGTAAAGCTATTATACTGGGGAAAAGAATAAGACATGGTTGTGGTGGTATAAGAGAAATATGTTAAACGCACTCAAAAACGCGCTCACATGATCATGCAGTGCTATTATGCCTCCGCTGGAAAGTTCTGAAGTCTGGGGATATTTCGTCAAGTCCTCGATGTTGGTATCGTTAACTTAACTCTATTTATCGCTAACTTAACTCCGGCATTATGGCAGATAGCATCAGACTCGAGTTACCGGCCCACATCCAGGACTTCAAATTTACCTTTGAAAAAACACGACCAGGATGGGTTGTGAGCATGTTTACTAGTTATATTTACTACTGTGAGAGCACGTTCTATAAGTGAATAACTGATTCTTCTGTATAGACTGTCGAAATTGCTCTTCGAGGATCTCTGAAACGGCCTAGGTCAACGGAAACGCAGAAGCCGGCAATTGTTAACCGCTGGCTAGAGGCCCAGAAGGTGGTGAGTTCTTCTAGATGTATTCAGTGGCATCCTAGTATCAAGTATCTACTGCCCAGCAACTTGCAAATACTGAAGCATTAGTAGTTGAAGCCATATCAAAGGAAAACATTACTGTTGGACACCATGTAAGTTTTCCCCAAGTTTTACTCGTTCGTTTTGCAGGATATAACATTTTGTTGAAGGAACACACTGCGGAAGCCGTGACTACTATGACAAGTGCACCACTGGTCGACAACAGTGAGACTGAACCGGAGTCTGACATACCTGAGTCTCCAGAGCCTGCAACACCAGCCGAATTCACCCGCTGGTACAATGCGGTATTTACAGGATTCTTTTCTACGTCCTATCCACCATTTGCTGACTTGTTCGGCCTCAGAAAAAACAAGAAGATCCGGCATTTGATGAAAACTTAGCATAAGATAGACTCAAGTTCAATTCCCCCCTTGCATCGCCACTCTTACTGTACTCTCACTGGTATATTTCTTGTCATGTAGCATTGATATTGCAATGCAGTTCTTGAAACATATCAATAGAACTACTAAATGTGCGTGCGCAGAAGGGAAATGAAGTGTTTTGTAAGATGTGACAAATTTTTCGTAAGAGGATTCATGCATCGAAGAGTTAGAGGTAGAGGTAGCGTCTTCGCCAGAGAAAGTGTACAAGGAAGAAGAAGAAGTTGCAGGGAAAGAGCTGGGTGAGGCCAGCAGAAGTATCTATTCATCCTCATCGGCGTCGTCTCCCATCTCCTCATCAACAGGCACCAAACCAAGCCCAGGCTTCTCAACCAGAAAAAAGCGATCCTCTACCAATCCTGATGGGAGTTGGGGACGATGAGGTACCATAGCGACTACAGAATGTATTGATTTCACACTGACTAGCTGCAGTGCCTCGTTGCCATGATATGTGCACGACCAAACGGTCTGTGCTGACTTCTGCAGTAGTTCTGGGTCTGGGCGAGAATAGACAGAGACCATTGCAACTGTGACAAAGCGGTAAATTTGATTGTCAAGGTACTCGAACTCCTCGTCATTGTCGTCCTCATTGATGTCGTCTGCATGGACCATAATGGCCAGCTGTGCAAAGTATAAAACTTCCGCAATTTCGCTCTTGTTATTGATGGAGACCTAAATTTACAATTAGTTTCTGCTGAATAGTGTGAGCGAGGACGATCACCTTTACATTGCGTGACATGCGGACATTCTCTGCAAGCTTGAGTTTTTCCTTCCATGCACAGTGAGCGATCTGCCCATTGGGAAGTCGCAATCTTGCCCAGCGCTTGAACTTTGGAATGGGCCCATCAAGGAATTCATGAATCAATCGTGTCTCAGTCTCACCTGGACGATAATTGTATCTGTCACGAGCCCTGAGGAGAACATAACCACCCCTGAGATCGACAGAATAACTAGGAAGTGGATTGTCGGGTGGTTCTAAGTCCGGAATCATAACTTTAAGTGCATTGATCTGGCAGCGGCGAATGGCAAGGAAGGTGAGATTCGAAAATGGATTGGAAGGTTGCCGAATTTCCATCCTGAGCATACCAATGACGCGTTCCATAGTCCACTGTGCATAACACACAGACGGACCAGATCAAAAGCCTTCGGCTGCTAAATGATTGCCCTGGTGTGCACATGGCCGGACAAAATGAATCCTGTCAGCTCGACGCTGATAATATATACACTCGAACTCATACTCCCACTCGCAAAAGTACCTGTGAGCTGTTTGAATGTCATCAAACATAAGACTATGCTGACTCATGATTCGGACACCTCGAACGAACTTGCAGTAATTTTGCCAGTACTTGTCGGGCAAGATACCATAGAGAAGACCTGGACCAAGGCCCCACAGCCACAGGATAAACTCCCAGGCTTTGTAGTAAGTATTAATCTTCTCGGTGGGATTACGAGGGGGCCGATCGAATGAGCCAGGGAGATATTGCGCACATGCAGCTACAGTGGCACCGTGATCCGTCCAAATGGCTTTGTCGCGGAACACTGCCCAGTCCCACGACTCCTTATCATCTGAGGCATCGCACTTCATCATGCCACGCCACAAATCGGTGAAGAGGGAACCCATATTGGAACCCTCAAAGTGCATGATATCAGGGGTAAAGCATTCCGGAATACCGAACATGCGGTTGGGCAAGAGGCCAAGCAATATGCTTGGCCTGACGATACCTGTTTCAAGACGCTGTTGAATGTACTGGGCCATGGTTGTAGCCGATACGACACGGTAAAGGTTGTCGATGTAGTCGGAGCATGGCGATAATGACAGTTTGTTGATGTCAATATCATCGTGGTCGCATCCGGAAACAGTGTAGTCGAGAGGCTTCAGCAGTACGGGATAATATTGTGGCTGCCTGTGCTTGTGACGTCCTTTGAGACCACAATACATTCTACACCCGTTCTTCCCAGTATGCCCAACCATTGAGCTCAAACAAAGTAAGCCAGGGCCATCTGCGGTTCCAAATGCGAAAAAAAGATTCGAGGTAAAGACTTCATCTGTTGATGCATCCCATATACGAAGCCCTTCCTTCTGCAGGCCAACAAGATGGTGTAGACCAGGAAAAAGAAATGATTCGATGAATTTTGGCTTCTTAGGACCAGGTATGATTCCGCCCGGGAGAATATACTTCTTCTTGTAGCGTAGGTCAGGGGAAATATTGACGAGGATCCATATATATATCCAACAATCCGACTCCTTGCTCTCGTAGAGTTGGGCCCCATCGATGGATAACATAAGAACAATATCGCCCTCCTCAATTTTCCCGTCGTGAACAGCTTTCAAATATTCCGTACCAGTGATGATGTCATCATAGGCGGAAAGCTTGCCATCGCCAAGTTCAAGTTTTTCGAGGATATTTCTGGTGCATTCGTCATGATAGCGCATGTTAGCTGCTCCACTAGGGTCTCGGTAGAGCGTCTGGAGTTGCGGACCGAGGGGGATAGTGTGAAACACTTTGATGGGTGACTTGACTTTGCCGTTAGAGGCATCAAACTTGATCTGATCATAGCGGTGCAAATTGCAGGTAGGACAATGGTCAAGGAGTGCGTATTCTCCCGTGAAAGCTGTGCAGCCCTCTACACACATGTCGTCCACGATAGACTCGATCCCACTCATCTGCGCGACAATGCACTTGACTTCATAGTAGGACGGGAATGCTGTATCTGGATAACATCGCAGGACGGCTTTGCGGACATTACCATAAGCCTCCACTGCAGAGTGTTCCAGTGCAAGGTAGGTGTCGATAGCTAAACGAAGATGGGGATCTTCAATTTTGAGTTGAAGCTGAGGAGGGTTTCGGAGACGTTCCAAGGCATCGGGATCTAATGGTGAAAGGTCATCATCTAAAGTTGAGTGTCGAAGGGCTTGAATGAATGAGATGGATCGTAGTATGTCTTCATGACCGCCGACATTGGCCAGACGTTGGATTTCATCAAGGTCGATATCTTCTATTGTGCGCCAGTCCTCGTGAGCAGCAGGAAGGTTTGGTTCAGGTGCGGGCTGGTCCTCATCACCAGGGTGAGGCTCTGGTGGAGGTATAGGTGGGTCTTCATGTTGGAGGGGATCAGGTAGTGCAGGTGCGGCAGGCTGGTTCTCGTAACCAGCAGGAGGGTCTGGAATATCATCTGCATAGTCACCCTGCCAATAGAGGTCATTGTTGTTATATAACTGTATGGGAGACTCTCGATAAATTAAATGTGCTTGGTAGGTAATTGAAATAAATGACTTTACCTCGTCTTCCGGTGCGCTCTGATCAAGATCCATGCCCATAGCATCCCTTTGAATCGACTGAGATTGCTCTCTTGTTGGCTCGACTGACATATCTTTACACCAATTAGCACAATAGTATACTAGACATAAGTTCTTAGTTTACCCGTACCACTGGTGCCAGCAGAGGCGCTTGATGAAGCAATTGGAGCAACGCTAGTGATAGTAGCTGCGGTGTTGTGTGCTGGAGAGACTAATAGTGCCTGAAGCTCTGCGGTTCGCGTACTTGCGCCATCGTCTTGTGCTTTTAAATGGTAATATTGGGCTTTCGAGACAGTCTGCAGGCGGCCTTTGCGCATAACTTGATACTCTTTTGCTGGTGGCATAGTAGTGGGTGTGAATGTTGTAGGGCAGCGGCACACTGTTATGTGCTGGATGCAAGACGCAAGGTGCAAGATGCAGTAGATTTCGCACAATCCCAGACTATTATTGCAGGCTGTTGCATGCTGGATGCAACATGCAGTGACGACAACAGCAGATAATCGATTTCGCACAAATTCAGACAGGTGCTATTATTAGTACTAACTTTGCCAGCCATTCTCACACAATCTCAGCCTTGTCTCAAAATTCCGCACAACCTCGCACAATCTCAGCCATTCTGGGAACAGTTGACTTCTACTGGGACTCACCACCGACTATGGCAAACTCTCCCGATGCGGGTAGATAATTGCCATTGGCATCACAAGGGTCACCTGGATTATAGTGTCAGACTTGCACGTCTCAACATAGTTAACATACCTCGTAAATGGGGGTGAGTGATGATATTGGGCTGGCGAGGCTGATGCTCTGGATTGATCGGTTCAAAATCGGCGAAACCTGCTTCAAAACCGTCATCGGCAAACAATTCTTCAGGTGGTGATCCCTGATCTGATGCTTCTTCAGGTGGTGATCCCTGATCTGACGCTTCTTCAGGTGGCGATCCCTGATCTGATGCGGCGTTGGCTGACAATATGGTCCCATGCACAGTGCGAATGTGTTTCGTGCGCCCCCGTTGTCCCTGAAAAGTGCGTGGACAGCCAGGATACGTGCATGGTAGACGATTGAGCATTTCCTGGGAGTCTTCAGAGCGGACGAAATAGGAAGAACATAAGTTTAAAAAGGCTGCGCACAGACCATTTTGAATTTGTATGAAACAGACCACAACAAATTTTTCACGGAAAACTCAGAAACACATTGCCAGAAAAACCGCAATCACCACCACAATCATGACTCGCCCCGTGCGCAACAATGCTAACAGGCATCCTGCTCAGATCCTGAAGGATGCTGCCCCCTGCATCGCACTTCGGCTCAAAAGCAGGCAGATGACGCAAAAGCTGCAGCAAAAAAAGCCGAAATGAAAGAGAAGGCATCGGAGATTCGTCAAGAAGGTGTACGTAAAATCGCCGCCATGGAAGACTCACTAAGAAGACAGGATCATGCTTATGGCACAAATGTATCAAGAGGAATGCCCGAGAAAAAAATGATCCAGGGTGAGCGCGAACCCTACACAGATAATCCAAAGGTTAACATCACCATCAGAGGAAGAAGACGAAGACGAAGACACTGATGGCAACTTGGAGTATGAATTGTCGAGCGCACACTCTGAAAGTGCTAGTTCCAAGTTTGCCAGTGATGATCAAAGCGTTCAAAGTGCCGGTTCAGAATCAGAAGCTCGCAGAAAGTCTCATAAAGCGAAATCACCCAAGAAAAAGGGGAATAAGGTCACTTGTGACGGCAATATTAGATTGATGAAGGTGTTTACAAATTGCGGGTGTAGACAAAAGACAGGGCGTTAAGGCAGGAAGTGGTGTCTAATAGAAAGACTGTTGCAAGTGCTGGCACTTTAGCAAGAAAGCGTAAGAACGAGAATGTTAACAGTGAAATAGATGTCGATGCCAGTGAACGGTACGCCAAGATTTTATGTCGAGACATATGCTGATTGTTTCCACAGGGTACCGCAATCTAAGCGTGCGAAGGGCACTCAGTCGGCCAGTAATTTAAATCCAGACTGGCGGAAAACAGTTGGACTGCTAGTGAAGGGATCAGCAAGCAGGAAATCACTCGACACAGACAAAGTTGAGACAAGCCTTATTCCAGAGGTGGAGCGATCTCGGCCATCTTCATGAGCATCTTCACGAGCATCAAGCCGTACTGGTAGCCTTTTGACCCCAGAGACTAGCAGTGACCTGGTGGTCGGAGAGTTTGATGTTGATGAGCCTGAGGAGATGGTGGCTGCTGCACGAGAGCACAAGAGCACTAAGGTCAAAGACACAAAGACAAGTGGATCAGTGTCAGCTATATATCGCACAACTGCAGGAGTAGGTTTTTTCACCTTGGAGTCTTCACGTTATACTGAAACACTTGATACATAGATGGGCCTCAAGATCAATAGAAAGGGTGCAGACGATGCTGTGAAGGAAGAAGTGAGAGCGGTGAAAATGTTAAAGCCGCAAAAGCCACTCCAGAAGCTCAAGCTCAAAGACCTTCCTTTGCAGGACAAAAGTGACTGTGATGTTTGGAACCGCTTGGTCTGTGCGGTGATAGACTGGGCTGGTAGTACCACCACTGACCCTTTTGGCACGAATGAGCATCCTGATTTGTCACCGAAATTGCAAGAACTTTGGAACATATTTTTCCACCATAATGCACTGGACATCAATGAGCACCCCGCTATCAAAAAATTAGTAAGTCCATTAACACTACTCTTCTTATTTATTGACTCAGCATGTAATGTTCTTATACAGGCAACCAATCGTCTGAATGAATGGCGCAGCACCTTTGGAAAGGACGCTCTCAAGATTCTCAAATGCCAATTCAAATGTCCCGAGTTTTGCCACGATGTTGATGCCCATATCAAATTTGTTCATGACTACTTGCCACGCAAAGTCAACAACCAAAAACGTGTGCCCTTCGTTTTTGCAGATATTGAGGTTGGTCTGCACTCCCTTAATAATTATCTCTGATTGTGTTAAGCCGTTGTAGGGAGTATCCCTATGCTAGGCTCGTATCCACCACTTTTCCGATGCATCAGGCATCCATCCGACGTCCATCCGACACCTATCCATTCCATCCGATACCCATCCGCTTTTCGGATGACATGCGGATACCTTCGGATCTCCCCCTATAGCTCGCGCATCCGACGCATCCGTCCTGTCCACGTCCATTCTACCTCATTGGTACGTACTCACACGCATTTTCTTGTTACTGACTGAACACAGACATATCCTCTCACACTCCAGTATTTTTCGGATAGCTTATGGCACAGTCTAGACTCGCTACCTATATATCTATGTTCCTTGAACATACTGTACCCTATAAGCATGGAGGTTTTCGAAAGATACTTACTGGATGTAACTTCCTCCCACTTTTCCTGCACCTTACCAGAAGGTCGCTTTGACTTATACCCACTATCCATCCAACCTTTAATGAACTTCCTTTGACCTTGATTCGCATCCTGTCCGATCCGCAAGTGCCATCCGCTCCATCCGACGAATCCATACGTTTCGCATCCTATCCGTTTCATCCGCTTTTGCGGATCCTTCATCCTATAGGGTTGCTTTAGACAGAGACTAGTGTTTCCCCAGTAGCAATCCCCTTAAGGGTCGAATGCACTTGTTCCCAAGTGAGGAAGCAGGCAGCAAAGACCCAACTGTGTAGTAGATTGACTTCACTCCGCTGCACTTGTTGTACCCACACCGGTCGTTTCATTCCAACTGTGGAGCCAGACTCGATTGATCTTGCGTGAGTATCGTGCAATCCTGTATGAGGATGTTTCTGATTGGTTACCTCGTAGCAATGTTCATGTTTCTAGTAAGTGGTGGACTCGCAATTCACTATTGTTTGTCCATTGACGCCATGTCGTGCAGAATGGAATGAGGAACTCCTTTACGTTGGAGGTTTTTTGGCGAGAATGGTCTATGACTCTGAGATGAGCAAAGTATGCGATGTGTGGTCGAAGTTGGGCAAGACAGATGCGGAAGTGCTGGGATTGTACACGATGAAGTCCTTCATGTTTCATCCTACCACACCTGATCCGAAGGTGTCCCATATGATCAAGAATGTGTTCTTTGTTTGTTCGAAAACAGACGAATTCCTGTTTATCTCGGATCAAGGCATTTGGCCCACGAAAAACATCTGTCACTCCCATAAGGACTTTGATCTCTTCATGAGAACCCCAGTGGTTCCAGTGGATCTGCGTCCTTTATTAAAATCCACGGAGTTTCCTGGTCATCTCCGAGTCGGGCCGTACACGCTCACAGACATTGTGAAAGAATTGAAATCTCGGTCGTTGCCTGACGTTAAAATGGTTGCTTTCTTGTGTTGGTGGAGCACCTCATTTGGAAGCCTGGATATCTCGCATGAACAGCGGACAATGTGGTGCAACAAATTCCTCAGAGTAGGCAGAACACATTGGCAGGGGAAGGAGATCAAATTTAGCTCCATCAGTAAATTTATTGATGAACCAATGCTGGCCGTTCGCTGTCAAGATGACCCTCTCCCAGAAGACACAATTCCCCCAGCCCTTATTCAAGGCCTGGATCTCTCGAAGATTTCAGACACTTTTGGATGGAAAAAGATGACAATTGCACATTGGCTTCGACACCTTATGGATGGGACACCAGATCCGGCACACGACATCACGAAAGCGCCAACATTTGCGCAACACGTCCTCAGTGTTCTCAGTAACCTTTGGGACACACTCCAAGACAAAGAAAGTCATTCCGAAGTTCGAGAGATTTTGAAGGATGTTGCTTGCATACCTATGACTATCTCGAATGTACCTTCCATGAAGCGGCCCCGGGATACGTACTTCCCTTATGCCGACATTTTTCATGACCTTCCCATCGTTAAACAAGAACTTCTCGTGGAATCCCGCACAGTGCGGGTGTTGCAGTATTCGGGAGTGCAGAAACGGTGCGACATCGACTCACTCATAACACAGTCAGTCACTAGGGATATGACCTTACCATCTTTGCTAAGACCCCTCACAGATTGAACAGTGATGATAGATGGAATGTCATGGACCTAGCGAGATACATTAGAACATCTCCCCAGGAAGATGTGACTCATGTGATGGATATGAAATTCTTCCCTTGCAGTAATGGTGAAAGACATCATATCAAAGAGATCTTTGCATCTACAGAGATCAACCGGGCACTCAGATTGCCTGTAGTCAAATGTGACTCCTGGAATTCAAACAGTGAGGAAGGTATGTCGTGAACTATTTGATGTTTTATGTCACACTAACCAAACATCGCAAAGCACTATTCCTCACTAGACAAGGGCTGCGCGAATACCCTACAATAGAGAAACTCATCACCATCACATCATCCGAATCCAATTGTTCTGCTAGACAAGCTGCGTGGTCGTCTCTTTGTGGACCATCATATGAAACAGAGCTTGAAGAGCATTTCGATCCGTCAAGGTTCCCTTCGCACGCATTCATCCCCGGTGTCAGAGATGGACAGCCTTGTCAGTTCTTCCACCATGAGGTCTGTTAACCACTGTTTCATAAAGACACTGGGCACGCGTAGCTGATTCCATGATTTGAAAGGTATTTTCGGATGCAAATTGGGCAATTTTTGGCTTTGGCCATCTGGACGACAAGAGGATCATTGCAAAGCTGCAGATTCAAGAAGGCCCTACCGCTGAAACACTACTTCAAGTTCTTGAATCGAAGCCGCCAGGTAACCCAGAGAGAGCAAAGAAGTGGTTCAAGTTTCTTGCTGAAAAAGGTGAGCAATCAATTTTGTGATACCGGAGCTTTCATTCATGCTGATAAGATGTCCAGTTTTCTCAACAGAAACATTTGAAAAGATTGCAGACCTCAAGATTGTTCCTATAGAGGTATCGTACGAGAAGCCACAATCCAACGGCGTCTCTTATGAACATGTGCCACCCCGCGAGTGCTGTCTGGAGTCAACATCATACCCATCAGGCCACCTCTACCGGCGGTTATTCAAGTTTGTTGACTTTGGGCTCAGTGCCAATGCTTTCTTGGAATATTGTCGTGTCAAGAAAGACCCTGGATGCATTGACATTGTTGAAGGTCTCCTCAAGTGTCCACAAAAGTTCCGTGAGATGGCTGGGGACGAGGAGAGGTGCATATCGCTTTTGGAACCTTGATTCATAGTACTAACATGCTGCAGCTACTTGGCCGAGCTGCGTCTGATCGCGAAGGGTCATAAGTCACTTCCTTCAAACATCGAGGGGGAACTGCGTGATGCCCAAATTTTCTTGGGATATTGATGGGGGAAGAGCAATGATGGGCGTAGCCAAGAGGCAGACACGTTTAAACTTTGCAAGGCCGAAGAAGTATTGGTCGCGGTGTGGGTACAACAAGTGCAGCGGAGTGAAGTCAATCTACTACACAGTTGGGTCTTTGCTGCCTGCTGCCTTGCTTGGGAACAAGTGCATTCGACCCTTAAGGGGATTGCTACTGGGGAAAATACTAGTCTCTGTCTAAAGCGACCCTATAGGATGAAAGATCCGCAAAAGTGGATGAAACGGATAGGATGTGAAACATACAGATTCGTCGGATAGAGCAGATGATACTTGCGGATCGGACGGGATGCAAATCAAAATCGAAGGAAGTTCATTAAAGGTTGGATGGATAGTGGGTATAAGTCAAAGCGATCTTTTTGTAAGGTGCAGGAAAAGTGGGAGGAAGTTACATCCAGTAAGTATTTTCCGAAACCCTCCATGCTTATAGGGTACAGTATGTTCAAGGAACATAGATATATAGGTAGCGAGTCTAGACCGTGCCATAAGCTATCCGAAAAATACTGGAGTGTGAGAGGATATGTCTGTGTTCTGTCAGTAACAAGAAAATGCATGTGAGTACGTACCAATGAGATAGAATGGATGTGGACAGGACGGATGCGGCGGATGCACAAGCTATAGGGGGAGATCTGAAGGTATCCGCATGTCATCCGAAAAGCAGATGTGTATCGGATGGAATGGATAGGTGTCAGATGGACGTCGGATGGATGCCTGATGCATTGGAAAAGTGGTGGATACGAGCCTAGCGTAGGGATACTCCCTACAGCGGATGACATGGAAGACCTTTTGACTTTTGGTGATTGTATCTATATTGCTCCTTGGGAGGAGCTACTAGAAAGTAAGTTATTCCATTCTTCCTGGAACTGTCTTACATATCCCGAGCAGAGTTCTACTTGGATATGGGTGTCAAATCTTTGAGCTCTTGCATCAAACACACCGTAGATCCGGACAAGGAGATGCTGCACACATCAAGGGCTCAGGCCCTTCGATCTTCTATCATCGACAAGATACCTATCTTCCTCCACGAGTTCAATGAACAGTGCTTTAGAGAGGGGATGCGCCTTCTACACTGGCATGATGAGACTCAATTCTTTGTACAAGCTTGTTGCAAACTTGATGTCACGAAGAGATTGGATTTCATACATGCAACTGGATCTCGGGAATGGGAGGCGCACCCCACCGATCTCTCTGCTGAGATCCAAATCAAAGATGGTGTAAATGTGTTGTGGATCAAGGAGCTGAAGGCTGACAGTTACGAGTATGTGGTGCTCTGTTCCGCTCAAGATGCATGCTCATCAGTTTTAGTATTGCAGCAGCTTTGTGCTGTCTGCTTTTTTCTATGTATAAAAAGAACAATGTGATGTCGCTTGTGACCATCCTTGACACAGACATCAACATCCTGAGGCGCCGTGGTTACGATGGTGAGGCCGTTGTCATGATCTAGCTATAGGATGTGGCGCTGATCACATGTTTAGTCGACAGAATCCATCGAGACTATCTTGAAATGTGTAAGGTTAGCTAGTTGTTTTGGCCCCCAACACCTGGACTCTTTCGGGGCTCACCTCTTGGTTTAACAGATCAGGCCAGTGGAAGTCAACCAATGAGACCTCATCGATAAAGTACTCGCCCGTTACTCTCACACTTGACTGTCTGCCTTGTCTTGCTCACAGGACCAACACAGGCGGATACTACGCCTGGTAACACCGGCGATTCGGATGATCCATATAAAAATTACAATGTGAATCTCGTGGTTCGTCATGCAATGGCACTAGTACTGATGTCGATGCACAGCAGGAAATTGAACTCGTCGACGTCAGTACTCTCACACTTGACTGTTTGCCTCGTCTTGCTCACAGGACAATGATAGATAGAAACTACAAAGCCTCCACGTACTAATAACATTGCTGATGATGTGCCCAATAATGCATGCAACAATTCTGTCAAGGTGAAACTCATGATTCATCATGCAGTGGCATAGCCAGTACTGATGATTAGCACTTGTAATATTGCCAGCCGGAATCATCTAGTTCCCCCCATTTGTCCAGGTTTTGACACTTTTTAGGATTGTGCACCCCCCCCGGGCACCCCAAATGCAGGTCCTTTTTCCGTTGTGCTCGCCCAAACACACCTGTGACAACCACAGGCAACCCACCAATGCTGGATGGGAAATGCCAAGAAAGAAAGGAAGATGAGGAAATCAATCAGGATGTCATATACAATCACCTCATCATGGGCCATTCATTCGTGGATGACCAGCCCGGCACTGGCAAACAAAGAAGGATGAAGGAAAACACCGAGATGATACTCCTGCCGACGTGCACACGCTATTGCCCGATAATGCAGCATCCTCCGCCGGCCTCAACAGTAAAGGAAAGCACATGGGACGGGCAATGCGTGTTCGATGAAAGAAACCCACTGGAAATGATCCGCTCAGCACTAGCAAAGAAGACAAGGGTAAAGGAAAGCAGCAAGATGAACCTCCTACCGATGCGTGCACCTCATTGCCTGATGACCCTGCATCATCCGCTAACCTCGACAGTGAAGGAAACCTCTCAAAACAGTAAATGTGTGGTCAGCGGAAGGATTCTGCCAGGGAGGCAGATGCCTTGCGCAATCCCCTGGTGAGTTCAGCTCTATCTTCTAACACGCTTTCATTCTTACAAGAGATGAAAATAACAGGGACATGTTGTAGTTGGTGATGAAAATTCGGAAAACAAAGGTTGCTGGTACCAGTTCTTCAATGATATCTGTCACCCCTTTTGACACTAAGAGGATTCTTAGTGCAAGGACGTCTGCTGGACTTCATACGTGCTTCATTTGTATCATTCTTTCATTTTGAAACTTTTCTTTTCCGCTGGAGTTGAAGTCATCATGCTTCAACACGTTATCTTATGTTTAGCTTTGTAACTACATTCTGTCGCGATTACTGTAGTATTTCACTCGATTCAGCACCCCCTGTGACGTGTGACACACTACACCATTTCATCACCTGGCTTTCCCAATAAGTCAGGATATCTGGAAAAATTCACGTCTATGCACTTAGACTCAAAGGGACGAGCACAAGATAAGGCAAAGTAAATTCTATAACGACGATGACAAACAAATACTATAATGACGGCGGCAACAAACAAAGGCTTATTTGGGTAAAAACCCCACAGGGGTTTTAGGCTGAAACAGACTGTAAGGACCTAGCAGAAAGGACAAGTATGAGCTGTGTATCCCGAAAATTAAGGAGCCCGTCAACGCAGCAAGCACATGCTTGTCCCCCAACCAAAAGGAGAAAGGCGATGTAGAAAACTTACCGAAAGTTAACGTGGCGGAGGTATGGCATAGCACATGAATGGTTCTAAGATTGGCGTATCTTGAAGATAGGGTGCAAGCACCACAGCATGTTGTCAAAGATAGAGTATGAAAGCATCGCTACTCCAGCACCCCATCATTTTGTCGCTGTCGAAAGGTACGCCACGGAGAAGGTACTCCAAAGTGCCACCAATTCTAATTCCATGCCCTTTTAGCGCTCCAGTCCCTAGTTGATCTCTGGCGGATTGCAGACAGGTGAGAAATGTGGACTTCGTCAAAGGCTGCAGACCTCCCACATGACACCAACTGAAGACAGCGGCAGAAGGGGGAGGTTGATTAATGGTGAGGTGCTGTTGGAGAGCTACTTGGGGATCAACTAGTCCAGACTGCGCGGCCCAATAAACGTCCTCCCCAGTTGCGGATGTCTTGGTCCACAGCAAGCCAAAGACTACTACTCTGAAACTGTTCTGATCTTGGTTGTAATGAATGTCACGGAATTTGATGTAGGCACTGGGGTCGGTGTGGAAGCTGACAAGAGAAGGTACCGTAAACTCCCCTGTGCAAGCAATGGTAAAAAATGAAGTGGTCAGACATGCGAAAACGGCAGCGTGTAGCGGCTTTGACAGATCCAGGACACTCCGGATTTGATGATGAGCTCCACTGTGAAAGGAGTGCACTTTGGACGCTTGGAGGATGGAGGGGCCAACTTTGCAGCGCCAGTCAGTGCGAGGGATGATTCGGCATGATTTGGTAGCCAAGGTGCTCCATGAAGGAGATGCCAGGCGCGAACTGCGTAAAAGTAATTCTCGAGCGTGGCACCTGCATACACTCCTGCACAGGCCGCAACAAAGGCTAGAAGTAGAACGGGTGGCACTGGACAGTGCTGATCTTCAGAAATGCCCCGAGTATCGCAAAATACGTGGTATGCTAAGGGCCCTGATCCGTAAGTTTCATGTGTGCTGGAAGCATGAGAATGAGAGATGATGAGGAGAATTCTATCAAGGTCGGCCTTGGAGACTGGAACTGGCGCTCCAGCACGATCCGTGCCTGAGTGCTTGGTTGCAGGTACCCATAATCGCAAGCGATCGCGTGCTAGGCAATGCGGACGAAGAGGTGATAGCAAAGGTGTCAAACTGGCGGCATATGGATGCGGTGGACCTGTGGGTGCGGGCAACAGTAAGGGAGTGGAATTAGCAAAACATGGAGCGCCGACAGCGCGTGGCCTCATAGCTGAGAGCAGTGTGACTGCGGGAAGTCTCACTTCTTCTCCGGTCAACCAAGCTTGCAAATGACTAGCCACTGTGTCCATTTGTGAAGTGCCTGGGTTAGACGGCGGGGATGAGGAATTTTTCGAGATCCCCAGGGAGAGGAATGGGTGGGAGCAAGAAATGCCTCGGGGGGAAGACACCTCTGGAAGGCCCGTCTGCTGGATTGTCTTGGCTGGGGACATAGCGGAGATGGAAAGAGGAGAAATTGTCTTGGGAATCGAGGAGATGTTGGACCCTTCTGAAAACAATGTTGGTGGCCCTATTGCGACTCCGTCCATTGCGCCAACCATCAACGACGCCCTTATTGTCACAATAGACCCTGAAGTGAGACTGAACTTCTGGAATAGGCCCGCAGGAGGGCATGGATGAGAAGTTCGAAACCGGTGGCCTCTGCCCAGC